GCTTATCACGCATTTACATATTCTTCGACGCCACAGTGCCGTGTACGAGCATCGAAAATGATTCATGAATAAATTTGTAATCCAATTTGGCCGTTAACTTTCTACTCGACAAACAACGAAACATGTCAACGGTGGTTAAAAAACAAACACTAGGCACCGGCGAGAATGGATCCAATAATCTTGCTTCGGCACCCTTGAAACGATTAATCATAAAAAGTGCGCGGGTCGCGCGCAGCCCTTTTTCGAGTTTCCTCGTTACGGACTAAGACGGGAATCATTAGGAATTAAATTTCCCCTTTCATTAGTCCCTCAACCCTCGTATAATTCCGGACGCGGAGCAATAACAATATAAATCCCCCGTCGCGCCGAGCGGGGGATTACGGCTTGTCTCGACCCTAATTTAGGGCTGCCCCCGCCTCGGATTAACGAAGTGGCGGAATCCGCTAGGGTTGTCACTACGCATAAACTTGTTACGTGTTTAATGTTTTATTGACGGGCGGCGAGGGAGCTCTCATTTAAACAACGCGCTCCACTAGCGACCCCTTCCGCACTGGGACCTCTCGCTATGATCACGTGACTCGCCGTCCGACCTCTGTCCACAATTACCCATCATTATAACTCCTGGGAATGTTATCAAAAGTAACTCTAAACACCATCACCGTAAAATAATTTCAAAACTCACATTCACTAACGCGTCCGATTACTCGACACACTTTCATTTTGTCGACAGACGGCTCGGTAACAAAGTAACCGCCCACACAACATCTTTATTATCGCAAATCACGAGTATGTTTTAAAATTTTATTAATCGTCGTGGTGTAACACAGTGGACCGATGCTTAAATTGCTTTTATGGAGCATCATTTTAAAATGTCGGCCAGTGACCTTTACAAATTAATTTTGTGTGCTATTATGTCGTTGGAGTAAGTCGTTCGTTAAACGCGGAACGAATTGCTTATAGCCGGTATTATACCATAGCGGGAGTGCCGACACACATATTGCCGGCGAGGAATCCGCTCAAGGGATCCCTCCTATATACCCTTTGATTTAAACGAAGGGGTCACAATTAAGGAGGCGCCCTTGTCAACACTGAGACACTAACATTATACATCGACATTTTATTATAGACATTGATTATTTCAACCCAGCAAAAGTTAAAAGTATTTAGTCATGTTTTTGATTTATCAAAACTGATTTGAATTTAAAATGTCTCGCTCTATGCATATAAGTAAACCAATTTTCCAAACGAATTGCCTTTCAACAGAACGGCGAACCCGATTTGGAGTAATTTATTTTAGTAATTTCACAAATTCGAGACCGCGTACACCGTATTAAAATTTGCCTGGAGACCGCAAAGTAGACGCTAACACAAAATTAAAGTCGTCGACACTTAAGGGCTTCGTAGTGTCGAGGGGAGCTTCTGTGAAATTTCTCTCGGAATGTTGAAATGGCGGATGAATTTCGCAAGTCAACTCAATTATCGTTTTAATTAAGGCGCCCGTGCCACGTGACATTTGTTTGCGTGCGTGAAAGCGATCGCGGCAGGAGCTCTTCGCCCCCAGCCCCCCCTCATGCTTGCTCCTGTTAATTGTGCTAATTACTCCTGTAATGGAGCAAGGGGCGGGGAGAGATTGCTTATCGACGGCTTCCCCGGAATTTACTTTGTGTTACATCTGCCCGACCGCGACGTTAATTTGAGTTTAAGTAACTATCGACTTGTAGTTTGTAATCTTATTGTGATTAATGGGAGGTTTTAACATAATGATAATGAAGCTAGGTAAATAATCTCTATTTGAAAATAGGTAAAAGATATTGTAATAATGAGACATCGGGCGTTGTTGTATACAAGATTGTGTTGGACAGATGTTGGCAAGATAGGCAAGAGCCGACAACTAGCACTGAGCAATTTGGTTATTTGGGGTCGCCCATAAACCGATAGCGCGCGCAGTAAACGCAATCCTCCACTCGCGACTATAAACTTTACGAGTCACGTAAAAACGCGCTCGAAACGCCGACTTGCTACCATAAATTTATGCTAATGTATTCTTTATAGGAGTTTAATGTGTATTCAGAAATTCCTCCATTATTTATGTATACGAATGAACCAGTAAAGTTAATTTTAAAATCGCTCCGCGCCACACGGTTTATGGGTTCGCTGTCGATTAATTTTTTGTGTATTTTATACAGTCCATGGTTCCTGAATATCGCAGATTTTGATTGTTTACTCATTTTATGGCCCGTTCAGGTTGAAACATGGAAATTTAATAGCGATCGATAGATAAGATAACGTTAGTAACATGAAAACGTTAGACCGGTTTTATTGTTGATATTTGAAGAAAATAACAGGTACGTTAGGAGTAAATATAAAATTAATCGTAAAATTTTTCGAAGACGACATAATAAAACTGGTCGTTTGTAGTGCCAATAAAAGGATGGAACGTCGCGTGTAAATCATGAAAGTTTTCAAAACTATTATGCTTGAAATATAGTCCGAACTCAATCTGAACATTTCCGAGCGGCGGGCGGTCTATTTATCTATTTCCCCCGCTTCCGCCCCCGAGCGTCCGGTTAACCGCCCCCCTTCCGGTTAACCGGGCGGCGGCGCGCGCGGCTAAACGGCTCGTCGCGTGACCGCAGACAATAAGCCCGGGCGGCGTTAACAGCGCGCCTGTGTGTTGCCACTTTATATGTTACGTCAGAGCTCTTCCTCGCCGCCCCTTCACCCGCCACCCGTGTTAGGGCTACCACGGCAACGATAAAAATTTCTTAACAAAAAGAAATGTCAGCTCTTGCATTTTCAATATAAATTCCATCTGACATTTTTTTACTACAAATATATTTTAAGCCATAGATAGGATGATATTAAATTATTATTACTACTCGCGAATTAACATGACATCTTAAAGACTGTTCTATATCTCTGAAAAAGAAATTTCGTCTAGTTTCGAAATGTGATACGATTTTAAAAAAATGCATTTATACATAATTTATGATTCAACAGAGGTAGGACCTAACACTATATCTGATGCCCATATATGTAATATTCACTAATCACATAAGTTTCGAAATTTCATTCGAAGTCAAATACAATAGGCAGTGTCTTGTTAAATCGTACAAGTTATGTGGTGAGATGAGATGACCCTATATTATATGTACAATTTCCATGCTTCTAGCCGAACGGTAGCCGATAAGTCGTGTTGTTGAAGCTTGTAGTTCGTACTTGTTTAGTGGACCGCCACCGCCCGACCCTACCCCGACTCAATTGCCTTTTTCTTGAGGTCGACCCGCGTAATGGGATAAAGTAAAGATTAGCTCTGTTCGCTTTTCTGTTGGAAATGGAAAAGGTTGCGAGTGACTACTCAATATATGTAATGTATTTCTATTTGAGTAGATATAAATTCAGTAGGCCTCGGATACACCTCTTGTGCCTATTTTTTTCTATACAAAATTGATTTATACATACTCAAGTTAAAAAGTTTGCTATTAGTACAATTTAAATTTAATTAATTTGGCTTATAAAATAAAAAATAAAGAAAAATATGTTATCAATGTATAAATATTATTATTTATATAGGTATATAAGAATCTTTATAATTGTAAATATTTAATGTAGAAAGGCACAAAATATGGGACATACATAACGACGACTTCAAATTGATACTTATATTATATGATTAAAAAACTGCAGAAATAGAATCGGCAGCAGATCATAAAATTAAATTAACTACTATACGCCACACGAATGATTGGTAATATGGCCATCATAAAATCCATCCAATCGAATCCGACACGTCACATTACGGTGAGCGCTGTGGGTATCTCTCGAAATAGCACTTGAAATTCGATATCCGACTCTGTGGAGATCGTAAAATTAGGTGCTCGAAAACACGCTCGACCCCCACCTCGGGCAAACATATCGACCGTATACGTATAACACAACTTAGTACAACGCACAGTGCCAACATGTTGTATTTTATATTTATTACATTCCCCACATCGCTAATAATAAAAGTTTATTGCTCACATCTCGCGTATCAAATATCCAATAATACTGCCGCAATAAGCTACATCGTGTCTCGTAGTTTATTTCGCAGACAATCCTAGTCCCAATTTTATTATGTAATTTCTCGCTCATAAAAATCAGTGTCAGTATAAGCACGGATCAGGTTCCTACTTATTTGAGATCATTAAACGTAGCTGGAATTGTGATATCAGTATCTGGGTGATAAATAAATGCGAATCTGAAGTTAGTGTTAGTGCGGGGGTAGTAAGTCACAGCGGGCGGCGACAGGTCGGCGGCGAGCTGAGCAAATTAACAGCCGCTTGCCAGTCTCCGCTGAATTAGTGCCTCGTAAAATTAGGCCCGTTACAGTCCTCCAGGCGAGCCTGCCCTGTGCGACCACGACTGCGGATTAGGCTCGAGCGGTCTCTCATTCGTCTTCTGTTACGACGTATTTACTAGCCTCTTGTGCCGTAAACGTACTCCCACGACGGTGGGGATTTACTTGATAATATAATAAAGCCTTTACAGAGTATCGTAATTGGACACAAGAGAAAACTTTCTAGCACCCACCTTCTCACCGTACCGAAAAAGTATTGGTACGTCAACTCTAACTAAATCAGTTAACGTGATGGTCGCTCGTCACGTATATGATTATTTCATTAGTCCGTATTTGCGCGCTCAACCAAATGCTGCGGCCGCCCCTGCCCCCGGCCCCCTCGCCTCACACCCGGGGGCGATGACCACTCCCGGAGCTAATCATGCGGTCAGCTTGTTCTGCCTCAGCGTGTTTTGATATTGATATTGACTGTAGCACTCGCCTCGCTGCGCGCCGATTTATTTGCGAACAATGATCGATTGATTGCTATAGGTACCTAAGCTCGCCAGTAAACGTTTTGATTATGTTTACTTACTCGTATTTGCACAACTAACAAGACCAAATACTGGTCCGTATTGAACGGGTCACCGTGTTATTATAGATATCATTTTTTTTGTTGCAGAGAAATTCAATATCACCTGGTGAAAGAGAAAAGTATAGAACGAGGAGTCCAGCGGAGCCAGACCATAAAAAACTTAAAAAAGAAGAAAAAGACATGGGCCATGTAAGTACAAACTTAAAACTACGAGTATATTTTAAAAAAAATTGTTTCAAAATTGTGAGAACTCTCATTCAAAATACAGGCTAAACAACTTCATCAAAGGTGATATTGAAAATAATTTATGCGTCATTATTGTTAGTATTTTATTCCATTATGGGAAAACCACAACCAATTAAATTTGAATAACTCCCGAATAAATAATAATATATATTATCATTGTATATTCCAGGAACTTGTTGTAGATGACGCCAGTGAAGAACCGACGTCACCACACAACGGCGCTCCGTCGCCAAGAGAGAATGGTCTCGACAAATTACAGCCTAAGAAAGAACATCCACCACATAGTCCAAGGTAAATTGAACCAGTATTTCATATAACGTCAATGTTACATATTTCAACTTTCCGCATTGTGACATTAATCAGAAAATACTATTAAGTAACAGTAAAACGTGGAAGCCATTTCACACTCAACGCCTCAAAGTTCGTTGTTCAATCCAGAATAATCCTGGCTTGCGTTTATAAGAAGCCTTACTCTAACATGTTCTGCGAAGGACGACGGCGACACAAGTTGAAAGTTAATCCTCTCGGACACTAAATCGATTACCGAATACGATCACGCCAGGCCCGGAACTAGTCCTGTTAGCGACAATAAGATTAGACACGCCTTCACGGATAACCGATGATAATCTCCACGCAAACTTCAACAAATTGAGCACCTAACCCCGCATTAACGCGAAGCCATTTCATTACATACCATCAAAATATTGACAATGTCTCAAACGCTTCACCTAAATCATGAAGGAAATGTAAACAAATTAAAAACTCGTTTTTCTAAAAAAGTATGTACATTTGAATCCCACGTTACACAATGTGCATGTGTCATTGTTGTAGTTTGCGTTGTCATAATTTGATATGTCACGATTCAATTAACATAAATTATCTAGTCTTAAGAATAGTAAAACAAATAATGAATTTTGTTTAGAAGCATTCGTTCTATGAGCTCGCTCAACTGAAATGCCTAAAAATGATTACGGTATATATTTATAACTTTATGATTATTGAAGTCTGACCACGGTGCTGTCATGGAATATTTTTGAAAATGTAGAAGTCCTTTGGGCTATTTCAGGATTATCAGAATCTCGACCATCGTTAGGAGATTATTTATAACTCTTACAGCCACTTGCAAAAACGTCCATTAAATTTTTCATTAGTTTAAAGCGACATTACTCGTACAATTTTGTCATTAATTAGAGCTTAAAGATGTCATTAAAACATAATGGACGTTTGTCCAATTGACCGTTAATCACTTCGTAATTTAGAAAGGATATTTCTCAATGCGAACAAAAATGTTGTATGCAAACTGAAACACTGATGTCTTCAAAGATCATAATATTATGGCTGACATACTTTATAGGTATATAGATATTTCATCGTTTTCTACGTTTCTCATCTTCACTCATACAACTTCTTCGATTTACAGGTCGGGTACGTCAAGTAACGCCTCAACTCCTTCAGCGAAGAAGCTGGACGAAAAACCTAGCACTCCAATTTCAAAACCTGTTACCCCTACGTCCGGTGCAAGTGGGGCGGGTCCTGCGGGAGCACCACTTAAAGCTGCAGTGAAACCTCCAGCACTTCAATATCCTTACTTAGGCAACGGGGCACATGATGCTTACGGTCTGGCCGGGTATTCAGCGCGAGCGGCGTTAGCGTACGAACCGTTACGTCCACCTATCGGGCCTGCTGCGCTTGCGCCAATACCTGGAGGCAAACCGTTAGTATTCTTCAATGTTATGATATAAAAATTGTCTTTAATTACACACGTTTTTTACTTTCTGTCTGTTTTTGACAGTACTGAATGTTTTCAAAGTATGTCTCTTACAATGGACATTCAATTATTTTGGACTGTTTCGTCGTTATGTCCTGCCCTTACTTAAGTATTTCTTATCATAGAATTAGAACAGAGAACCATGAAGTTTCTAAATAAGCTACAACCCAAACTATTTGTACTATTGCAACTGAAAAACTTCAATATAAATAATTATAACAAAAATAATTTGTAACGTTCTGTTTGCAGTGCGTACTCATTCCACGTGTCGGCGGAGGGTCAGATGCAGCCGGTGCCGTTCCCGCCGGACGCGCTGATGGGTCCGGGTATACCGCGTCACGCGCGCCAGGTATGAAAATAATTAGTTTATATAAACAACTTTAATATAAAACAAAAATAAATGAACGTAGAATACGCAAGGGCATGCCACTACTGGTGGGACGCTGATTGTGGTCAGTATTCATATCCGAACAACAACATAAATGAATCATTCATTTGTGTTGTTGTTCGTCATGCCATAAATTATACGCCGAGCGCTGTGATTTTTGTTCTATCCTCAATCTCGCTTCCTTGTTACATTTATTTTATTTTAATTTTAATTAGTGAACTGTTGTAATTTTTAATGACAATAAAATTTTAAATCATAGGTGTCCGCCCTGGCGCACGGCGAGGTGGTCTGCGCGGTCACAGTCTCCTCGCCCACCAAATACGTCTACACCGGCGGGAAGGGATGCGTCAAGGTGTGGGACATCAGCCAGCCGAGCAAGGCGCCCGTCAGTCAGCTCGACTGCTTGGTGAGTGGGTAACTGTCCGCGAACATATTCATACTCATTTATCGAACCTATTTCGTGTTTTTATCATTTTTTTTTTTGTAAAGTGATGCATTAAAATTTTAAAAAATAGGTTTTACAAAATTTGTTTAAGATGTATAGCGAATTTATTGTGCTCTGTCCGTACTCTATGCTTTAGATAAGATCTACTCCATTAAAATCAATTTAGAATAGAATATATGCAATTAAAAATATTTATAATCGTTTATTTAGTTGAAAAAGTAATCGTAGTTGACTAAAGTGCCGTATCTAAGACAGTTAATTTTTTATGTACTTGTCGCAATTTTTAAGTATGTCATGAACTTGCAGTTTCAAGAATGTAACTTCAGATCATAACACGATTTCATTATTAACGATTTTTCTAAATATTCAATTAAATTACAGCAACGCGACAACTACATTAGATCGGTGAAACTCCTACCTGATGGCCGTACATTGATCGTCGGAGGTGAAGCATCAAATTTATCAATATGGGATCTGGCGTCGCCCACGCCACGGATCAAAGCCGAACTCACGTCCTCTGCGCCCGCGTGTTACGCACTGGCTATTAGTCCTGACTCAAAGGTATGTTTGTTGCTATATTCATCATCATTCTATTAAATGCCCCCAGGTGTTTTTTCCTGTAGATATTATCACATAGGAAGAATGATCCATAACCCACAAGCCCAGTGTTGACCCGCTAGTGTAAACGACTACGGATGCAACAACGGTGGCTTCTCGTGCTTTCATATATTTTGGTCACTCATCTTATTACTACTTTTTTTGGAAGTTTGTAAACTTCTGCAAATGCAGACCTGATGCATTAGCCATTGCGTTATCGACCATCAACTTTACAAATTCTTATAAATTAAAAGACACTTTTAGAAAAATAAACGAAAAATTATAATGCTTAAAAAAAGCTATTATTATCGATGGAATCTTACCGTGAATGATACAATCTAAACACAAACCAAATACCGTGACTCAAATGTCTATGTTTCTCCTTTAAACATCTAACCTCATTTGGTAATCAGATAGAGCCACTTGAGCCACTACGTCATTTTGTTGCTATCCCGCCGGCTAAAATAACTCAAAATTTAACGATTGCAACTGTAAAAACTATACTGCTAGCGACGATTCTCACAAAATCTAAGAGATTCCTTTCGACCTCGACATCTCAGATCATGGCGGTAAAAAAATATGTTTTTATTTATTACTTAACTCAATAGCCAACTGCTAACGTGTGTATTGGTTGTTCAGGTTTGCTTCAGTTGTTGTTCTGACGGCAACATCGCAGTATGGGACCTTCACAACCAGACGCTGGTGAGACAGTTCCAGGGCCACACGGACGGTGCCTCTTGCATCGACATATCTGCCGACGGCACAAAACTGTGGACCGGTGGATTAGACAATACTGTTCGGTCAGTTGTCTATTTTCATATTTATTCTACAACTTAAAAGTGATAGAATCCCCCACCGTTACATCAAGTTTCCGAAACTAGATTTGAGTTCAAATTGCTATCAATAATCTCGAGAAAATGTTAAATATCATCATTACTAGTCATAAACAAATAAACTTTAAAAATGAATGCAATTTTAGAAAACAAAATATGCTAAAAATTTTCACCTCTTATAAAAATCTTTTTTGATATAGAATCAAAAAATCCAGCTTGCATATTTCATTGTTTTTTAATTGATTAAAATATATTATTAATTCAATAATTAATAATACTTCGTATTTTTTACAGATCTTGGGATTTGAGAGAAGGCAGACAATTACAACAACATGATTTCAGTTCCCAAATATTCTCTTTAGGCTACTGCCCCACTGGTAAGTCCACAAAATGCTTTACATTGTATGGTAATGTTTTATTTTAGATAACATCATAAATGTAAATCAGTTTGTTCAGAACAATACTTAAGAATAAAAAGAACAAACAAGCTGCTAACCTTTGGTTACATCACAAAGAAGTGTTGATAAAGAATAAATATTCAAAAATACAGCATAATTACCTATTACTCAACGGCAGGTATACTTTATTTGACTTATGAATAATTAATGAATTCCAAAAATATTTAAATACCTCAATGAATTTACGGGCTAAAGTAATTCTCATCTGACTGTATAAATTATATATAAAATCGTATCAGTAAGAGTATTATAAGTATGCTTATATTTACTAATTTTTTAATGTTCCGTCGCGGTTTACCCGAGTCTTTTATTTATTCAATACATACATATTAATCGGTTTTTATACACAGCAGCACAAGAGGTCAAATTTTAATTTATACTTAAGAACATATTAAGGCTCCAAATTAATTCGGCTGTAGATAAGTTAGGTTTATACTTTAACGTTTATCATTTATTATCATCATGCTCGACTCAAATACTCTTCGTATTACTTATAAATTATAATCGTAAAACTACATTGGCATCCGATTCAATCAAAATGCTCTCTCACTGTGATATTAATAAACAAGGTTTAGTGTTGGATTTACGCTGAGACTGCACTTAGTATTAGTCAAAATTCATATTATTAAACAGAGACTTTGCTAAGGTTAACCTAGTACGAGGTTCTACGGGAGTAATATTTACTCCTAAAAGGACTTCCTTGTACAGTATAATATAAATTTGGACAAATACTAAAATTGCAATTTTAGAGCGAATTTACTTTGACGCTAAACCTTGTTTATTAATAGCATTGTCAATTTATATATATATAGTGCACATATGTTTAATACAATACACCAGGTTGAATCAAATGCTCAATAATGCTCTATTCAGTATTAATCGGATACCAACTATCAAATCTAAATATCGATATATTCATTCATTCATTCCCTTATTACAGGCGAGTGGTTAGCGGTAGGTATGGAGAACTCAAACGTGGAGGTGTTGCACGCGGTGAAGCCGGACAAGTATCAGTTGCACCTGCACGAGTCGTGCGTGCTCTCGTTACGGTTCGCTTCATGCGGCAAATGGTTCGTCTCCACTGGCAAGGATAATCTGCTTAACGCTTGGCGCACGCCATACGGCGCCAGTATATTCCAGGTATGTTAACACATGAACACCTTATTTTCACTAACCTAGAATAAGGAAAGCTTAACTAGGAAACACCTAATATTATGAATCGCCTAAGCCTTTTTTGATTTTAATCCCTTGACATATTTAGGACCGCAAATGCCTAGCGTGTGGCGTCGCATAACGAATATCATAACTTTAGGCATTGCTCAATTTTGTTAGGTGGTTCCTAGTCAATGGTGAAATGCATTTTTACCTTGGGTGCTTCCTAAATATTTAGACGACAGATTTGGACGACTCCTAGTTTAGTGAAAACTGGCATTAAACATAAGTTCTGAATTAATAAAGAACTTATATGTGACCTGTGACCTGAGATCTGTGCCCTAATTGTCTAATTTTAAAAATCTACAACCCTTTTAAACGTATAGCGGTTGTGATAGTTATTTATGGAATTGTGTAACTTTTAAAGTCACATTTGCTGAATGATATAAATGTCATAGACTTTTTCAACATGTACAGTCAACAGCATCTAAAAGTTAAAAATCAACAACGAAAAATTTTACATATTATGATATACTTACGTGTACCCGTTTGTAGATACATTGCTTATATCCTAAGTGAAGTAAATAAAGTTACTGGAATCTGAAACGATGGAAGTTCAGGGATGATAATTTTTTTATTTTTTTTATACTGACTCGTTTGGGGACGCGACTACCGCCGAGTTAGCCGCTGAGTTACCAATTCGTGACATCTTACTTAGAAATATACTTTTAAGAAACTAGTAAATTGCTAGAAATTATTAAAAGTTATCTGAAATCAATAACGTCATACTCTCATTAAGCTGTATAATAACTTTAAACAAAAAAATTACAATGATTCGTCTTATTTTCAGTCAAAAGAATCATCATCGGTGCTCAGTTGTGACATCTCATCGGACGACAAGTACATTGTGACGGGCTCCGGCGACAAGAAGGCCACAGTTTATGAGGTGATCTACTAGTGCGATACAAACGGACAATCATACGAACAAACTAGATCAAGTGTACCGAGTGAGTGAGAACGTTCCGCGAACGTACAGTGGCAAGTGGTGATATAGCTTTAGTGTATGTATAGATTATATTGGGAACCTGTATGTACTTATGCGACTTGTTTATATAGATTAGTGTGCGCGTTTTATGTTTATTTGTTGAGCGCCCGTAGTGTATGTTGGCAGCAGATCTCAAACTGACGATTTCGTTTCAATATTGTTGTAAAATGCTCGTATTAAAGAAAAATATGCGCAAATTATATTTGGTTTTGTTTCATTTTATTATTATCTTGATATCTTTCAATTTCATTCTCATTTCATTCATCACAACCGAATTACCAAGTTTTAAATTATACACACACTGTACTGTGTATCATTGCATTTTTCTATAAAATAAATATCAATATATAACTCCCGTCAATTGCTAATGCGCTGGAACCTTGAATAATACTCCCGTCACGTGGTTTAAAAAATAAAAAGTATATATAGCATAAAAAAGTATTTATTAATGATTGACATATTTATCAAAATATTGTTCTAATAATTTTAATAACTTTTAATTTATTATTACATGAATTTTTGGAAATGATCAATTTATATATTGATATTAAGGTTTAAAAAAATGAAAATATAACATTTACTTTGTAATAACGCGATTACCAACGGAAAAGAAAAAAATTTAAAACATAGTCAAAATTAATAATGTATTGAGAGATATTTTCACTAAAAATAATTAATAATATCTTAGTGTCTTAGAGAAAATTAGCTCTACTTATTGTGAAAATATAATAGCAGTTGTTATTTTAGTCAAACAAACAACAAAAAGGGAAAAAACCTTAAATAACAATCGAAAACAACAAAAATTGTGTGTGATCTCAACACAACTCAACTCAGTGTACACGTCAATCGTTTATTTTATTTATCAACGTTACTGATTGTTGAACAAAATTACGTCACCAAAATGGCGGCCAGGAGCATTAGCAATTTGCGGGGATTATAGCATTATGATTGCAAAATGTATCATTTATTCACAAAAACATCTGGAAACATGTGGGTTTCGGGTAAAAGAATTGCACTAGAGGTTGTCGTCCCCGTTAATTAAATTTAACAGCTTACTGGTGGAAAATGTGTAAATTTAAGGTAGTGCCTCGTTTACAGAATAAACTATTATCCCATCTCATAAAAAGTTTGCCTTGTCTAATAATTGATTTGCAATAAGTCTTGATGCTCTTTGGAAACTAACCTTGTTGGAGGATTTTTTATAATATACCTATTTAAAGTAGAAATATTTTCTGTTTTTTTTTCGACATAATTATACCTTCTATTGGGCCTATAATGACAAGTAAAATGGCAGATTTTCGCCAAATTTACTTATAAAAGGAGGTAAGGAGCCAGCCGACATTTTTGATACATTGAAAAAGCTAGGGATTAGCTGAATGTTTGTGTATCGTACCATCTAAAGGTGCACTGAAACCATGTCTGTTGATGACTGTAAAAGATCCGCGGTCTATTCAAACAAACCAGGCCGTTAATGCAGTCAAGGCCAGAATTCGTCGATATCCCATAAGGAAGCGGAAAATCCTTTCCAGAGAAATGAGAATCCCACCGAGGACACTTTCTTGGACGATCAAAATACAAAATAAAAGAGAGTCGAAAAATCAAAACAGCTGTTACTTCGATACGTGGATGAAAAACAGAAAAAATCTCTTTACCGATGAAAAAATTTTTACAATCAAGGAGCACTACAACAAACAAAATGATCAAGTGTATGCATATAGCTCTAAAGAAGCTTCCGAGGTAGTGGCCAAAGTTCAGCGAAGCCATCATCCAGTAGACGTCATGGTTTGATGGGGTGTCTTGCCAAGGAGTTACAAAATTCCATTTTAGCGAAAAAGGAGTGAAAACTGTGTGAAAGTGTATCAAAATATCTTGTTGGAAGCGGTAGTTAAACCTCTCAATAACACCATGTTCAAAAACGAAGTGTGTATATTTCAAAAATATTCAGCCCCGGGTCATAAGGCGTGCCCTACCCAAATTTCGCTTGGTCAAAATGTTCCAGACTTCATACAGGCTGATGATTGACCTTCGGCTAGTCCCGACTTAAACCCTGTGGACTATAAATTATGGTCTGTGCTAGAGGACATGGCCTGCTCTAAGCGTTTGCAAATATTGAGTCGCTCAAGAAATCTTTGGAGGCAGCAGTGATCAAGTTTCCAATGGAAGCCGTTCGTAAATCCATCGACGCATGGCCCGACGGTTTAAAAGCGTGCGTTAAAGCTAAGGATGGAAACTTTGAACAATTAGTTTAGTACTTTAAAATATATTTTTCACTCTACAATCACATATAAAACTTTAGAATTTTGATGATGAATTTTTTTTAGAAATTATCGGATATATTCTTTGTAACAGAACTTATGGCTAGACTAGGTAGACAGTACAAACGATGCACCACAGGTTTCTTGGCCCTCTTCAGTTCAGGAAATTTCAACATAAGAAATGAAACTGTTATCTCAAATCCTTCAAGAAGTTAACGTAATATTGGTTCATTTGTGTCAAATTGACAAGGTAAAAACTTGACACAAAGTATGCACCGATATGTGTCTTGTCTTGCACTGCTTAAAAGGCACACAACGCAGAAATAATAACAATGAGATTAATAAGAAATAACACTGATAACTTGCAAAATGGATTCTGTGCGACAATCGCAAACGTTCAGGAAGTTGATTGGATCCTGTTACACACAACAATGCCCTAAACGAAAAGGTACCTGTATAAATGTGATGTGATGATCACTGTTTAGTGGTCTAAAGTCTGTGTCACACAAAATTCATCACACTTCTTACCAAACAAGGTGTATATTCGTGTAAATGACTGAACATAATGATGGAGAAACTCGCACGTCTCCAACCAGTTTTGTTCAAACGTCCAGCTTCGCTAATCCCTCACGACAACGTGCGATTCTTTATCTTCCTTGCTCACTACACCTTATGGCTCCGAACTTTTTTTCTAGAATTTGGACAACTTCATGGCGAGTAAAAAACCATAGCAAAAAAAAGAGGCCGTATAAACAGATTTTTAAGGATTTGTTACCTAAAACTCATCAACCTTAGTAACAGTAACAGAAATGAAAATATATACGTATATATATAGAAATTATGTAAGTCATTAATTTGTATTGGAAAACGAAAAATCTAACTTAAATTTAATACGCGACACGAGCGTGCTGCGCGCGGCCTCACTATCAATTCAATTCAATATTTGTAATTGTAAGAAAATTATATTAATTCTAATATCTTTATTTATTACAGTTTCAGTATACTATTGCTTTTGTTTGCAATGATTATGCTTATGCGTCCTCTTAATTGAAAAAAAAAAATCATAATGTAAATGCAGTCACGCACGCATGTCCTCTTAATTGCAATCACGCACGTGTAGAACACTCGACAACATCTAGCTGTGAACATTTCTAGTCTATGATATGAGTATGATATCAAGGCAGATTGAATGCGATGTATAATAATCTATTTAAATGCACATGGTGTCGCGTCCACTCCACTTATTCCAACATTTCCAAAGTACAATTAGCAGCAGGGGTTAACGAGTATTTTATCTATTCCTGTCAAAATGTTGTCATCGTTTCGCGATTGTTTATTTGTTATTGAAGCCTGAATCGCATTAATGGGACATGTGTTTGACATTTTTTTTTCTCTTTATTTCGGTACAAACATTCATTATAATAAAGTGACATTACATTTAATATTTAAGCTTAAAAAGACAAATAGTACCCAGAATTTACTACAAACAATGCTTATGTTTAGTTAATTGTAACTGTTATAGGTATATTAAGCGTACACTATTATTTGTAAAGCGTAATTAAAAGTGTTTTATTTTACTACGAATTGTAAAATTAAAGAACTATATTATCGTGGAGATCAACGAAGGAGGCCTACGCTCAGCAGTGGGCGTCGTACTACTGCTGTTGATGATGACGATATTATTTAAGACAACAACATCACCTACATTGCTCAGATCCCACATTAAGTTGTTATGAGCCTTAGTTTTGAGCTTTGGTTATGCACATTTGTATTTTGGAAATCCTAAAATCAAAGAACAACAAAACCCAGACCAGAGACTATAGGTATAGGAAAGTTTATTTTCTACATTGGCACGGACGCGAATTGAAGCTGGAAAGTTAGAAATGGTGGTACCATGAAACTGGCGTACTAACCAATCAACTACGATGTCCCATAAATTCTCGTTTTATCACTGAGAAGTTATTAATATCCATATCTATAAAGTACTAAATATAAACGATTGAATCACCTAATTCCATTAGACAAAACATTACATTAAATGTTTTTATTATCATCAAATTTTGACATTAACCTCATAATATGTACTAAGACAATGTCACATTACTAACGAAGTATTATCATTAATCATTCTATAACAGGAAAAACTCAAGAGACCAAAAGTAAATGGATTCGTCTCACAGTCCAAGGTTCTTCCGGAAGCGGTTCTTAAGCGGACTTGTTGCATGTCTCTCAATTGGCTGTATGAATATTGACTTTGATATGTGCTTTAAACTGAATTAAATTCATTCATAATCTTGCTGTGACGTGGCGTCAAACTGTAAATACTATGTAATGTTCGTAATCGGACCGGCGTAGTGGACAGAGCTGGTACTGCCTGCCACCGCTGTTATCGCCCCACTATTGTACGGTATAGCGTCGGCTTTAAGAAAAAAATAAACAAGTTGACAGCAATCATTCACTTAGAAAGTAGTTCTAATGGAGTTGAACGTCGGTACTATAGTATAGCCTCACTGTATTTATCTTTTGTAATAGATTATAAGCAGTGAGAAGTTGAGTCGTCACATATCATGCACGAAGACTTATACTTAAAATATTGTAATCTTTGAGAAATATCATTTAATTTATGAATTTAGGAATGTTAAAGACTTTGAAATAAAAAACAACGTTGATTATGTATCAATCGTTAGGTAGTTTAAAACAATGCCGCATGTCGTAAGTAGAGAATAGACACAAATAAACATATTTCATTAACTTGATCTGAGCTTGCGAAGTACTGCCGGAACTATTCAAATATATAAAGTGGACACTCAATGGCCACTTTTCAACTTAAACATAATTGTCGTATAAAACGACGACATCTGAAATGACAAAAAAATATATAATAACGAAGGCCGGTGATTGTAACCCGATGCTGAGTGGACGAGCGCCAGATGCCGGCGGTGCCAGCCACCGCCGCAGCCAGCGGCCGACGGCTAGACGCCACACATCATGCACCCAAAACAAATCATGTGTTTCTAATAAAATAAAAAAAAATATGGGTATTTAATCAAGTTCGCATTCATAATGCTATGCTAGTAAATATTCTTAATGAAAAATGTTTAAAATCTCGGAGTACTGACTGTCGGAGACTGGTGGATTTTTAGGGTTATGTACCCAAAAAATCCTATATATATAATAATAAATAGAATAAAATATATGGTAAAACGGGAACCCAATTGCTACGACTTCAGTATCTGTGACCAAGCCGTATCTCATGAAACGTAAAGTTTTTTTTACAGATGATGTATTTTTGTTGCCGCTTAAACAATGAATACTAAAAACCAGAATAAAATAAATATTGAAGGGGGCTCCCATACAACAAAAGTGATTTTTTTTGTTTGTTTTAGAAATGTTGATAACGGCACGGCATACGAAACCATTCATGCGCGAGTCCGACTTGCATTGGGCCGGCTTTTTGATAATTTTTCATAAGGATTTGTTTTTACTTATTTGCTTTGAAAAATATAAGTAGGCAAAACAGAGAGAACACTTGCGCAATAAAATGGGCTAAGAATAAGTAATTTGAACACACACAAAAATCCAAAATAAGTCGCCTGCAGTCAAAAATTTAATTTTGGCACAAGACATACTGAATGTATTCTTGTTAAATTATACTAATTTATAAAACTTTTCACTATATAATTAAATTAATAATTTGATGAGTTGACCCATTATCAAAAAACATTATTACCTTTTCGCCATATAAACTAGAAAATAAATTCATTCATTTTAAAATTCATATCAATTATGCTTCATCATAATAGGTAAATTATTCGTATATTTATTTTTATTTTTTCGCATAGCACGACGTAAAACTATGACGCATATTTTATTCGTAGTAATACGAACAAATATTGTGTATAAGAAAATTATCAACTCTTTATCAGGGGATGTCTGATTGGTAACTCTGCAAAAAAATTACCAGTTCCGCTTAAACGGAACTCACAAACTTTGATCCTGTTTCGTTTCCGCTACGTAAGTTTATTAAATCTGTGTAATTACCTAACAATAGATCTATGATATCTATATCTATACATGGTACAAAACAAAATCGCTTCCCGCTGTCTGTACGCTGAGATCAATTTATAGTGATTCAAGTGGAAGGTTAATATGTATAATACAGGCCCACGCGGGCGAAGCCGCTGGCGGAAAGCTTGTGCCTATATTATAAAGAGGAAAGATTGGATCAAACAGGCTCTGAAACAACTGGACTATTTTTTAAATTCTTTCACCATCTGGAAGCTACATCATACATGGGTGATTTATACTATAATTTACGTGGGCGAAGTCGTGAGAAAACCGCTAGTAGATATTAAAAAACAATAAAGAACTGAAACATTAAGAAAAATAAACGAGCTCTAAGTAAAGTTGATATAGGTATTAATTAAACAAAGTTTTTCTACGAAACAGTATATATACACTGCGCGCCATGATTTCAACAATAACTTACTTTAATTACTTATTTATCAAATGGAAATATTTATTTCAACAGTATCCGCTGTGTTTGATTCGGAATTCCATTGAATTCCAAACAAAATTCCCGTCACGTGCTAAATGGATGCTATCAAAGATAAGCTAAGAGTTCCTGACAACCTTTCTGCTTATATATAGGAAATCTAGCAATATCAAAATTTTTTTACTGAACTATAGATTGTAATTTTTTCTTTTTAATAAATAAATAAAACAAGTAACACGGTCTAGATAAGCGACAAAAATATTTTTTATAGAAGATGACTTAAAAGCAATAGGTCTGATTAATGATATAGATCGGACTCAGTTTGTGGGGGGGTCCGCGGAATTTGAGTTTGTGTTTGGAATTACAACTCTATATACATTTATCTACTGTGTCAATAGAATCACCAACTTAAGTACAGTCAACAGCACGTCTGACTATAAAAAACTATTTCATTTCGCCACCCGATTTTAAACCATAATTTATTAAGTGTAGAGGTCAAAAAACATTGCAGCATATTGATGTGCAGGTAACAGTACCTACTTATTACAGATTTAGGTTTCAATACTCGAACTTTTTATAATTCAAATAGATGATCCATTTTTTGTTTTGTTAAGTAGGTCGTTTAATATCGAGTTTGATGTCCCAGGGGTTCGTGGACCAGAAAAGGTTGGGAGACGATAAATTAAAATAAAAATTTATTAATCTTAGCGGTACATAAAAGGTTAGTCAACGATTAAAGCTGTTGGATAGGTCGTACAAACAACAGATAAGACGAAAGAAAGTGAATGATCCTTGTGTCACTCGCTACGTATGTGTTCAATAGACATTGTTAATTGATATAAATTAATATACAAAACAATCTAAACAGCAATGAATGCAACTTATAGTTAATGTTTTCCTGAATTGCTTACTTTATTTTTAATGGTGATTGTGCAAGGTCAGTAGCCCGATATCTCATTATAATCGGGAAAAGTCTGTCTCATGAAATAATCCAAATAAACAAAATTACTCATTTGTGAAACCTGATTGAATTTTCATTTACTGTGGAATTTCCGAGTTAGGTGTCCTCGGTTACAGTATATTGATAATATTAAAGCTGTAAATGCTGATTGTTATTTAGGATCGTTTGGTCGATGTTGTGGACATGTGCGGAATCTCCGATAATCGCCGCGCCGTTCGCCGATCGTCGTTATCGCGTCCGCGCGCGCGGCAGCCGGCATTGTAGGCGCGCGCGCATTCACTCCGGCTCCGGGACGCAACGCACGCTGACACCTCATCCCGAACAGATAAACGGATACTCTATTGTACTATCTATTATTGTTCTGACACTTAATATAATATCGTTACAACCAAACTGGCTCTTCCGCATCCCGTAAGTTCAATTCTTAAAATTTGTTTTTGGTCGATGTTGATCCTTCGAATTATATTTGGAACTTTTTTATTAATAACTTCACTTTATTACATTTTCAGTCCCCATCATGTTTTATGAAAGCAGCGGTCGTCTAATAGAGGATGCTCTCTTAAACGACAGACTCCTTTATGAATATTCGCCGGCAGAGAGTCTCGTGAACTTCGAACTTCCATCGCCATCCATAAACCCGGAAGCCCTAGACTGGCAGCTCAGTGACTTAGATTTACAATGTGATACATTTGTGAGTGATATTAACGACATAAGCAAAGACGACTTCAACTTATCTGATTGTTCACCTGGATTCGATTTCACCGATTTGGACAACAGTATCATAGACGAATATTTGTTAGAAGCGTTAAGCAGCGACTTATCAAATGACACTCCGCATTCGAGCTCAGAGTCCACCGACTCGAGCGACCCGTCATACGTCCTAGAGACTCATGATTACGTCGCCTCTTCAGATATACGCTGGGATCGGAAAGAACGTTTGGCGGAGGACATAGAGAAGGCTAATTTAAAAGTGCGCTCGTGGGGGGAGCCGAAGTTCCTACCAGAATTGGGAGCGTTCCGTTGCCCGGTGGAGGACTGTGGCAAACTGTACGCGAAGGCGTCGCACGTTAGAGCACATTTACGACGGCATAGTGGAGAGAAACCTTATCGTTGTACATGGGGAGAATGCTCCTGGCGATTTGCGAGATCTGATGAACTAGCCCGGCATAGACGTAGCCATTCCGGCGACAAACCATACGCGTGCCGGGAATGCGGCAAACGTTTCGCGCGCTCGGATCATCTTGCCAAGCACGGCCGCGTGCACGCACGCAGGGCTGCGGCTGCACGTCGCGCTGCTACCGCTGCTCCTGTTGTAATCCACGCCCATCGAACGAAGCGACTTTTGTGATCAGAATAGATCTTTTTAGTACCTAATTTATATTTCTACACGTGAGACTGTTTTGTGACTTAAATGTAAATAGCATGAACGTTTTAACTAATATATTGTATAGATAAGTGCACTGTAAACATAAAAATTATGATCTTAGTGAGGTTCGAATGAAACCTTATAGTAGGTACCTACTTAAATTTAAGCATGCCATGAACACATGTGCGTTAGCTTTATGTGAACCATTAAAATGATTTTACCTAAATATATTATTGTATCAATCACAGAACACAGTTATCTACGTCAATTTCTCTGTATATAATAAAAGTAATATAACGCATTTTTTATCTTCATAAACAGGATTTGTACTGTCATGGAGGTTAAAGTAATATTATACATAATCCGTTCGTTACCTATGAGACTAGAAAATGGTGCCAATTCTGTTTTATCACTTTCTAAACTAAAAATTAACTTATTTTAATTTGGGTTTATTTTAAGTTAAATCTGTAGTCATATGTAATCAAAGAAGTAATACCTACTCGTGCATACTGTAATACCTTTTATATATTATTTTCGTTAACTTGGTTAATTACAGAATTAAAAATATTATTTGACAGGATTAAAATCTAACAATAATTAAAAATAACCAATAATTAACATTATGTAAATAAATAAAGAAGATATATTTTTACCGACTTAGGTAGTAATATAGTATAATTATAATTTAGTATAATAAGATCGAGCAACTTCTCGTTTCATATTATTCAATTAAATTTGTTTTTCCCGATATTTCGCACGCATGAAGTATACGCATGTAGTAACATTAAATTCTGAGTGGTAAGTGTAAGTTTTACGCTAACGAGTTCACTAGTGAGCGCGTTAAGAATTTGTATGGAGATTTATACTTCTTGGTAGTTACCGCTAGTGGCGCTGTACCGGATTCTATACTAAAATCTTAACGCGCTCACGATCGACAGTGAACGTAAACATCAAAAAAACTTACACTAAGCATTCTGTAACTAAGGCGTTTAGTTTCCATATAGTGACAAGAAAGATATATGATAGTAACCATTGTTTTCATCAGAGCGATTTAATTCTATAACATTAAAGAATATTTCAGTTCCATAATTAAGCTCTTAGATCATTTGTAGGACTGTACTAAAGTCTTTAAAGTGTAAAATAGTTATAGTGCTATTACAATAGATTATATTAATGAATCTTTTATCAATTTATTTTGCACTAATAATGCGTCAAAATTACTTTTATAGTGCTAGTGACAACTTTTACGTAATATTTTTGTTTTTACCTAAATCTCTCGCAACATCTCTATAGGAGTAGTTCTCTAAACGTCATAGAATCACTTCTATAGAGCTAAACGGGTGCGTGGAGACTCTTGATGTATTTGCTATATCATTTAATTTTAATTGCTTTATATCTGCTTTGGTTATTACTGTTACAAGACCAAAGGGTGAAATAGAAGTACTACAATTAATATTTAACTTACCAATTACACCTTTATTAGTCTGTTAGCACCGTAAAGTCTATACTGAGATCGTTCAAAACATTAACCCATCGACTGTATACAAGAAATTGACAAGACTGTAAAACGACAAAAATACAAGAAATAAAATAAGCCACGTTTCTGCCTAAACACGTATTTTTAAATAAAAACAAAATCTGACAAATAAAACTTAAGACACAGATTATTTATTTTATTCGGAAAGCAAAGGTCGACTTTTTTGTTTTGTTTGCAAAGTTATTGATCCCGATTATTTGTCATTGTCATCACGAAAAATGTATTATGCGATTGGAGAATACCTACAATTTTTTGAAAAGATATGGCTTTTCATGACACCACTGCCGGATTAAGCCAAATCGGGACCTGCGGGAAACGAATCCAGAAAAGTGTGTTTGTAAGAATTTGGTTTATTCAAACCATATGTGAAAAACATAATGCATAGGTACCATTTTATTATAATAAATAAAAAAAAACAAAAGCTTTAGAGGACATTATAAATTAAACACAAAATATTATTGTTTTAAATTTGAGTGTAACATACATGCATAAATTAATTATGTATTATTAGTATTAGAATATACATAACACACTTTTTACTTGGAATGTATAATGGTTGTCTGATCACGAGACAGCTCAATCTCTGAAGTGTTATTTAATGCACAAAAAACAAAGTCAGATAATACGCCTTTTTAAAAGAAAATGCTATTCTGTAAAACATATAAAAATGTTTAAACAAAATTTACAATGACATTTAAAGACGTTAACGGTATCTCAGGTGCTAACTTAGCATTCGACGAATTTTATGACTAGTTTTGTTTACTATATAAACTTTGTTTTCTTAAATTAAAAACCAGAAAATATTTGAATAAGCCCAATGGATAACAATCATTAGTGCTTAATCATTAGCAGTCGAGCCGGCCCATTCATGCCACGCTTCGGTATGATTGGGCCGGCTCGATCGGAATGATACCACGGCCTCACAGAAAACCGACGTGAAGCAACGCTTGCGTTGTGTTTCGTCGTGTGAGTGAGGGTACTGGAGGCCCAACCCCTCCCTATTCCCTTCCCTCCCTATGATCATATTCGTCCCTCAAAAGCCGGTAGCGCGCTTGTAGCCCCTCTGGTGTTGCAAGTGTCCATGGGCGACGGTGATCACTTACCATCAGGTGATCCGTCTGCTCGTCTGCCCCCTATCCCATAAAAAAACCTGAACACAAAATAATAGGTATTACGTTAGAATATTACGGTATACTATAAAAATAAAACTAAAATTGATTGAAATAAATATCTTTCATATGATAAATTACTAATAAATCAATCTAAAAAGCTGACTACCAACACATATGTGACAAATAGTTAAAGCAACATGGACAATTATAAAAAACAAAACCACTAGTACACAAAAAAAAATACATTTACAAAATAAATATTGACGGAAACAAGATACAAGAACCAAAAGGATTCTTTGAACATTTAATAGGTAATACAGTAACATAACTTAAAAAAATAAACATATAATAATTTTTTTTTTAAGCCAATCATTGAAAATATCATTGACAGGACAATCGTGACTCTGAAAAATGAATTCAGAGGGATGTAATTGTAATAGTACAAGGGTAATAAAGTCATGCAGAACAGAACTAGGTCCAATATTAACTCAATTAGTGAATTAATTAATGCAAACTAGATCACTTCCGGAGAAACTTAAAATATCCATTGTAAATCCGTTACATAAAAAAGGGTGATGCTACTCGATTGGATAATTATAGACCGTTAATTTCTATATTTTTACGTTAATTTCTATATTTTTTTATATTTGTAAGAACAATCATCGTCGTTCTTCATAAAATACAATATTATTAATCAAAACCAATATGCATTTCAAAACGAAAAGTCTGCGTAGTTGAGTTGTTGATAAGTTCGTGTGGCAGTTTATAAATTAGTAAATGATTTTTTAGAAAATGTTAATGACAATAATTACACATCAGTAATATTTGTTGATATGTAAAAAGGCATTTAATCATGTTTCACATAAACAACTGCTCGACAAATTAGAATTTAATGGCACAAGACGACCAGCTAACGATTGGTTAAAATCCTATTTGGAAAACAGGCTGCAATGTGTCGAAATAGAGCAAATAGATAGTAAACATAACAGACATACAGATCTAATTTTTAATATAATAGAAGTGGAGTACCACAAGGGAGTATAATCGGTCCATTGCTATTCCTACTGTGTATAAATGATATTTTTAGAATTTGTATTTTATTTTAGTTAAGATTGTGTGTGTGTGTGTGTGTGTATTTAAATTTTATCGTAATTTATTTTAGTAATTTTGTATCCATTTGCATGCTATATATAATGTAGCTAAATAGGTATAAGCTCATTGACTTGAAATACTATCCGCAAAATCGTATCACTGTAACCTTATTTATAGGAAATAAATAATTGTAGGATTAATAAATGAAGAATAAATTTATAGGACGAATCAGATATTTAGTCCAGTCACTCAAAGGATTCATCTCCGTTTTAAGTAAAAATGCTTTAAAATGGTACAAATAACAAACTTGACGTAGTGCTGATGTATGCTTTTAGCCGGAGGGTGAATGCCACAACATCTTGGGGGTGAAAATCAAAAAAATAAAAATTCGATTACTGCGAAAGATAATCTTATTTTGAGCACAAAAATAAAGTATAAAGTCTTCCAAGGTATTGATTGAAAATGTCAAAAGAAATGCAAGTTTTTAAACTACTTTTCAGGAATAACTCAAAAATTTGACGTTTTATGGAAAAAAATATAAGAATCAAAATTAAAGTACATAAAAAACAAAGAAATAAGTTGGTTTTGCTCTTCGATCATGTTGTTTAATGTTGCGGCTTATACTTATATATGACTCATTGAATGCTATTTTTTCGTAAATTCGAAAAAGCGAATAAGTAAAGATTTTTCCAAAAATATATAATTACCTTTTTTAAAGTACTTTCTTAAGAGTTATAATAAAAGTTTAAAACTTAAAAATTAACGGAGTTATATCATTTTTAGCCCTTCAACCCTTAAACTCTTTGAACGTGAGAGTCTATTTTTTTTTAATTCAAATAACATTATAGCTTATTGAATTTCCTACAAAACTTTATTTTAATTAATGAAATAGCTCAAAAAGAGACCGAGTTATCGTTACAAACCTATTTTTTTTTTGAGAAATATTGTTGCAAAATTACGGAAAGCCCAAATTTTGTAATTATTTATTCATTCGTATACATGCGTTTCTCTTTACAATAACTGAACTGGTAGACCACGTTAATACATACATACACAACAAAATATATTAAAAGAGATATTAGAAGTAAAAGATAGAAAAGGAAAGTAATTTTCCGAAGGAAAATAGTAATCTCTGTTAGTAAACACCTACTAACGATTAAGTTTCTATGTGTATCTTCATAATTTAACACTACAAATGAATATTGATAGTTTAATTATTATTACAAATAATAATTTTTAATTAGAATAGTTAAAATTAAAAAGTTTAAATTTTAGAAGTTGAATAGGTAGTTAAAATAAATATTTATCAGATGATTATACTTTGAGAATATAATTTTTCTATTTAAGACAAGAAATCAAAAGTTTCAGAATTTTCCATTTTTTTTTATAAGAAACTACGGGGTAGTTTCTAGGGGTTGTAAATAGAGTGAAATATCAAAATACTAGCTGTATCATATAAATAATACATATTTAATATTATTTGAACATAATTACGGCCAATGAAAAGATTAGTTCAATATATTAATTTCAATTTGTTAAGGGGTACTTTTCACGCCTTAAACACAAAAAGCGCAACTAAATCAGATTTGAATGTGAAGTGTGAGACGAGCTTAATTCCTAAATTTCCAAATCCATGCAGTTTTACAGAAATCGGAGGTAAAGCAGTATTTTTACGTTCAATGACTGGACTAATGTTATTTATTATTTTTCCAGTCATTCCCATACCTTAGGAAAATGACCTACATATTTTATTTATTACAAATAAGAAATCATGCATAATTAATAATTCTAAAGGTTAAACTATGAGAGCTGCTGTTTTGTGTCATTATAACATAATATGTTCTTACATATGAAATTTCTATTTGGTATGGGAGAAACAAAAAGTCGAATATTTTTTTATTATAATATATTTATTTAATCAAAGTATAAACCATTGTTATCTATGCACTTTTGCCATCTCATAGGTAGTTCATTGATCCCCTTACTAAAAAAACCATTCGGACGGGAATCAATAAAATCTTTGAAGGCGATTTGCACTGCCCCATCAGAGGTGAATTTTTTCCCTTGCAAAAAGTTATGCATAACAAAAATGGTGATCTGTTGGAGCAAGGTCCGGGAAGTACGGTGTATGTCTTAGACATTCCAATTGAAGCTCTTCTAATTTGATAGCCGTCTGTTGATAAAGTGTGTGGTCTAGCGCTGTCGTGAAGTAGCCTCGGTTGTTTAACAGCTAGTTTTTCCAGCATGGTTTGCAATTGCTGACAATAGACGTCTGCCGTAATCGTCTCACCAGATTCAGTTCAGTCCACCAAACGCTTACAAGTAACTTTTTTGGGGTCAATTTTAGCTTAAGACAGGATTTATCTGGCATGCCAGGGTCCAACCATTGCGATGAGCGCTTCCCATTATTGGAGAGAATCCATTTTTCATCACAGGTAATCATTCGATTTAAAAACCCATCATTATTGTGCCGGTTAAGTAATTTAACGCAGCAGTCGAAGCGCGTTTGCCGGTTGACTTCACTCAATTCGTGAGGTAAGGTAAGATGGGTAAGATGGGGTACCCAGCGAAATTCATAGTTAAAAGTAACCAATTGCACTCGTTTATTCATCGTGCGATGCGCCACCATGATACTTAAAAGTCACCCGGCGATTGATGGTTCGCAAGCGCACACATATCGAAAACAGTCAAAAAATTATTTTACTGCAAACTGCTTATCATATTTTCTTCGGGTTTGACACGTGACTGTGATTTATTCAATAACGCTAGCTGGTGAGATGTTGCTGTGATTGACGCTTAAACTATTCTATAATAAGGTAGGCATTGTGTTTCTTTAAGATAGTTTACTGGTTTTTTTTTGTTTTTATTGCTAGAAAATGGCTCTGTAGGCAAGATGGAGTAACTCTTGCCCCCAATGAGAAAAATGATGAAAACAGCTAAACTACGAAGAGACTCATCATCAGAAGATGAAAGTGAAGAAAAGGGGGACATGCCATATGTGTTTTGTTCGGAAGTATATTCTGTTTTCATTGAAGGGTGGATATCATGCTCAGTATGTGGAAGATGGTCTCATAAAAACTCCGCAGGAATAGATAATGATGATGATGAAGCCATGCAAGTCTGTGAATTCTGCCAGCCCTAAGTAATCAACTTTCTCTGGGATCATTGTCATCACCCCATCTTACCTCAGGGGGGTACCCCATCTTACCAGCACCATGGGGCAAGACGGGGCAAGACACCTTTTTTTTATTAATATTTTTTTCTCTAAAATATGTAACTAAAAGTTCCTACTGACACCAAATATTGGAAATGTAACAATTAGTCGTTATTAAAAAAATAAATATAATTAAATAAATATGATTTTTTTAAACAAAAATAAATGTGACAAGCAAAGTATAATGACAATCACTTGAATTTGTTACTTTTATAATACCTTTATATTACCAATCGGTAACATAAAGGTTGCATTATTTATCATTATTAAAACCCTTAGGGCGCTTGTGCACTACACTGAATTTTTAGGTCCGGCGGTCCGATTTTTTCCTGTCCGATATGTCAGGCCGTATGTAGGTAATGCGCGCCTGTGCACTGTCAGGAATTTTACCGTCCGGGATTTTACTTTTCTCTATTCCGGACTGGTTTTTTCAGGTCCGTGATGGCGGCAATGAAAAACGTGTTTACGCTTTTGCACTGCTGTGTCCGCGATCAATTCAAAAGGAATAAGCTTGGGAAAAAAATAATCAATTTGTGTATAATCGATATTTATTTCGGCGATATTTTTAATTTCCAATAAACTGATAATCGATATTTATTGTGGATTATAAAATGCTATATTTTATATGATGATTCAATATAGTTGGTAAATATCACTGCATATGCTTTGGCAAACTCGGTATAGTTCTAATTTGATCAGTGTATGGTTCTAGTATCGATACTTAGCTAGATTTTAGAATCGTATAAAAGGTATCGATAACTTAAGGTAAGATAAATAAGTGTTGTTACGCTTAGACGCCTAAAGAACTGAACCCATCTTAATGGAAATTAATATAGTAAATAGACTTCACTTTAAGAAAGGACATAGGATACATTTTATCGCGAAAAATAAGGGATGAAAGTTTGCCTGGAAATTTGTCATTATCAAAACTTTTTTAGACAATTGATAAGTATAGATAAATATTTGATAACAGAAGTAGTAACAAATTCAAGTGATTGTCATTATACTTTGCTTGTCACATTTATTGTTGTTTAAAAAAATCATATTTATTTAATTATATTTATTTTTTAATAACGACTAATTGTTACATTTCCAATATTTGGTGTCAGTAGGAACTTTTAGTTACATATTTTAGAGAAAAAAATATTAATAAAAAAAAGGTGTTTTGCCCCGTCTTGCCCCATGGTGCTGGTAAGATGGGGTACCCCCCTGAGGTAAGATGGGGTGATGACAATGATCCCAGAGAAAGTTGATTACTTAGGGCTGGCAGAATTCACAGACTTGCATGGCTTCATCATCATCATTATCTATTCCTGCGGAGTTTTTATGAGACCATCTTCCACATACTGAGCATGATATCCACCCTTCAATGAAAACAGAATATACTTCCGAACAAAACACATATGGCCTGTCCCCCTTTTCTTCACTTTCATCTTCTGATGATGAGACTCTTCGTAGTTTAGCTGTTTTCATCATTTTTCTCATTGGGGGCAAGAGTTACCCCATCTTGCCTACAGAGCCATTTTCTAGCAATAAAAACAAAAAAAAAACCAGTAAACTATCTTAAAGAAACACAATGCCTTCCTTATTATAGAATAGTTTAAGCGTCAATCACAGCAACATCTCACCAGCTAGCGTTATTGAATAAATCACAGTCACGTGTCAAACCCGAAGAAAATATGATAAGCAGTTTGCAGTAAAATAATTTTTTGACTGTTTTCGATATGTGTGCGCTTGCGAACCATCAATCGCCGGGTGACTTTTAAGTATCATGGTGGCGCATCGCACGATGAATAAACGAGTGCGATTGGTTACTTTTAACTATGAATTTCGCTGGGTACCCCATCTTACCCGCTTCCCCGTCTTACCTCACGAATTGAGTGAAGTCAACCGGCAAATGCGCTTCGACTGCTGCGTTACATTACTTAACCGGCACAATAATGATGGGTTTTTAAATCGAATGATTACCTGTGATGAAAAATGGATTCTCTACAATAATGGGAAGCGCTCATCGCAATGGTTGGACCCTGGCATGCCAGATAAATCCTGCCTTAAGCTAAAATTGACCCCAAAAAAGTTACTTGTAAGCGTTTGGTGGACTGAACTGAATCTGGTGAGACGATTACGGCAGACGTCTATTGTCAGCAATTGCAAACCATGCTGGAAAAACTAGCTGTTAAACAACCGAGGCTACTTCACGACAGCGCTAGACCACACACTTTATCAACAGACGGCTATCATCATTAAGTTCTTCAGAAATAAAGTACTGAAACCTTAGATCTGAAACATATCGTCCAATAGTTATCCTATTAATATTATAAATGTTAGTATCTTTGTTTGGATATTTGTCCGTCAATCACGCCGGAACTACAGCTGTCTCAAATTCACTCGAAAAAAAGCTGGGAGTTAAAAAATAGCGATGAGTTTGACTTCTAAGTAATAGGGTATTAAACTAATTTTAAAAAATAGTTTTAATTTATTCTTTATTACATTACACATTACATTAATATTCCACTTTATCAATAAATATCAATGTTGAAGTATAATTTCAGAATTCCCGCGATAAACACTGCCTGTCATAATCGCCATTACGCCGGGACGCCGCGTTTTACGTTACACGTAAGTAATGAGGAAGTATTTAAATAAAAACGAAAGCGCTAAAAAAGCACCTCCACTAGATGACGACTCTAGCATAAATTGATTTTTGCAGGAAACTAATGGACCAAAGACAGTCATTTCCGTTCCTTTTAACTAACATATTAAAAAACTGAAATTAGAAAAGTTCGAAACTTAGATATCAATACAAATACGAAAAAGTACAAACTGGATATGAGTTGTTTATTCAGTTTTAAAATTAATTTACTTTTCAACATGAAAGAAAACTGGAAGGGTTGTCATGGAGAAATCAAGAACGTACCATAGCGACATCTAGTTTGATTTCGATTATTGATACTTTACTCGATACCAGTAGCGTATCAAAAGTATAATGAGGAAGTATTTAAAAAAAAATTGTTCCCGAAAACAAGCGTGAGTATGTGTTGTTTTGTATAATAGTTGAGTGGAGTAATAAACTTGTTAATAAATTTTTTGACCTTTGTATTATAGATGTTTGAACTACTACTATTAAATACTTATACTCTATGATGTTCACTCTAATTTTGTGAATATTTCTGGCGCCTATCAAATGTTCTAATAATTATAATAAAAAACAAAATAAAGCAGTGCCTCTTTCTTGGTAGGGCCTCTTTCTTTCATGTCTCCGTTCCCTTTATGCAATGTCCCCGCCGTTTGACTCGTGTTTGGGACTCTCCATCCGCACTGACCCATCCAAGAGCTAATCAAATCAAAACGCGGATGGCATACCCATTAAAAGCCCTCCTGTTTAGTCCAATCGTCGAATTTGCTCGATATTGCATATAAGAATATAGACAGCGATCGAAGATTTTTTTTAGTGACAAAGATGTGGTTTTATCTAAGATTAGGCTGTATGAATTTTATCCCTATGTCTTTAAATAAATATCAACAACAACAATGATAAAGTTGACCTTTGTCTACGATTTTATAATGCTACTTATTTTAGAAGTCGTAATAATTCATACAAACGGGAACATTTTATGGATATATAAATTTTGGCAAACAATACACGACAATTCTACCGATCAAGTCGACACAAATAAAAATGGTGGTTCAATAGATTAGATTTCCCTGAAACATGAATATTTTTATTGAAATAGCATAGTACAAACACAAAATTATTTAAAAAGTGGAACTTGTTTCTCCAGCTTTGTGATCTCAACTCCAAAGCTGGTGCGTTTACTTGGTGCATCGGCGGTAGCTGAGTTTGATAAAATAACAGGTTGTTGAAGACGGACACCGATTTCGCTACAGTTTTGTGTAATGTGTTTTTTATACGAAAAAGCAGTTCATTTACCGCAAATGTAACCCATTGCTCGTGGCCGAGCAGAGTTTTGGTGTATAAAATAAACTAAACACGAAAGCTTTATTTATTTCAGTCGAAGCTTTGCTGTCTAATCAGCATGTGACCCAAATATGAGATTTCTCTTCTTTGTGTAAAAGTGTTGAATTAGATAACTGGTGAGTTGAAGCGATAATATTCTGGTGACAATTTTCCGTATTTATTATCTGTAAAGAGACGACGTTATTGGAACATGTCACGGTTGAATTCAACCTGCTTGCTACATGGGGGGTCAGGTGCATAAGCCTGAGCACACGTTTAATAGACTCAAGAAGATTACTTTTTACACTGACGAATATTTGAATGTGTCCTCATTCGTTGGGTTACATTATAAAGGAGTGTTTTTATTGACAACCTGCACTGCAGTGCTGGAAGGTATTATCAGGAATATGTTCAGAAGGTTGATGAGAAATCCGGTTGTGAAGCCGATAATAAGACTAAAGGATGAGGATGAAATAAGTGCTTTTTGATTTGTTGCTAATCAAGGAATATAAAAATGTCATACAATGGCTAATACTGAAAATCACAGATACATAGTACAGGTAAGAGAAAATAACCAGTGAATTGAATAATTATAATGAAACCTAGTTATGTAGTTTTTAAGTTCTTAATTTTGTCACATATAATGTATGTATGTAATGTATGTACCAATCCTTGATACTGTTTAATACTGTTAAAAATTATTGATACTGTTAGAATGAAAATTCTAATAAAATGAACAGTATTAATATTTTTTTCATATTCATCACAAACATTTGTATTAGGGATGTCAAATGAGGATGTTTTGTGTGACATACTTACTTAAAAAGTCTTATTTTATTTTACCATTTATATTTAGTTTGTAAAATGTCATAAAATTAATTTCCTCATATGCATTTACATATGTATACCCTTATAACACCATACTGAAAAAAAAATGTCAAAGTGTGCCTGAGTTTAGTAGTATAAAAGTTTGATAAATATTAGGCTGCATCATATACAATGCTGATTCCATTTTAAGTATCTAAAGCACTTGTTATCTGGAAATCTGATTCAATGAAGGTAATGCAACATGCAAATAGACAATAAAGAAAAGTTCATCTTTTATATTAACCTGAACAGAAATCTTTGAAATCGGCATATTAGCTTATGATCTGTTAACTAACTAACCTTGTAACTATAACACATATAAGACATGTCTGTCAATAGGATTAGTGTTAATTATCAGGTTTGATTTAGGTGTTTGTGGGTGCCCTGTCTGCACAATATGAAGCCCTATCAGTTGAAGCCTCTAAACAAACCAGCTCAGAAGAGATAGTTGGTTGTATTGCTGATAAACTCAACTTGAGCAATGGAACTGGAGGCCCATATGAATTGGCTGAGGTAACTATTAATTAAATATTGATTGTAGTGTCGCCTTTTGTAATTTCTTTTAATTTTATTTTTGTGATGTATTGCCTGGTCTCTGACATGTCATTGTCCTGGCAAGTCACAATGTGCCAGCAGTATATGAGACAGCCTAAAAGCTAGCCGTACCGTAAACTTAGGCCCCTTTATATTAAAAGAAAGCATTGTCAACCCTTATTTGATAAAATAACAAGAAATAATTGAATGATATACAAAGTTTTACACACACTCAAAGTATTTCATTAAAGTTACATATATTGGTTGAACTTTTTGAATCATTTGTTTAAGCTCAATCATTAACTATGCTACAATCTATTGAATTATGGTTTTTTAAGAGTGAACCATACTTAATAAAAACTACATTTGCACAACTTCTAAAAAGATATTCTTTAAATATTAGAAAAAGACAATTACACTTCCTAGTCTTGACCAGGTGTCAACTGTCATAACTCTTAACTGTTAGTCTAAGCACACACTGATTACTGAAGTAAACTGAGCGAAAAACTGGATTCTGGCGAAATCCACAAGGGAAATGCCATTAATTAAAAAGAAGAAGAAGTACTTGTCAGCGTATTTTGAATAATTATGCACACTAGAGATGTGTCAATTAGGTGACTTCCATAGAAATGACAGGAGCACAATGACAGAAACAATAAATTATGATGACAAAAAATTATCAGCGCATGCATAGTCTCATAATCTAAATCAGGCCTGGGCAAAAGGTGGCCCGTGGGCCGCAGAATGCAAATTATTTTATATTAATTTTAATGAAACTTAAACTGATGTACTTGCTTAACATATTTTTAATTCAAAGAGTCTGAACTAATTTTCTCAAAAGTTATAAAAAAACAGTGGTTTTTTGCCTATGGTAATTTACGAGGGTGGATTGAAAAGTTCGCGGCCTCAGCAAGAAAACAATATAAAATATAAGCAAAAGTAATTTTATTTTTCCATGTAATCTCCACTTAACTCTATGCACTTCTTCCATCTGTTTTCCAACGCCTGTATGCCGGTCATAAAAAAATTTTCTTCAAGGCCTTCAAAAAGCCAAAAAAGATGTTTTTTAGATTTGGGAATAAATGAAAGTCTGAAGGTGCCAAATCAGGGGAATAGGCGGGATGGGGCAGTGATTCGAAGCCACAATCACGAATTTGAGCCATAGATTCAACAGACGTGTGAACGCGTGCATTATCCTGATGGAACAACACTTTCTTGCTGAGTAATCCTAGCCTTTTTTTGTTTCGCGCAAGCGACGTAAGAGGGTGCAGTAATAATCCGAGTTTATAGTTTCACCTTTTGCAAGGTAGTCCACCATGATGACACCCTTAGCATCCCAAAAAACTGACGCCATCACCTTGCCAGCTGACAAAATGGCTTTGGATTTTTTTGGAGTGGGGTGATCACGTTTTTTCTTCTGCTTGGATTGCTGTTTTGACTCTGGGGTTGCTCTTGGTGGTGTACCCAAGTTTCATCCATTGTTACAAATCTGGATAAAAAATTTGTGGATCAGCCTCAAACATTTCCAAACAGTCGCGAGAAATCGTGAGGCATATTCGTTTTTGTTCGACTGAAAGCAATCTGAAAAATCCAAGTTCATTGACTATGATGTTTTGTGTTCGTTGATACGAGATGCCAATAGTGATCAAAGATTTTCCCGATGTTTTCTTCAGTCGTAGACGTCAAACGCCGGACAGAGCGAGGGTCATCTTCAATACTCTCTCGTCCGCGTTTAAATACAGCAACCCACTTTTTCACAGTCATATACGACGGAGCAGATTCCCCCAATGTTGTTGACATACATATCTTCGTGAATCTCATTGGGAGTTAGTTTTTTTTAAACAGATATTTGATGACCACACATTGCTCAATTTTCTCCATTCTTTAAAAATGCTGCACAAAGGCTCACAAAATGCAGTCTAATTTAAATACAGTTAATGCTATTGCGAAGAATTTTACAATTTGACAACCAGAGAGTAAACTAATCGAATGAGGTAGTGTCAGTTTTACATTAAAATAGTTTTAAGTATTTATGTTCAGCCGCGAACTTTTCAATCCAAATGCCATTAAAGTTAAGAAGAATAAGAATAAGAACCCTCGTATTATTGCAATTCCAAGTAACGTTGGATCGATTTGCTTACTATATGAAAAAAAATGTTTGGCCTGAGGTAAAATTTTTATCTGCAATATGGCATGTGACCCGACTATCAAAATAATTGTCCACCCCTAATGTAAATCCTCTTATTTTGTACAAGGTCTGTTTTTTTATGATAAAATTCAATCCTCTTATTTTGTATAAGATTTGTTTTTTTAGTATTGATTATATTCACTAATACCCATGTATAGTTATTAAAATGTTAATGACATTTGTTGTTTCCTTACTTTTTGCTAATTATACATATTTTATCACCAATACAAGTGACAAATAGGAAATGAAGGATACTAATTTCCTTTTAGTTTAACAAATTGATATATTTGAGATATATGGTTAATTAATACATCCATATACATATCATACACAGACAGCTTGCTCAATAAAAGCTTAACAAAACAAAAATCATCATCTGCAAACTAATATGTAACTATTAGGAGAGAAATAGATTCACATGTTATACTATATAACAGGTTGTGGGTGACATGGTTAGCGGCGAATGTAAGGAGCGTCGACTCGGACCCAACGAATCTCCTGTTGCAGTCATGCTGCTCTGGCCTAACAACAACTCAGGCCAGTACTACAGGTACATATTTCATGATATTTCCTTTTTAAGTTATTTTAAAATAAATACACGGAAGAAAAACCCAACAGTGGGATACTCTTGGGTTTTTATTCCGTGTAAAATGATAAATTATGCTTAAATCAAATTAAAAGTTGTAACAATGATCAAGGAATCATCACCACAGTGTGGATAGAATTTAAACCAACAAAAAATATTTATCTAATATTTTTCTAATTTCTGATAGATGGACTAAATATATTTTTTAACCTGGTCATCATCCCTACTGCAGACCATATGTTGTAGATTTTAGCAAAAGATAAGAAAGCTTTATGATTTAAAAAATGGACCTTCGTATTGTATACTACTTGTAGCGACATCTGCATGCGGTTTTTTCATGAATCCAAATGCCGTCCAATCAAATAATGCGAATCTAAATCAGTTTTAATCAAATTAAAATCCTTGACAATAAAATAAGTATTACTTAGCAATGATATTATTTGAATATTTAAAAAATGCAGTGGCGTATTGTGCTATCAGCACCCCAAGTCTATTATGGGCTCTGTACAGGGACCGCGGCCATATCCGGCGGCTTTCTAAGCCTTACAAAAAACCGCCGGCTTAGTAGCGCAGGTTGAAATATCTATGCAACTGGATGATCGGTGTTGGAAAAAACATTTATGCATAAACGTGCCGCTCGGCCAAAACATGTGTGTTGGAGTCATTAGGATTGCTGCTTCGCAAATTATTGCGGAAAAGCAAGATATAACTATCATAAGTAAAATAAAATTCAGCAGTATTCGAGAGAATATATAAAGTAAAGCATCAATCATTTTACTTGACCGACAGGACATTCTATTGTATATTGTATGACCCTAAACTACACAAAGAATCTCAACAATTAATTTCATGGTTTTAGTTTATAACTGTTCATCGTAAATCGGTTTAGTTTATCGTAAATGTAGTAATCAAAACTAGAACTGTACCTAGTCTTGTTTTGTGCCAACAGAATTCTGACCATTGCTTTCATAGTACAGACATTTATATAAATGCTGAACATTTGGTAAGTATTAAACAATAGACAGAGTGATTAAATCGGACATTTATTTAGCCTCGTTAAGAATCGCATTATCAAGATACTTTAACCTCGTAGACACTCATTCGCACCTCTAATTGATCGATAAGAGGGAGCATCATGCTAATATAGAGCTACAATTTAATTATCTGCAATTGATTGCTGTTTTATACTTATTTATCCATAATTGAAGACGATATCATGGGATACGTGTGTACATATATAAAAAAAAAACGGTTTTATTGATAATTTCGTCCGTTTTTGAAGTCGATTAAAAATATGTGCAGTTTTTTTTGTCACATTGTTACTAACATTATTTGCTATTATTTGTTTTCCTTTCACGTATACCACATATAATACACATATAAATTATAAGAAAACAATGAGGAAAACTGTAGGGCGATATAGAAATGAAAGTATTTAATAGAATCAGTACATACCTTATTGAAACTTATTCCATATTCCATAAAACATGTTCCATATTAGCATTTTTATGTGTAATCAAAAATTTTTTTTTAATGTTTTTGAATCTGGCTTTATAAACTTTTAGAGATCGAGAGCTCTTAACAAAAATGAGCGAGAGTTTTATTAAGATTAATTCAGTATGTATTCATGGTAAAAGCCACTGGTACAGTACCCAGTGCGGAGGTCAGGTGCTGGAACCTGATGGCGGAGACACGAATCAAAACTAGCATTTGCTGAATTTGTTCCATTAAATGAAAATCGTTTTTTTTTTTTCATTAATTAACTATATATAATATTTAGCATTAAAAATCCTTAAAAAATTCACCAGCCCATCTCCCATCATGTCCTATCATGGATTATTTTAGCATTATTCATTAAGAATATTTACCAGCATAGTATTATGAATGCAAAATTGATTAAATATAATAACTTTATTAATAAATTTATTAATTTAATGAAGCTCATTTTACGATCTGCTGCCTCACCATATTTATCAGAATATTTCACTTTTTTATATTAAAAATAAGTTTTTTCCTAATTTTAAACTGTTAAAACATCTTAAAACAGCCAGGATTGTGGGATACTTTTGGCGTTTATGTTTTATTGTATTATTTATTATCACATACATTGTTATGATTGTACTGAGGAATGTATACACCCAGTATTTCCACATACTAATATCAACTGTTAGAAAATTCTTGCATAATTTTGTCACAAGCTCTTGTACTATTATAATAGTAGTACCAGTTTTCAAGTAGCCTTTTTATAATTTATAATCTACATAATTATGATTAATAATAAACAACTTGCATAGTAGTATAGGTAGCTTGTAATTATTAAGTCCTGCGATTAAGTACTACGATATACGACATCTAACCTTGCATACACATCTGCTTGTTATAGCGCCCGGTCACTCGGATATTATCAACTATTATTGTGGTTCCGTGCACATTCATTCATTCTGTTCGAGCCCTAAGAATCGTCATTAGCTGACTGTTTATTCGCATATCGTGTCCCTACGAAGATTACGACAAGACTGTTGTGTAGACAACTTTATATGACTCACTCTTATAAAATGGATGTTGAAACAATGTACCTATTATCTTTAATTATGTGAACATAATCTTTATATCCTTTAGAAACAAAATCATATGTTAAATTTGTTCTTAGATATTTAACTAAATTAAAGTACAAATAATAGTTTGAAGGACAGAATTAAATGCTGTGTAACGTAGAAACCTATATGATTGGGGATAAAATGTGCGCGTGATTCACTCTTCCGCCGCAACTCTGTGATAACAGCGTCTCCATCCTGCCAATTAAACTAAAACAGAGACTTGTAAAACAAACATGGACTCTGCCACATAACACTTTATCCAATTTCTAATATTATAAATATGACACAAAAGTAATGTTTTTGTTTTTTGTTATGATGCTAAACAATAATAATTGTGTTTGCACTAATTTACTGTTTTTGTTTTTCAGATTTTATCTTCGTGAAAAAATACCAGAGGAACCATGGATGGAGAACTTTTCAGTGGACCCTCAGCTGATAAAAGACTTTTTTCAAAGGTTTCTATATCAGCCTAAAGATCGAGAGTATCCTGATCTTTGTCAACTGCCAGAGCTCAATGAACAAACCCTGCTGGACAATCTTAGAGCGAGGTTTGCAGCGGGATATATCTACACATATGTGGGCTCCATCTTAATAGCTCTCAATCCGTTTAAGTTCTATCCCATTTACAATCCCAAGTATGTGAAGTTGTACCAGAACAAAAGGATTGGATCCAGTCTTCCACCTCACATATTCGCAGTTGCTGACGCCGCTTACCATTGTATGCTGCGAGAAAGAACAAATCAGTGTATAGTGATCAGTGGAGAAAGTGGTTCAGGAAAAACAGAAAGCACAAATTTCCTTTTGCACCATCTAACAGCCTTAAGTCAGAAGGGCTCTCATGGTAGTGGTGTGGAACAAACAATATTAAGTGCGGGTCCTGTTTTAGAAGCCTTTGGTAATGCAAAAACCGCCCATAATAATAATTCGAGCCGTTTTGGAAAGTTTATACAAGTTAATTACAAAGAAAATGGAATGGTTCACGGTGCAGTTGTACAAAAGTATTTACTTGAAAAATCTAGGATATGCAGTCAGGGTCGTAACGAGAGGAACTATCATGTGTTTTACTATTTGCTAGCTGGTGCTTCGGAACAAGAGAAAGAACAGTTGCATTTATTAAGTGTGGACAAATATAATTACTTATCGCGGACTGGGTGTAGTGTTGTGCCAGGTGTGGACGAACAGTATGAGTTCTCGCGGCTCAAGCAATCAATGGACATGGTGGGTTTCACTATGGACAAGCGGCGGAGGTTGTTTGCTGTGTTATCTGCCGTTCTGCTACTAGGTAAACTTTGAATTAATTTATTAACCAATAAATACGTAAACAGACGTAAACTTATTACATCATTATCTAAGAAAAATATTGTTTTAAATATTAAGCTAAAAAAGTATTATATTAAGTATTATAGACTAGGAGATCGTGACGACAATGGCAATTTATAGTGCAACACACTTCAGCAGAACCTATAAAACGTATGACATTAGACCGCAAGAATAATATAATTCAAAGCGTAAAATACTATTTACCCATAAATAACACGAAATTACAAGAATGTAGACTATTTTTCAAAAATACATTGAATGTAACACATCAAACTATATATACTGCTTTAGAAAAAGCTCAATCTGCAAATGGTTTTCATGACCGTATACTGAAGATAGTATAAAGAAACATATTGAACTATTCCCCACAATTGAATCACATTATGTCAGAGAAAAATCCCAAAAACTATACCTTTCATCATACTTAAATATTTCAATAATGTATCGTTTTTATAAAGATTGGTTCAAGAATCAAAATTACGATGAAGACATAGAGATTGGAACACTAAGACAATACCAAACTGTTTTTAATACTCACTACAATTACTCCTTTTTGTGCCCAAAAGAGATTTGTGCGGTAAGTGTGAATTATATAAACAAGCTGATGATAACAAGAAACAATTGTTGCAAGAAGACTATGATAAATATATAAAAAACAAAGAAAGAGTTTGGAAACTGAAAGAGGAAGAAAAGAAGAACCTTGATCATAATAAAAGTACAGTTGCAATTTTCGATTTGGAGAAGGTGTTGAGTATACCAAAATTTCAAGTAGAAATATTACACTACAAAAGGAAATATCCAATTTACAATTTACTGTCTATAACTCGGTGCTCCGACAAGGATTCTGTTACGTGTGGCACTATCAACTAGCAAAAAGAGGAGCAATTGAAATTGGCAGTTGATTGTGGCAGTTTTTGAACACTGAACATGAACGTGGCATTGAACATATTTCCTTTTATTCTGATGATTGTGCAGGCCAAAATAAGAATAAATTCATATTTGCTCTTTAAATTAAATCGATTCTTTAAAACTGGACACGGGCAAAGTGAGGCTGACAGTATGCACTCTTGCGTAGAAAGAGAAAAATAAAAAGATATACACCCCAGATCAAATGTAATTCAAAATGCAAAGGCTACCGGCAATATATTTATAGTTAAAGAAATGGAACAGTTCAATTTCTATGACATTAAAGTTCTTGTTGCGGGAAAACATTGGGTGCGAGACGTACAAGACAATAAAATTTTATGGTTTAAAGTGATGGAAGTTAAGGTGTTTAGCAACGAACCAAAAATTTTACGCTATGAGTATGATTTTGATAATGATTATTCCATTTTAAACACAGAAGTTTCATCAAGAGTTATGGAACGAGTCGGCCGTGGTCGAAAAACTGCAGCAGCTTCGACTGCAATTTATGATGTTGAAGACTTAAAATGTGCTTACAGTAAACTGATTCCAGTTACTAAAGCTTTATACAACGATTTAAAGAGTTTGTGTTCATGTGAGGTTATACCTCGGCACTATCATTCATTCCATACGTCTTTGATATCGACAGATCAAGAAGTATTGTCATCAGAAGAGGAGGACGAATTACCTTAGTTATAAAAGTACCTTAGTTATAAAAGTCCTATAGTTTGATTCCCATGATGAGTGCCACGATGATTGATCCAATTATAATTAATAAATCATAGTCTAATAATTTTCTTTTTAATTTAGAAGTATTTGTCTTTAGTTTAAAAATTAAAAAAAAAAAATAGAAGTTTTTGTTTTATATTCATTAAAAAGATTATTTTGAGCACTGGATATTTTTTTTAAATTACCCTGAATAACATTCTAATCGACTATTAGCACATACTCTCTCTCAGGTTATTTTACCAGAATAACATGACAATAGTTTATTATTGTAAAACATTTTAAGTGTCATTTTACTAGAATAACATGACAATAGCGTATTATTTTAAAACATTTTAGGAAGGATTTTTGCTAATATTTATTTTTGCGATTTTTTCGATTCATATACTTAATAAGTAACCGACATATGTGACATTTATTGTATTATAATTATACATTAAACTTTTTTTACACAATCCTTATAATAAAATTACTCTTGTTAACATATCAATAATGCTGTTTTATATATATACCTAAATATTATAATCATTTGAAAAAGTTTATTGTCAGCAGTACACATTCCAGCTAAACAAACATAATCATGTTATTATGTTTATTTTTGTGGCATAATCTAATCTAAAGCAACATGTCATTAACTGATAATAAAATATATTTAATGGATAGTGAACAAGAACATTGAACCTAATTAAAAATTTATTATAAAAGTCCAAAAATACTTTCAATGATATGCAGTATGTATTATTTTTAATACAATAAATTTAATTAGTACTGTCTTAACAATGTATGTGCTGATTTTGTTGTATAAATGACAAATTTCTACCAAATATTCTCAAGGGCATTCTTTGGTTAAATAGGAGTGTAGACAATGTTTTAATATATTTTATATTATAGATATACATGAAATGTATCTAAGAAAAATAAAAAGTATCATTAATTAACTTTTCACCCCTCTATATATCACTAATTATTGTAAGGATGTGACTTAATACATTTTTTCCACGAACCCTTGGTACAATTAGTGTAAATTTTGCATATTGTGCAAGGTTTCAGTCTAATTAAGCAGCATGACTTTTCTGAAATTATGTGATATTTTTTGTTTAATTTTTGAGCAACTTTGACAAGACATATGGGGGACCAATTTATTATTTCGAACTCATCTAGTTTTAATATGGCTAGTATATAGATTAGTTAGCCTTATAAATTTGTCTGGGTGTAGTAGTTATTGTCTGTTAGTCTAATGTAAAGCCTGTGCAACTAAAATTGTGTTTTAAAAACATTTTTTAAGAGTTATTTTATCTGACTAATAAAATATGATAAAATATTTGAGCAATATATTTATGTTACTTCAGGGAATGTAGAATTTCAACCACAGAGGAAATCATATCACCATGATGAAGCTGTTGGAGTACGGAACCCCGAAGTAGTCTCCCTCATATCATCACTGCTGCATGTTAAACAAGAGACTCTGCTCGCTGCGCTTACTTCTAAAAGAGCGCGTGCCTCCGGTGAAACACTTGTTATTAATTACAGGTAACAAGGAAATGCTCGTAAAAATAGCCTTTGTGTTCAACTAGTTTCATACTATCGTATTATAAAACGAGGACAACAATTATTACTTGAGTTAAACCATTAGCCACCTTAAGGAAATTGACAATGACAAGAGAATACGTCAAATTGAGATTTGTTGACTTATTTTGGTTTAAACTTGAGTTCCTAGAATGAAAGTAAACCCAATATGGCGTCCAATGCGCATATATAGTAGGGGTAAAAATTAAAGACGTAAAATACCTATCCTTTATTGAACATTATTTGTAAACCAAATATAAAGTCTTGTATTAGGTATGTATATTATTATTGTTAATGTTGTTAAATAAAATATTACACTTGAGTGTGATAAAAATCCAAAGATAAAAATTTCACAGCTACATTTCGGTATAGTAATAAATCACTTATTTCTTGAGTGTAAAGTACACCTCAGGGTTTACTTCCGTAAACTCGTCCTAAAGTTAGTATTTGTTTTATATTAATTTTTTTTTTAAATAAGCGTGATATAAAACCATACATTTGTAATATTTGCACTTACTTTTTTAGGCTTCCAGAAGCGATCGCCACACGTGACGCTATGGCCAAATGTCTTTATGGTGCTTTATTCGATTGGATCGTCATGCAAGTGAACCACGCGCTGCTCTCTAAAAAAGATACACTCAGAGAACACCAAGGACATAGTATAGGTAAATGACAATCGATCAGCTGTTTATTATGATAGATGAGGTTTCTTAACATGAATTACGTAATTTTGCCGTCAGAATACATTATTTACTCGGCTGAGTAGTTTGGTGGCGTAGTGGATGAGTGATCTTTGTTGTTAAGCAAATTTCGCAAGGGTCGGTCATAGGATGGATAATCAAAAATTATTATCTAGAATTACTTCGTGTTTTAGAAAGCATGTTAAGCCGTTTTTGCAGTCGTTAATACCCTCCAATCCGCATTAGACTAGCGTGGAGGGTCATGGCCCAACATCCTTGACCATCCATAAGGACGGCCTGAGTGATGATGATGATGCCACTACTTTCGAAGGTTGAACAGCATCTCTTTTTTGAGGCTGCTACTTAGAACAGGGATAAAGTCCATCAAAACCAATTAGACACTTAAAACTCAAAAGACCCAAAACTTAAGAGATTGTTTCTTGATCTAGGAATGTCGCCTTCCTAGCATTGCATTTCCCTATATTTTTTCCTTAAATGAAGAATATATGAGATTAAGAACTCTATATTTATTATTCCGCAATTATATATTGCTTTAAAACAATTTTTATTAGTCGAAAAAAGAAATCACTTGGGTGCAGAGTGTACTAATGATATTGTTATCATCATCAACAGGCGTCCTCGATATATTCGGATTTGAAGATTTCGGACCGAACAATAGTTTCGAGCAGCTGTGCATAAACTACGCGAACGAACATCTCCAGTACTATTTCAATCAGCACGTGTTCAAGTACGAACAGGAGGAGTACCGGCGCGAAGGCATCCGCTGGACGGACATTGGTTTCTCTGATAACACCGGATGTCTACATCTAATACAGGGAAAACCCGGCGGTCTACTCTGTCTCCTCGACGATCAGTGCAAGTGAGTATTACGCATCTCACTCACACTCTACTGTATTATCTTCATACATACTGAACTCCCCGCTAGATTTAGAACCAAACCCGGTTCTTTACTTCGTCTCCATAACGACCATTGCAAGTAGGCATCGCGCGTCTCAGTAGCACTATTCTCTTGCCATGGCAATTTTGACGCATGCGACTCATTTACACTCGACATTGAATTCTTCGCTAGCCTCATGATCAGTAGAAGTAACCTTTAATTTGCACTTATCATTCGCTTTACGCCATCTTATTCAAACTGTACGTCTGATCTTGCTGTTCAGTATATTTTCTCAACAACCACAAGTCCTATGAAACTAGAAATGTGGTAGCCAAACCATATTCGTCGTTTAATTAGCTTAATTTTAGACCTAATGAGTAAATGCAGTCAATCATATCACCCGGATATCGAAATTCTATTTTCTTAGTATATAAACATACACCTTTGGTTTCAAACTGTACCTTGTAAATCCTCATTCGCCGTAGTATACTATTCATACTGAATATTCCAAAACAATTAAATTTTAGTAATAATAATAATAATGTAATCTTTGGAATTCACATTCTCCTATTTTTTTTTTACAGTTTTCCTTGGGCCACCAATGAGACCTTACTACAAAAGTTTAACTCTGTCCATGAAGACAACCCTTTTTATGAAAAGCCGCAAAGGCGAGAGCCGGCCTTTGTAGTACGGCACTACGCGGGCAGAGTTAAATACCAAGTGAGTAAAATGTAGTAATTGGCTTGATTTGTTTTTAAGTTTTTCTAAAGTTGACCTTATTTGTATGCAGCAAATGAATTTTACAAATGTACAAATGAATGGATTCATATCCAATAGATATAACCGGGTTTTCTGTTGTAACATTTCGTTTTTATTCAGTCTAATAACGCCTGTCACATGACAAAACTGCATTAAGAATTATATCATGCATAATACACTCAATTTTCAATAGAGTATTCAATATTGAGTACATTTTGAATCGACCCAATGTAAAGAAATAATTCATATGTAGATCCCCGGTAGAGCCTCAGATAGCGAAACTCTAGCAATGTAACGGACATGATATTTGATTTTGTACGAAATACTAATCATGCGAAACAACCTCTACTTTCGGTTTAGTAAATAGTTAGACTGGAATGTGTGTAACAATATGTTCATGCTAACTCCACAGGTGACGGCGATGCGTGAGAAGAATTTGGACCTTATGCGGCAGGACATAGTGAGTGTTCTCAAAAACTCGTCGCTGGCGTTCGTTCGTGAACTAGTCGGTGTCGATCCCGTCGCTGTGTTCCGTTGGGCCATCGTGCGCGCATTTTTTAGGTAATTGCTGTTTGCTTAACGAACTTAACCCTTATTTTGAAACCTATTTTATCGTCGAATCAGACAAATTAGTAGTATACGTTAGTTGCTACTAGTTGTATAAAAGAAAAATAACTAAGAGTTTTTGCAATCTTACTAAAAATTGACTTTTTTTCAAACTAAGTGACTCGTACCTATTCTTATACTCGCATATGTACGCGACTTTGGATGCTGTAACGCCGCTTTAATGTGGGTATACGTAATGTGGTTAATAAGAGAGATAAGATCTTGTACCCTCATCGGTTTCTCTTTACTCGCGAATACATAGTAATTCAATATTGAAATAAATAAGTTAATATTATCATTAGACAAAAGGAATAATATGATATCTCTCTTTTCTTCTCTCTCTCTTTGAATACCGTCTCAAAACTGCCCACATAGCATGACGAACTCGAGAGACTTAAAAAAGCCTCGAGAGTATCAATCTCGCTCTCGCCTATTTATCGAGTCTCTCGAGTTCGTCATATTTCGCAGGCTGGCTTACGTATTACCTAGTTTCTAGTATAAATGCTTATTGTATTTGTCCCTGCTTTTTTCTATGTTGCATTTGTAAACGCCAGTTTAGATTAGGCACGGAAAAACAAAAGAAACAATTTTCATTACAAAGTGTCATTTTCACATGATAAATGAATATTTTTAATGTTGCTTTTTTAGGTATATCATAAATTTTTCTGTTATATTGTGTAAATTGTGATGTCAGGGGTTATTTCGCGTTTCTGGACGCGGGTCGGCGGCACCGCGTTAGTCGAGCCGACGGCGCTGCGAGATTACCGAGAGCATCCATACATGCTCCGAACGATTCCATCATCAGGTAACTGATCATATAATACATTACGGCACATTCACTTAAGCAATCATGTTAAGTGCATTATGAACCGTTTACATTGGTCGATAGGGCTCGCATGCTGCGCGATTTATGTGTTGGTCCATCAATGGTACCAATAGAGAATATTACGCAAAACTCGACGTAGATGGCATCACTAGCACGTATAAAAAATCGTTTTTGAACATGTTATTTTTTGTAAGTGAATGATTTCGCTTCCTTTCCTTCTTACATCCAAATATGCAGCAATACATCATGCTGCATATTTGGATAAAATAAAAAAAAATATAAAGTGGTCATTACACTTTTTGCTAACTACTCTGTGAATGACGTTTAACGTTTATAAAAAACTTAACAACACGTGCTACTGCTGCTTTCTGGCGAAAGAAAGTAAAAAAAAAAAACTTGAGTTTGTTTTATCTGTATTCCATATACAGTGCTACAAATTTATCTGACTCGGTGACAGTGTCGCTCTTATTCAATTTATTACTGTCACTAAATAATATTTCCCCAGTTTTTAGGGTAATAATAATGATATCAGCCAAGTTTTCAAGGTGTGGTTGGAATTTGCGGCTTTAGTTATTATTATAGATACAATACATCTTTATAGCCATCCCCAAGAAACTAGAAAGCGACAGTTTATCAATTAAAAAACAGTATGTTATATAAAAAAGGCATATTTCATACTGTACTCATATAATTCAATCACATACTTGTATTAGTTATCAGGACTTACATACGTTGTTATAAAATAATTCTCGCAAAATAAAAGACAAATGAAACATGATAAAAAACTTAATTATTTTCCACTTTAATCCTCCATTACCTCATCTTCTTTATTTTCTGACTCATTTTCCTTTTAAAATCATACATAGTTTTGTTGAATTTCTTCATGTGCCTTTCTGTGGCTTCAAATGAGTAGCATGTGGTTATTTCGGATTATATTTGCATAGTGTTATAGGTAGCGCTGAACGCTTATTGATATGAAACAGTAAAAAATTGATATGAAATAGAATACAGGTGCATCAATGTGAAAACAGCAAATCTTCTGTTAAAACAGTAAGATTGTTAATGAAAATGTTGTAATTATGATCGTGTAAAATTCCTCTACTCGTACCTAATTGTAGGTATTTCATCGTCTTTCGTTTTCGCTATCGCTTCCTAAACTTATGATGAATGATCCATTTAAATAAGCGTCTTTTTTAAGTTTCATTTTTTTTACACGATCACAGTGTCTTACCCGCTCTGCAGTAGGTATTTTATTGAATGCATTTGCGATTAACCGTAGCATTTAAGCATCAGACTTCCCAATATTAAACTCTATAACATGACGTTTCATCAAACTCCAAATCATTTCAATTGCGTTGAAATCGCAATGCTAAGGGGGCAATTTAAAAACAGTGTGTCCACTATCTTTTAAGAATTTGTCTATTTCATATTGTGGTGCAACTTTATGCCTCATTATTAATTTGGACAGCTGGGGCTCACTGTAGCTATTATAAAATTCAGACATTATTTTCAGTAAGGCTATTCTAAAAAAAAGCAATACATTCGGAACAAACCCTGTTTCTTCACCTTCTTTGCCAACAACGCAATGCCCAGCGGTGTGTGATGAGTGGATGGATGTAAGTTTCATCCAAATATATAAGTCGTTTTTTTACCCACATTCGTTATGCTTTATTTTTTGCAGTTAAATTGCCCGCCATGCCGATATGTCGTTGCGCTCAATAAGGTCTTTTCTATTAAATTGCGATTTCTTGTCTCGACATATTTGAGCGTTTGGCGTAATATTTTACTAAGGGTTTCACGACCAGCATTAAAACTTAATTCATGTTGTATAACGTTTAGTAGTTTTGGGATGGTAAGTACTTCTCTCTTTATGGTATAAAATTCATGTATTTTTCTTCTTACGACACTGAGGTCACTCTTTCTCTTTTTTCCTTGGACTAGAAATTTCTTAACGTCAAAGACGGACACACATCCACAGTTTGAGATTTTCATTGAAATGTAACCAGAACACATCATTAAATTTTATTAAAAAGAAGGGGTTATTCATAATAACACTAACCTGTAGCAGCAGCTACTCGTTCATACAATTTTGCAAATGGTACTATCGGTGCTTTGAGGCGTTTCTCCTCTAAGTAAGCATAAAAGCTAACACTTTCAAAATCATATTTCTTGTATCACTTTAATGAAACAACTTTTTTAAACGGTGTCATCGCGTTTGTATTTTATTAACGTTTCGGACCCTTTACAAGTTCCGTGTTCACATAAGACTAAGGTGTTAATTGTCTTTTTCATTAAAAAATATAGCTACCGAGCCATTGGTATATGTTAACCTCTTCTAATTTTTATAATGCTTTCGGTATTATTTATTTGGGTAAATCGCAAAACAAAAAAAAATACAACACGTACACAACGATAAGTTGACACAAAGAGTAAAGTATCATGACAATCCAAAACGATGGCGCCTTAGTTCCTATTTTAGCCACCGGGTCATATAAATTTGTGGCACTATACATATGTTATCAAAGAAATATATTAAAATTATACTCCTGTTTAATGTAAAATAATAAGTACTTCTATTATATAAGTTATTTTCCGAATTATAAATGCGGTTGGCAGGATTACTCAAAATCTTGTCTATGTAAATTGTGCAACAAAATTGCCATCAAAATTGACCGCCCTCGATTTCGGGCCCTATCGACTAATGTATTTATTTTAGTTATAACAAACGGTCATACAATCTGCTTTAATTTATAAAGAAAATCAGCCAATACTCAACATACATATCTAAAATGTATTATAATGAGTGCCATCAGGCTTTGGACAGAAGGGGCTAATTCACTATGAATCGTTTCGTATGTATACGTATAGTAGAACCATATTTATAACTTACTCGGCAAATAAGTTTAATTTATAAAAGCCATGAAATACTTAAATTGATATAGGTTATGTTGCATTTGTAAGTACTACTATATGATGAAAAATTGTACATTAAAAAAGTCTTTAAAGCTAAATTTCATATGAAGAGTTTGTTGAATTCTAAAGAAATATTATTATATACTAAACTTTTTATTTGAAAACTTAAATATATTCTGTACTTGTATAGCTTCAGTCTGACTGAGATTTTTCTTAAATGGTTCGGTATCAAATTACTACATTAATATATGAATTGAAAAGGTACTTGAGACATTATAATAATTTATTTATAAATGTAAATAATTTATCATTTCATAATTTTAATGATAAAATAACCGCACTATGACTCTGTCCGTCTCGTCGTCTCAATAATAACATAACCCAGGCATGGATGATATGAAATTTACATGAATGATGATAAAATAACATGCGGCTCCATTGCGCAGTTCCCACGCATACGAGACTCGACTAGACAAGATATCGAATCCGGTGCATACATCATTATGAAGTGTTTGTTGATATTATTATACGTAGCATCGTGATAAGCTAAGTGACAGTTACAAGTGTGCACTTGTATGATAAAATCAGTCTTATCTTTGAATCAAAATTTTTGTAATGTTTATCATAAAAAAGTGTTTTAAAACAAATGTTTTATCGAGCTCAGCTACTCAGGGGGCTTGCATTGTGGCCACAATTCTATAGAAACTATTATATTTATGATAGCTTGTGCCATTATATTAATGTGACATATTGAATTGTCTTGTTGCTCAGCCAACTGGTGACAGTATCGTCAATCAATCTCGCAATCAACCGCATTGCGTAAGTCACCCACGTGGTTGCTTTATATTAATTACGCACCTATGCATGGCCATCGATGTTTATTCGTAATTTCCCTATACTTTAATCACTTTCGGTTGCAATACTACGCATACAACACGAAGGCTGTGATTAGACTATAGCAACACTAATTAATATATAATACAAACTAAACGCAGCCTCCCAGTACTTTCCATCTAACTAGATTCTTACTATTAGTGACGTCGCCTCGTATCCCCCTAATAGAACTAAGCCACACGCCCCAGCATGCTCACATCTCGGTTTTTTTTTTTGTTAAATTGTTTTGACCCTTACCTCCTTTTCCTTCGTCTCGATGGGGTAGAACGCCGAACAAGACAGCGAACAAAACGCGCGAGACATCCGCGCGAACATCGAACGATAGTAAGCAGCGGTCGGAAGTGTCCTCGCGCGTGGACACCAAGGGGGGGAAACATTACAGGAGCGCCGAGACGCGAGTGCGACGACCGGATCGCGACCGCGACCGCGACGAGCGACTCGACGACGCCGCCATCATGCAACGAGCGAGCCAGATCGTCATGTACGTCCGCCCAATTCATCAAACAATACTCAATATCTATATACTTTGACCGTGCGCGTTAAAACCGATATAAAAAATAATGCTTTAGTAGAGATGATGACAAATTTTTGTTTGTTTGTCCGTCAGGTAGATTATTAAATAATACGTATTTTTTTTTTGCATAATCAATTACGGCGATACATTGAGTTGAAATGTCGCATGACATCACGCTTTTGTACATTTTCTACAAAATTGTGACGTAGCGAGCCAACTTTAATGCCTGTAATCAAAGCCATTTCTTGTTTAAATTGAACCAAAAAAAAAATACGTATCTAATATTTTCTATTATCGGGCTGATGGACTTAATATAATTGCCAAACCCAGTCGTCATCCCTGTTTGTACGTCTCTAAAGAGCAGTCGCTAACGTATGCCTTTTTTTAGTTCAAATGTCGACCAAATGATGTTGTTTGATGAATCAGCGTGTTTCGGTTGCGGGCTCTTCTTTTCCTTTCTCGTGGTGACGGTTATGGGTCTTTTCTTGTCTTTCGACTCTTAAGATTTTCTTCTTTGTGTTTGTTTCGGGTGATATAATATGTATTTGGGTTATGAGATTTTTTAATGTTAATATTTTTTGTGTTTTAATATTTACTCCATATCGATTGTTTTTAGCTGAAATGCTTTTATTGCAGTGTCTTATTATTATTATGTATTTATCAATGATAGTGTGTATATTATTTTCATTCAGCAGCTGTAGATCGGTCTTTAAAATATGGACTTCATTGGAGGCGGTTAGCATGTTTTCTGTTGCATATAATTAAGTACATGAGCACATATATTTAGTAAAATCTATTTTTATTGGTGATCGGTGATTTCGCATAAAAATGAGTTTGCATTTTTTCTGCTTTTATTATGTTCAAAATAGAAATCAATAATACGAGCCAAATTTAAATTTTAACTCTGGACGCGTAGCATAAAAGCTGGGACTCTGGTCAGCACGCGTAGCAAGACAAACTCGAGAAACGTTTTGTCTACATCCAAATATCAGTTTTTCGGGTTGAGAGTGAGATATTGTATGGGCACCTGAGAAAAGTGACATTTGAGTGTAGACAGGAAGTTCTCGAGTTCATCGTGCTACATGCTGTAGATCGACACACGACTCTCGTCTACGAGTTATGTTGATATGACAGTGGGACTTTTTCTCTACCATAGATCGCGACAACAAAAGACTTGTCTACTCTAGACATTACATTACAATTATAGAATTTCTCCAGTTGGTCCTGCTACGGGTGCAGCTTCCTGTAATAACACATAATCGAGGACAAGACTCATTAAAAACATTATTATTATCACGTTTTTTAATATTAATTCGAAAATTACGGAAGTAAATGCAAACTCGTACTTAACATGATCGGACGTTTAGTACATTATACGGTATTTGTAGGAAAAACAAATCGTTCCGTCCTCGTGAGCGAGCGAAGAAAGGTCTGAAGAATCTGCAGAGCGTGAAAACGCTAGCGGGTCGCACGGCCGCTCCTACCGGCAAACGGAAACAACCGCTCACTGTGGCCGCTCAGTTCCAACATTCGCTTGCCGCGCTCATGGAGACACTCAATCAAGCCAATCCATTTTTCATACGGTAAGATGTAATTCATACAGTAATTATACTTTGAAAAATAAATTTGTAAAGAGAGCTTCATAAATTGAAAGTAGTGCAACTCAATAAAAGCACAGTCAATTGAACCTTATAACGTAATAGAAAAATAATAACTAGGTAGGGGCAGTTTCTATGGATTAATCTCTTTTTTCTTTTATTGCAACAAATCATATGTACTATTTATAATCATCGAATATTATCATTTTCTTAGACCTTACACGCTTTCAATAACTTAAAATCGATGCAAGTCAATACTAATCGGCTGTAAATTGAATCGTAAGGACATTACCACAACTATTGACTCATGTCTGACCTATGTAAACAGAGACGTCAGTTTTCAATGCTAATACTGAATATATCGAGTTTGGTGTCCTTGTAAAAATACATATACTAGAAAGATACTTGTTGAAATAATTATGTAAAATGACATACAACACACCAATTTTATTTTCTCGACAGGTGCATAAAATCTAATAGCGACAAGATTCCCAATGTATTTGACGAGGAGACAGTGCAAAGACAGTTACGATACACGGGAATGTTGGAGACCGTCCGCATCCGGCAAGCGGGTTACAATGTCCGGCTCACGTACGAGGAGTTCATACAGCTCTATAGGATATTATTACCTAAAGGGCTGCTTAGCTCACAGACAGATGTACGTCACTTTCTAGCCACATTGAATCTGGACCGGGACAACTATCAACTAGGTTAGTAGCTTCCAAAACAGTATGCAATAACATGTTTTTATAATCATCAGAGATTCATCATCATCAGCCTATTAATATGGACATTGAGTCAAATAAGAAGACAAAGCTATATTGGGAAAATTACTTAACCCTCTCGTTTCAGAAATACGCTAACCATAGCGTCATCGAGCTCCTCATATACTATATTATATATGTATGTTTGACTCAATTTTTATCTTCTAGCTAACCCGGCGAACTTCGTACCGCCATATACCCGTATTTTTTTTTAGAAATTATATTTGTATAAATTTTCTTATATAAAAACCTTAACCTGACAATAAGGAAGATATAAAATAAAGAAACATTCAATTTGATGCAGTCGTTTGGAAGTTATGCGCGTACATACATTGTTACTTACTTATTTGTTGACTAATAAGAAAAACGTAGAATTCGTCAGCTGCATAAGTGAATATCAGACAGACAGGCAAAGTGTCACTATATTATTATATTGTTTCAATATATATTAAAATATTAACAGGTGCTACTAAGATCTTTATGCGTGAAAGCGAACAAACGAAGTTGGAGTACCGACTCCACCAGCAGATAATGGCGTCTATCATCACCATCCAGCGTTGGTTTCGAGCTGTTCTCGAGCGTCGGAGGTTTTTGGCGCTGCGTCGCGCCTCACTCGTCATACAGTCTTACTGCCGGTACACGAAATAATCATTATAATTCTCATTCGAACATTAAACCTTAACTTTTTTGTTTGTACATTCACCTGTCCACCCACTTCAGAACTAATCTCAGATGATACTAAAAACTCATAGGTTAGGAAGTACTATGGGTTGTTCCACTCTCTTATTGTGTTTCAAATTTTAACATTTTGTATAACAGTTTTCATTTGCACTCTTTCTAAAGAAACTATCATTTTGAAGTATATACGTATATATCACATGAACTGGTTTGCAAAATCGTTAGGCACATCTTTATCCTAAATAAGGAATTGGGCTTAAAATCCAGAATTGTGTTATATAGGCAATGGCTAGTGATACGGTACGAGGCAGCGGTAAAGCTTCAGGCGTGGTTCCGCGGCAACCGAGTGCGGCAGTGGTACCAGCAGTTGAAGCGTGGCGCGATCGCCTTCCAGGCTGCAGCACGAGGCTTCCTATTACGACGAACGTTGCCTTCGTTACGTGGTCGACTGCCGCATACCAAGCAAAAAGATGTGAGTGCACATATTTCACTTATGTATATATCACAAATTGTATTCACGAACATAGAACTTACTGTAAACGACTGAAGGTGCATAGTTGCGGCGCTAATAACTAATTCTTTAAGTAATACTGGTAAGCTGCAAATCGATCAACGTGTAAATGGCAGTAAAAATTTGCCTTTTTATGTAAGTATAATCACTTTAATTGACGAAACTAATTATTAGAGCATGCTTTTTTAAAATATTTCATTAGGTTTTTCTATTTAATCCTTTAACGTGATGAGAATGTTGACAGTTAAGACAAAAACTTTTTTCTTGTAGCCTTTCCTGCAACCATTAGAAAGTCCGCATAACCGAATCTAACTTCTCTAGTAAGCTTATGTAAAAATATATTAAACAGACAGTGCAGATAGATATTCAAGGTTTCGTATTCTGAACAATTACAACCTCTCCTTGAAGTCACTACCTACATAGTAGTTTAATTTGTCACTAATAAATTGTGATCCAGTGCTAATGATGTCACAGAAAGTGTTGTGAACACACTTGTATATACAAATTGTTCTATGTTTGTGTTGACAGCATGAAAGTAAGCCGTCGTACAGGCCTAAAGTCGGCAACGAAATGGAGGCAGACGTGTTGAGTCTGGAACAAATCAAGAGCATCATTGGTTTGCATGTGTGAGTAACGACGTATACATAAATCATTTCATAATTCATACTAATATTATAAATACAGAAATAACTGTCGGTTTGAAATTTGAGGTATAATATTTTTTAATATATCTAATAAAGACAACATATTTAGTTATTAGTTTTTTGGTTACTTATTTGAATAAATGTTTTTTATTTCTTGCCGTCTCACTAATTAACTATAAAAAAATATAGTATTGTTCATATGTTTATTGGGTAGGTATTTTAATAAAATATAGGTAGTAATTATTGTGATATAAACTTCGATCAACAATACAACTAGATAACGCCTCGCATACTAATTACGGCACCATCTTAAAAATGTATACACTGCTACAACCTAGGAACAATATCACAGAGTATATTCTGTCATAATACTCTCCGCGACAACTCGGCATCCAGAACTGGGTAATTATGGAGTCGCGTTGTCAATTTTATTTTTCTTAGTAAAATATGTATTTAATTATATACGTTGATAATAAGGGACCTCATTAGATTTAAATGTAATTAGATTCAAATAAAATCAAAATTATTTATTAAGTCGAGGCTGTTACAAGCTGTTACTTGTGAAAGTCGAGAGCTACGCCATCGGTTCGTAAATCTACGGCGGGAGACATTGTACCGATAAGAACTGGCAAGAAACTCGGCAAGGGTTGCTTTTTACTCCCTATTTTATTTCATACAGAGCGCCAAGATCGAAAAATAACTTCATTAAAATATGAAGTCACTCTCCATTACAATATTAGAAAATATAAAGTAAAACAATATTTTCGTCAATTGAATCCCATGTCCAGTCGAGCTCTAGTCAAGCTCACTGATAAATAATTTAATATACATAAAAATAAGCCATATTTGACAGCATGCAGTTTTGTCATTTAAATATTCATTAACAGTATGGATATCCTTTACTGAGTAGACAAATCTTAATATGGGTTTATAATTTAGGCATCGGTAAATTTAAAATTTCCATAGGAATTTTGTTATACTAGTGTATAACTTGACCCATAAATGCTCTATAACCTTCTTTAGCCTGCATGACGGCAAAACAATGATAAAAATGAAATTGTGTGTAGTTAAAAGTTCATAAAGATTATTCGCTATAGTTATATATAAGTTCATATATATAGTCTCAAGTTAAACTAAATACCAATCAGAGCGCATGACGCAATTTGTGGGTATATTCATAGTAAAATGTAGGAAAAGCGCGGGAAATATTCAAAGTGCAAAATGATTTTATGGATTTACTAGATTTTAAGCAAGTTACAAGGGTCAGTCTTTTGTATTATTTATGTATGATTTGTTTACTATACATATTGAATACTATCATTTTTTTTTTCACTGAAAATCCCTTTTGTTTACCCTAAAAATAACGTCACGTCCACAGAGTCGCCGTTTACGCGGTTTATTTAAATTCAAAACATTGTTTTAAGTATATAATTGAGATTAAATTTACATCAAATAATATTTTTTTGTGGCACACATCCAAATACATAATTTAAAACAGTTTTTTTTGTAAGTTTTCCGATGGGAGGTTTTAAATCTAAACAACAGTACAATTACAAAACTTTTATCTGTGCACACATTATAATTTAAATTAAAAACATAACTAACAACCTTCAAACAATATTGCACACAACCACAATACTAACATTTTCATCGTATGGAAATGTATTAATAGAATTACTATTACAAAATATTTAAATTATTATTTGCCCTTGACTACCATAAACTACCACCAGTTCAATATTTGGGAGTCTTGTCTGAGAACTGGCAAAATACACTGCAACAAGAAAGTGATTATTCCCTATAATTTTAATGTTTACAGAAAGAACTAACTGTAACCTTAAGTTTTGCGATGTGTGATTGATTACTGGATCCGAAGTCGGCGACATATTTCAACATTTATCTCCATTAAAAATTATTAATATTCAATCACTGATTAACAGGCTGTTGTACGAAGCCCCATTAGAACGTTCATTAATTTAAAGCGACAACACCCATACAAATTTGACATTCATTAGAACTTAAAGGCGTCATTAAACTTTAATGGACGTTTGTGCAACTGACCGTTAGTAATTCTCATCTTTTATGTACAGCCTATTTATATAAACCTATTAAAAAAAATTTAGTGCTTGCAATTAGTGTTCAAAGTTTCAATAAAAAAATTTAATAGTATACTATTCTATGTATGTTTTGTCTTAGATCATCGGATATTTGATCAAATGTTTGTCATGTTGGCTCATGAATTGGCTCAAAAACAAAACTGTTATTTTATTGAAAATACTTTAGTTATTAGTTATAGACATTTTTAAATGACGTTTACTAACCGAATATACTATATTCCAATAGATAAATGTTATTACGATAGTTATTTTTGCAGTTTAAAGACGCACTGTGGCGTCGTTACACGTCCGAACGTTGGCGCCTTCGCAATCAAACTAAATCAAAATAAGACTTCACTTTAAAGTGAGACATTATTTCTTCGGCCATTTTTGAGAGACTGACCGGGCATCTAATTGTATTGTTGATCGAAGGATATAAATTGTTTGTATTGAAAAATACAAGTACTGAGTTTTCAACTTGAGTAATGTTTAAAATCAAGTTTCGTTATGGTAGTTTCTGTTGTAGTAGTGCCATCTAAACATATTATATATTTCTATGATTTTAGACGGGACTTAGATTTACACAATTTAGACAAAACAAGACAACTGAGGCCGACGCAATCGCTACCTATATCAAGGTAAGTTCATCCAAATGTTGCCGACTCTAAAGTACACTAATACTAAAAATATTCATACATTTCTTCTTATTATTACCGCATCTAACAAGTCGCGATGGCAGAATTTATAAATAAAGTATACTGGTTAAAACTTCAATTTCAGCTTCTTTCCGTAGTGCAAGGCTGTAAATTGTAAATTGACTTCATCCCTTTATTACTTTATTATTAAAAAAGATTAATATTTTTTTGCAGTTTGGAGAAAAAAGTCGAAAATATTCTATTAGAAATTACGGATAAGGATTCCTATGGCAAAAGAAAACTTTACAAAACACCAAACGTAAACGAATTAATGTTAAAGCAATCCAGTTCGAGGTACGACTTGACAAATCTGTCTTCTATTTAATTTGTATGTTTTTCGATTACATATTTTATAATAACAATTTACAGTATCAGCCAACAAGAGACGAGTGAATCTCCCACCGCAGACATCTGGTGTAACACCAACAAATATCCACAGAGCGGTATCGCATTGCCGAAAAAAATTACCGCCGAAGACCTCGCAAACGAATGGCTCTGGCTGAGGATTGACCAAAGCTATCTTCAGGAGAAAAACAAAGTAAGTCAGTCTTACACAGTTATTTAATACGAGTACAATCAGGTGTTCTTTTGCGGAAATATTTTCCATAACCTAATATTTTCTATAGCCATTTCTATAACCGTGGAACTATGATATGGGCTTAATGCGGAAGTTACTAGAACTTCCACATCCAGTCCAGATCGGCAATAACTGCTGTGTTGAAATTACAGTCCAAAAAACACCGAAGCACTACAAGATCTATCAATTCTTGACAATGATCAAGGAGGGACAAAACACGTGTAAGAGAGATTTGTTGCTGTTTGTACAGTATGTAAATTTGTGTACGGGCACAGTAGGTCTAGCAGATACTAACTGGGTGTAGAAGAATATAATGTAACGGTTTTTAAACAAAGTTGTTATTTTAGCTATAGTATAACCATAGACTTGATGTCGAAGTATTGATTTCCTATTTAAGTATTCTTTCTTTTTTTAGATACGAGAAAGATGTTTGGAAGATTTAGTTGAATCAATATCTGGCGAAGAGTATCTAAAAGATTTATCTACAAGCCTAGGAAGGTGGAGTCCGACTGAAAACAACTCGGACAGCAACAAGAGTAATAGTGATTCAAGGTAAATGATTCATTGATTTTTATACAATTTTTATACAATTATTTTACAATAATTAGGTTTCAATTCAAAAAACAGCATAAGTTTCATCAAAAGTGTTCCAGTGGTTTTGAAGATGCAAGTGATTAATGTTTAGCTGATTATAAATAGTGACAAAATATTTAATAAAGTTTTATATTTGTTACTTCAAAAATATAAAATTCAAACCCCCCATTTCACCCCCTTAGAAGTTAAATCCTTCTTGACTCCTTATAGAAACTAACTACTGTACAAAGATCATGAATCCAACTTCAATTACGAAATTACGATCGGCGATGATGAATATTTAAAAAATTAACATTCAGTTTTTATGCAAATTGAAAATGTATTGTCGATTTAAAGAGTGATATAAACTCATTGTTTTAGACGTAGTTCTCCAGCAGTGTACACACGCAGCGTATCTAGCAGTACACTGGAGGCGCCACGAGCGCTGCACAGTTTACCGCCAGTACGACGCGCTCGACACCACGAGGCCAACGCGACACCTGACACGGATACCGGTCAGTAGATATTTAGACTGTATCAATCGTACGCATTAACATGAGACCACGGATCTATACTATTAAATTCCGAACGAAATTTCTGAACATTTGGAATAGTTTTTATAATATTGTTAAAATCCTTGAAGATTATCTGTTCATCAAAGGCAGTGTCAGGGGAAAATGCGTTTCTTTGGAGTTGAATTAGCATTTCAAAAATAGACAAAATTTTGTTTTCGCTAATATAGAATAGGCCTTCAGGTGTCATGTTAATTCGTACTAGTTGTACTGTATCCGACATAGCTCTACTCAAGTGAACAGTATACAGCGGCCCAGTCTGCCGCCCGACACACCGGTCAGCAAATGACATGTTAAATGATATAAGACATAGAGCTGTCCTCGGGTGAACAGTATCCGGCAGCTCATAGTCTATCGCTCGATACACCGGTTAGTAGATGTTATACTGTATTGGTTCAGACAGCTCTCCTCAAGTGAACAGTATCGGCAGACACGGTCTGCTGCCCTGACACACCATTAAGTAGATTTCTATAATCACTCACCAACTTCGTGTGTTGAAATTAATAAGTTTTTTTATGAAACTACTTTTATTATAATATTGCCTATAAATTTGTACGATGCTTAGATTTTCTTACCCGGGTACATATTACTTGACCACGATTGGTGTATGTATCATTTTTCCATTGACTTCACAGTTTTAATTTTCGATAAGTAGTTGGTACTTTTTTTTTCTAATTATCATATAATTATTGATGTCTTCATTACTAACTCATTCTATTGGAATCAATAAATATTTAATTAAAGACGTAAATTACTGAAATAATGCATTTTCAAGAACTCATTAGCTTTGTCTCCAAAAAAAAATATAATAAGTATCGCAAATAAATTGTACTAATGACGCACTCATTAGAAAAACCTACATTAGAGCTTATTATTCGTATTTGAACTCATGGAGAATTTAGTTTTATCATTTACTTTGAAATTCATTTCAAAATTTACACATTTTCATATAGATGAAAACCATAGTTTTAATTAGCAAAGCAAAGCTAAACATTGAATAAAAATGTCTAATTTTTACTAGACCAACTGACTATTATTAGATTTTAAGTTCTACTTCAAAAATGAGTTGGATAACCCACTGATGCAAAAATCTATAAATAAAATTAGGAATTCCAGTTTTTTGTTATTCATCACTCTTCAGGTATCGAAAGTAGTTCGAAGAGTTTGTTTCACAAATACCAATATTAAATTATTCTTAACAAAACACGCAAACTCGCGTGCAAGGGCACACCTCTCGTATTTTGTTATTAATACAAAGAACATGAAGTTATCAAAAAGTTGACACACGTATTACGCTGCAAACGAATTCGGTAACAATTTGTAAATATAACAGTTATTTACAAATAAACCATACGCATCGGATTATTGAAACGCCGTTTAATGGGCACTGTATTTTTTCATTACGAGGAAAAGTAAATTTTGTGCTAATTGAATGGTTGCAAATTAGTGTCTAATCGTTTTCTTTGTTTGTCTTTGGTTTGTATTTGGTGTATGTTCAAATCCTGTGGGACGTGTTTATACGCTTTTCAAATGTCGAATACCGAGGATGTCAGCATATGCTGTGAATTTATACAAGTGCGGTGTCTACGGAAAATGTTTGGCATACTTCGTGGGTGTGGTGTTGCTTCTCTTATCCATGGGTTACATAGATATATGTGTTAAAATTGTGTTCTATTACTACGGTACGTGGAAAGTGTATTTCACAACATTAAAATATAGATTTTAGTGTAAATATTTTTGTCATATTGATTTTATTCAAGGACAATTTTTTTCTTTAAATATTGTAATTGATGGCCTTTAAAATAACAACCATCACCATTAATATCCATGAACATCAATTTGAAAGTAACACAACGGATATAAATGTTACCGAGTCTTTCATGAAGCAGTTTCTATCATTTAATATAAAAAATCTTTTGACTGGTGTATCTTTGATTTTTTCTGATTCTCACTTCTGTTGTTACAATTTAAATACTGCAAAAAATGGGCAATTTATAACAAATAGGCGACACACACGCTTATGGTTCGTCAATTATGTCTTAAGTGGATATATTTCTGTTCTTGTGTACTCAAGATTATAAATGATAATTACAAAGTAACTTACTTATTTTAAATGTATATTTTTATTGCAAATTTTCTGTTGTACATTCAAACGCGCATCAAGTTTTCCAAAACTGTCGAAATTCTCCACGTGTTTGCAAATCTTGATAAACTGATAGTTAAAACGGGACCCTATTAACAAGACTCCACTATCCGTCTGTCACCAGGTTGTATCTCTTGTTATAGTTAGACAGTTGAAATTTTCACAGATGATGTTGCTGCTATAATAACATGTACAATAAAACAGAATAAAATAAATATTTAAGGGGGCTCCTATACAAACAAACGTAAACTTTACGTTTTTTATGGATAATGGTATGGAATGTTTCGACTCGCACTTGTCCAGTTTTTTTATGTATACGGTCGATCAGAAAATCTGCATTTGTTTTGACATAAGTTTTTGTGAAATCTAATGTTGACTAGACTTTTCTCACGGAGTTTTGGTGCTAAATGATGACGCATCGTTTGTTACCTGATGTCTGATAGTTGAAGTTATAAGGGAAAATCGACCTTCTTTCATGAAGTTCAAATGAACCTCAAACTTAGTGTAGTACACCATATTTTTGGCCGACTGTACCGTGTGTACCTGTCGTTGATCATTTGTATCGTAACGCTAAAGTTACGCTGTTTGGGTGATGTAAGTTTTTCTATATTAAATATTGTAAATACTTCAGCTTTCTGGCAGATTCGTCCGCGTGGTCCTGTATTATACACATAAACCTTCCTCTTGCGTCACTCTGCATATTTATGAAAACCTCAATAAACCCGTTTTATAGTTTAAAAGATATCATTGTATAGACAGCGGGAAGAGACTTTGTTTTAGGCTATGTATGATAAATGCATAATCGTGTGGTGGTATTGTAGCGTGTTCGACGGCGGCGCGGTCTGTGGAGGCGGCGCCGGCGCCCCCGGTGCGTGCGGCGCGTCGGTCGCCGCGGCGGGCGCTCCGCCCCGAACCAGACAACGTTGATGCCTCCGTCCCCCACCGAAACACCAACAGCGACAATCACGCCCCCAACGAACATCTCGACATTAAACGGTATTTATTTTACAGATTATTCCTAATATTTGTTTTTATCAGAATCAAATTTAAACATACATCCACTGTGTAACGTTAATTTATTTGTCTATCATATTATGTCATTTGTTAAAACAATTTTGATGTGACAAGATGGTATAAGTACAGCGAATTTATTTAATAGCTTCTTTTTTTAAGTTATATAGACGCTTTATTGCTCACATATAATTATTAATATTAAGTTAACGATACTGGTTCTAGTGGTAGGGTGGGCAAAGACGGTTTTATCGGTAAAAGCGATCTCTTCGAAACAACCTTTGATTTGTTTAACATTTGGAGAGAAAGACCGGAGGTAGTGTGCCAATAGTAAAGAAGAGAGTCAAAAATAATATAGTAGTTAGATAAAGTAGTATAATAATGAAGGTTAAGCATATAAATATGTGAAATGCAAAATAAATAATATTTGATAAGTACAAATATGTTGGAAGCTAAGATATGCTATCAAAAAGATGCTTATGCAATTTCGATTTAAATACGGTGTTGCCGTATTTAATGTATTAGATTTTGTATGTCGATATTTTATTAGATATTTTTTAATATCTTGCAACCGCCTTGCATTGCACTAATGTTTCATCATTTATCATCGCCAGCACAATAATGACTCACTGTTGGGTTACAGACTTCCCTATGTATGGAATCGAATAGGGCGAATGAGTGAGTTATCGCTCATCGGTCCGTACGGATTAGTAGGTGTTTAACTATTGCATATGCATCTGGAACCGATTGCTTAACTTGCCTACTGTAGCACGAAGAAACTCCAGATAATAAATTTTTGATCATCCATCCTTTACTTGGTCGTTGCAAAAGTTGCTTTTATTTCTAGAAATGTGTATTGCAGTGAATAAGCGCCTTCATGCTTTTGATTATATGGCAATAAATTCAACTTTTATTGTCTTTATTGACCTAGTGATGTGTACAATAATGCGGGCTTCTAAAAGTAAATAAGAGGAGACGGAAAAGTAAACATAATATATACGACTAGCTTCCCGCTTGCAGCTTTGCCCACGTGGTCTTTAAGAAATTGTTTATTTGGATATCGATTCACAGGGATTTAATTAAATAACAAATTTAATAGTAAACAATGGTTACTATGGCAACGTTTTAATTCCACTCCCGTTTTCATCCGTCTATTTGCTGTTTTTCGGGATAAAATATCCCGAATATGCCTATGCCTATATATAAGCATATTTTTACCGCATGTATGTAGCTTCCCGTAGGTAAAAAAAAATTTAAATCGTCCACAAAAAACAAATAAACATACAAACAATCAAATCTTTCCTCTTTATATATTTGTATATGTATAAAGCCTTAAGTATAGTGTTGTGTTGTGTATGTGTTAGTGCCGCGTCCGAAGTGATGTCCCCGCTGACGGAGGGCGGGGTGGCGACCGGTGGGGGCGGGGGAGCGCTGCGGCGCCGCAACTCTGACCCCGCCCCCGGGGACCCACGCCCCCCCGACCCGCGCTCTACAGACTACATCGGGCAGACCGGCAACGGGCTGTTCCGCATCGCCGGACACAGGTACGCTTACCCCATAACAGTATTAGATTCAAATTATACCTCAAGACCATACAAAATAGAGTCAAAAAGTTTATGCTGATTTAAATTATACAGAATTACCACTTTATCTGATAAATTTAACGAAAACCAGTTTTAAGCAAAAAATAAATAAATAATGTTTCTTTGTTCATTATTACTATATAGTGAATGAATAAAATGTGGCACAGGACTGTAGCCCTTCTAAATATATTGAGTGTATAATGTAAAGGAATATATCCAATACTACCCCTAAAGATTCTTAAGAATCTCACTTTTATAAACAGTGTTATTTACAACGCCATAATAATCGATTACCCAAAGATTTCAATTAATTTCTACCGATAAACTCACAAGCAGAAACGATATTTTATTACATTATTTATACACACACAACACGTATAAGGTATGCGATTTACTTTATAGGTTTCGAAAAGGCACTCGGTTCGCCAAAGACGAAAAGTGCGTGTACTGCCATAAGGCGATCGATGCGTTCGTGACGCAAGGCCAACGTTGTATAGACTGCAAACAGCTTTACCACACCAAGTGTATACAGAACAAGGGCGTCATCACCATGCCCTGCACCAGTCCCGTCACAGTGTCGAGAGGACGGCACAAGAACAGAAAACGGATCATACTCAACAAGGACAATCAGTGCATGTTACCGGAACAAGCGAAAGGCTCCGTCAGTTCCAACTTTAATCTCACAGGCACGTCAGAGTTCATAGACCGAACTGATAAGATCATATCGGACGCTACAGAGTTGCAAGCGATGCAGCATTTCATCACAAAGAAGATTTATCAAATGGAGTCGTCGGATGAGAAAAAACAATCGGAAGTAAGTGTTTATTTTATAAATGTGAAATTATGATACCATTATGAAATAATTTTTATGTGTTATTGTGCTAATTAATAAGTCTATAATTACTATATCTCTTAATTACACGACAAGTTGTGTAATTGGCATGATGATAAATAATAATAGATTTCGAAAAACATCATGCCGACTGGCACATAAATGTACCCCTTTTACGTCCCTACTGCAGGGGCTCAGGCCTTCCTTATGGATGGTTAAGGAGGATGGGCCATGACCCTCCACGCTGGCCCAATGCGGATTGGAGGGTAGTATAGTAGAGGGTAATGTATATATCAAATCTTGAATAATATTAAATTAAATATCTATTTTAGGTGGACAGGGTATTCAAACATGCACTTCGAGAGTTCAAAGACAACCTGGTGGCTACATACAGTGTGGTCGAGACGCGAGGCTCCGCCCTTAAGTACAAAGACCTTATAAGCAACTTTTTGCACGTGATGGAAACAGTGTGTGCCCGCGAGGGGTCCACTTTATCCATCACTATGGGTGTTAACGCGTTCCGTGGATTCATGGACGAGTTCATGAGCCAACTAGATACCGACAAGGCACGCACCAAACGGAAAAAGGACAAAAAACGAAAGGTAAGTTTACATAACTTTGATTGACATTAATTTTCATCGATCATATCAAAGAAGGTGAAATAATCGAATTTGAGACGTTATTTATCAATAAATCAGAATATCTCTAGATGACTAAATGATTTAAAATGTCATATTCCATCCAATTTTATAAATATTCTTAATGGATCTTCGAGAAATTGATATAATATAATATTATAGATATAATTATTTAGGAGTACATGTCTTATACTTTGTTAACTTTGTTTAAAGGTGGACGATCCTATTCAATATAAGGGTCATATGTTTATATTATCGATGATCAACATCCCAACCGAGTGCGAGATCTGCAAAACATTCTTCATGTGGCCAATTGAACGTTCGCTTATATGTCAAACGTGTAAGCTTGCGTCGCATAAAAAGTGTTATATGAAGGTAAGTGTTTTATAAATGAGTATAAATAAATGAGGAGTGCATTAATATAACAGTGTGGGATTGTTTTTTGATGTTTCATTGAAACAAACAAAGTAAACCAATATTTTCTTTACAGATTACGACACAATGTAGGAAAGACTCTGTTACGCGATCCGCAGCTATAGTAGGTGTATTGGACGCGGGAGGTCGGGAACAGTTCGGCATAGTAAAGAGAGGAAAGGTATAGTTTTATTTTATATTGAAAAACATTTTATTGAAGACATAATAAATCAGGTTGATGATCAAAACCATTTTTTAAATTGATCATATCGAGTAAAAAATCTAGCGAATTAAATTTCACGTAACTAATCGTACGCGGTTTCAACTTTTAAATCTAAATACCACATTTCTGTAGTTGATTTGCAACTTTAAAATATTGGTTGCATGTTTCAAAATCGATTATTTATTCATTGATTTGCAAAAATTGAGAATCAAAACAATTTCGTAGAATTTAAGATCACAATGTTTTTAGGTATTTGGAGTACCGCTGAGTGAGTTACCGACAGGAGAGAGCAATATACCCATAGTTGTTGATCGACTTATAACGACGATAGAAATGACCGGTCTCTATACTGAAGGATTATACAGAAAAAGTGGACTCAGTTCTAAGGTATGTGTGCGCTTCACAGAATATTTTTCCATAATCCACAGTAACGCAAAATGCATCACCTGTAGATCGATTTTCATAAATCTTGACGAATAACTTTTAAAAATAGTTTGTATGTGACACATAAACCTATAATAAAGAAAGTATGGCAAAGCTGGGAAACCCAGCCCAACTTTATCAATTTGCAAACCTGATGTATATAATATCAAATATAACACTAAGGTTTATAACTACCTCTCAGCGACTCACAATATCAGAATGTGGGTATTCTGATATTGTGAGTCAAACCGCTTCCAATTTATATGTTGTTTTAAAATATGTTAAATTCGCATAATGAGACAGACAGATTTATATTATTAAGAATATCAATTAACATTTATTATCAGGTGCGTGAGCTACGTCGCGTGTTGGACGAACGACCCGAGGAAGGCGTAGAGCGACTGGAGCTGTACCCGGTGCACGTGCGGGCGTCAGTACTCAAGGGTTTCTTCAGAGATCTGCCCGAGCCCCTACTCACGTTCGATCTCTACGACGACTTCATACTTGCCGCTGAAATAACTGACCCACAGGTATATAACAGTAAAAATTTCTATACATAACAGTACAAACATTAGAGATATACAGCACAAATCTGGGAAACATTATATTAATAAAATATTAAAAACGCTACAATACAAACCTTAGGGACAACAGTACAATAACCCTTAGAAACATAACAGTACAAAGTAGAAAAATAACAATACAAACCTTAAAAACATCACAGTGTAAATCTGCAAAAGAACAGTACCAACCTTAGAAACAACAGTACAAACCTTAGAAACGTATTAGTACAGACCTTGTAAACCTAACAGTACAAATCTGATAATATTAACAGCACAAATCTGAAAAGCAAACAGTACAGACTTTAGAAACACAAAAACATCATACAGATACCTTATCCCATAGAACAAAATATGACCGTCCTAACTCTGACTATTCTTCGGATTATTTTTACCTTCCTCGCGTCGGCACTCGATGCTGCAAGTGTGCAAGCAACACTTGTGCTTTCATAGAATATATCCATAGGGATACTCGCATAAACGTCAATAGATGGCGTTGAATCGCAGCATATCATTAAACAACCCTGTAACGAAAGTAACAAATGCTTGAAAAATTCGTCTTGTCGAGTCTCGCATAGCTCAATGGTTAGGGTAGTCGCCCGGATTTCGAATGGTTCTTGCTTCAAATCCCACTTTGGTATTTAGAGACTAGTGAAACTTTTAAGAATTTTTCTTCAAGATAAATTATTTTCAAACGTTTTTAGTTATTTTGAAATAAATAATAGGGGTTAAAGTATGAAATTGCCGATTTGTACTGAAAATAAAAATTGATTATTTTTTAATTTTAACAAATTTATTTATCAAAGTAGTTATCATTATTATCTATACATTGCTGCCATCAATAATAAGAAGGTCATTTATGCCTTTGCGATAGAAATCTTAGGATCTAGACTGCACAAACTATGTGAAAGCATTTTGTACTGCCTCCTGGGAAGAAAACTTCTTGTCATGTAGATAATTGTCCAAATCACGAAGAAATGGTAGTCCGTTGGAGCAAGATCTGGCGAATACGGAGGATGACGAATCGTTTCTAACTGCAGTTCCTGAAGGGTCAAACCGGTTTCTCGTGCTGTATTATGTCTCGCGTTGTCCCGGAGCAATTATGGTGAAGATCGATTCATGAGTCGAGGCTGTTTTACTACTAATTTTGCCTCGTACTTCCTTTTTTTTAAGTAGTTTAAATAAGTACAGAAATGAAAAGATTATTTTCACCTTTTGACTTGAATGCTCGGGCTACTATGTCACACAGACCAACAGTTACCATCAATATTATGATGTAAAAAATTATATCCACCTGTGGGTATGTTGCACGTTCAAGAAATATTTTCCGTGTTATTACTGAATTAAAGATATAAAAATATGAATAATCAATCACATTCAAGGTGTGTTAGGGTAAGTGTGCTGGTTTCTGCGGTATCTTCTCTATTCTCAATCATGTTACCAACGGCTCCATATTTATTTATTAGTTATCTTAAGTAAAAAAATATATATAATAATTGTTTGTAATAGTTTTGTAGATACAACAGTTACTACTATCAGTTAATTTTCGCATTTTCCGAATACTAAAAACAAAATCCCCAAAATGTTTGAATATAAAATGTTACAGAGTATAAAGTGTCTTGGAATTATTCAAGAATATTTTTTTAAAAACTTTTGATTGTTTCAGGAACGAGTATCGAGTATATTTGCAATATTGAAGAAATTACCGAAGCCTAATTTTGATCTAGTAGAAAGATTAATATTTCATTTAGCAAGAGTTGCACTTGTAGAAGACCGTAACAGGTATGTAGTGACGAGATAATTATCAGAACTAAACATACTCACATTATATCTAATAATCTCTAATCCGTTGGAAGATCAAATATAAAATCAGAATATGTAATACATCATTCAAATTGAAAGTAATATTGTTTGTTCATACAACGCTGGCGCTGGTAACAAACAAGCAATGATAGTTAAATGATTAAATAAATGTATATTAAAGAAAGTCAGGCTGTCAGATCAATGGGTATTGGTCTGTCTAATCCTAGAACAAAATGGAACAAACACTTGATCATTTACGCGTTAGCTATGACTCGAACCGGGGACTTTAAATATGACGACACCTCGAAACCGGCGTGTGAACTCGCTCAGGGTAACTTAACTAAACTGAAGGGTCTAGCCCTCAATTCTGCTAATGTTTACGTAAACTCAATGGAGTCTCAACTACTTGCATATTACCATTGTCTATCTGAAGTCCAATATTATTAGTGCATTCCTTCTCACAAATTAACGGTGACAGATGTATTTATTATTTCGTAATCTAGTAACAAGAACTGTGTCATAAAGGGTTGTAGTTGAAGCGCTATTGACTTTCTATGATTATGTTAACATGACAAAATTTTCCTACTGAACTGAAGTATGTAACGCTTGTTAACAGAATGGGTCCGAACGCTTTGGCGATAGTGTTCGCGCCGTGTATATTGCGCACGCATAAGGTTCAGCCCGCGCAGGATTCGTTGCACGACATCGCGCGACAGACCGCCTGTCTAGAGGCGATACTAGTCGACAAGATGCGCACGGTCAGTATTACTCATATACATGTCTCGTTTAGAGTCGATCTCATATCCGTCATGGAACGTCAGAACTGACAAAATATCGACGCTGGAAAGCATACAATCAGTAACCCGTAAAACCAAAGTTTTTGTTTTTTCAAAAAATACAATGTTTGGTAACAAATACGATAACTCCTATTCAATTAATAAGGAATTATATTTTTAGTGAAAAAATTAAAAGCTCTTATTCTGCTCTGCAGATCGATTTTCGGTATACTTTCCAACGTCAATGTATAAGTAATAGGGCCGGGGGAGCCAGTCGAACATGTCTTATTTTTTATTACACGAAGGTTGGAGGTTCTTGATAATTGTTACGTAAGACCAACAAAACTTGCAAACAAAACTTTAAGATGAATGAGAATCTCAGCTCAAGCAAACACGCTTAACAATTTATTAAACGGAAAGAGAAGGTCAGTTGATTATTAATTTGTCTTACATGATCGTCTGATATAATAAATGGATGACACCTAATATTATATAGGTTGAACAACTTGCAACCTTGATGGCTGTTTCGTCAAGATTTGGAGGAACTTGTTTTTTTTATTTTATTTTCGTGTACTACGTTTCATTATACAATCGATTACTTTTATATTAAATACACAGATCCGAGGCATGTTGCAAGATATCGCTGAGCTGGAGAGCGCCTGTCACACCGCCAACAATCGTCTGTCCTCATTACGCAGCACATCTCGACAGCCGCGCCCCGAGGAACAGATACTGGTGGGCCACATACACGAGATACAGAAGGAACAGGCGATACTCACCTCCAACCTGCCCACGCTCATCAGGTAAATATAAATTAATTGTTCGTTTGCCACCAATAATTTTATTCCTCAATAGTGTTTCTCAATAAGTAGGACCCCAAAAATAATGAGATGACACCTACAGTGCTATTATATATAGTATAAACAAGGTTTAGCGTCAGAGTAAATATACGCAAAAATTGCAATTTTAGTATTAGTCCAAATTCATAGTATACAGAGAACAAGCAAATCTACTACCTTCTAGGAGTAAATATTTTTTCCGTAGAACCTCGTACCGGAAATAATTGTATTTTCATCCCAATTACTGCATTGTCTCAAGTACGTATGGAACTGAGATGTGGTTGCTAATTATGGGCTTCGTTAATAAACTAAGTCACCGAACATAGCCCGTTCGGAGTTTGCCTGAGAAAGATGCGAAATATGCACTAGGGAATATAGACGCCGGCAGGGAGTTCCAATCCTTGGCAGTGCTAATAAAAATATTTGTCTATAAATTTCACTCTGAATTCCTTACGGGTTATACAGATAAAATCGAGCGCCCCAATAATCACACCACTAAATTGGTTGAAGCCTAAAGCTTCAATCATATTAGTGAGCGAATCTGAACCGTGTGTCGATTGGTGAGTCGTTGTTAAGTGAACGGCCATTGTACCGTATTAGCCGCGAAGGGCCACGCAATCTCTTGCAAGAGCAGGTTCGATAGTATGCGTTCACCGCATATATAAGTTATGTATACCGGTTGGGCCGGGCCACAGTAATAAAAAATGCCGTTAAATTAAGCATAACAAAGATAATATAAATAAAACTAATGTTCAGGGCGACATCCGACGACGATCTGTTATCGACGACGGATCACGACGGTGAGTTTGGCAGCACAGATGATCTTAGCGCGGGCGCCGCCTCACTCCGCTCACAGAGGTTGCTGCATCGACAACTCTCCTCGGACGATCCCATCATGGTCTAACATCGACACAATACATATCTATTGTAAAACCCAACTGACATGGCGTGTCGTGAACTTAGTTTAGCTCTACCAGTCCTACCAATTCCGACGATGACGGAACTTATATGGCTTATTTTAATTACCACAAAATTTAACATATAATTTATTTAGTTTCCGTTATCGCAATTAAATAAGGTCAGACGCACGAATCGCTGGATGGCATCCCGCACGAATCATTCTTATTGGCCGATATTTGCAGTTTTTCGAAATTTAGCCTTCTGCGCAGGTACATCAGCAGGCCATGTTAATTGAGTTTTATTGTACGAAGGCATAGCTATCGCTGTATATATAAGGGACCTTCAGGATACAGAGATTGCTGTTATGTGTACGTAAAAATCACTCAATACAATAGACAATTATTTGTATCATCTTTACCGAATTGGTTAAAGGAAAATAATTAAAAAAAGTGCCCGTTTAGGTCATGCTACGCCACTGCATACTTTATAATCAGTGATCAGAATGGGTAGATTGATTTTCGGAACTTGTATTATAAATAGATGGTAAGGCATCAGATTTATTTAAATTATTTACCCTACTACTATTTAGACAATTGCTATGGATCTAATAGCATTTTATACTTTAAAATCAGAATCTTATGTGTAAATGCGTAAAAAATTGTAATGATGAATGAAATCAGAAGGAATGTCCATATTAAGTTTTGTTTCGGATCAATGTCCAGATATCAATCTACCTACTCCAATCTTTTGTAATTATCATTGATATGCTTATTATATTATTTTAATTAAGAATATAAATTTTAAACTACTCCGTCATACGTAATTAATGGTATTCATTGAAATACTTATTAAACTGGTCCTAAAGAGAACATTTTTAAACACGTTAGAAATTTATTAGTTACCTAATCTAATACTTAACGCAGCAATAAAGTTGATGTGAATAGTTTTTTTTTAGAAAATCTAATGAAGAAGTCAGATTGTATCTATCATTTATGTAGGTCATGAGAAATCCTCATATTTGTTGAAAAGAGCAGACCGTGTATAAAGAGTCATTGTGATGAATCAAAGTTGTATCGAGTACAAATGTAAGATTTTGTATTCTAATCTTTGTTCCTTTTACGGGGGTAGGTTGTGCTATGCAAATATCAACACAAAGATTTAATATATCTGTTCGATATAAAATACGTATAAACATGCCACGTAATGGCAATTTTAAGAGCGTGACGTCAGGTGTTATATGCTGTTTTTACAATTTATTTAATATATATATTTTTTAATACAACAAATGCTGAACTCAATCCCAAAATGGCCTACCAGTAAAACGGTGAAGATGTACAGCAAATTCAAATGGCGGTAGCAGTAAAATAATACTAAATTGAAATAAATAAAACACAAAATATCCATTCTAATCTGTTAAACATTCAGTAAATAGTTTAATAACTTATTTTACACTTGCGTTTTCCGTATTTTTCCCAGAACAGTTATAAATATTCAAGATTTAAAAATATAAATATATTTTTATCTGATTACTGTTCGATACAGTAAACCCATAAAATTGACAATAATAACAAACCTTTATAAAATATCTGTCAATATGCAAAAACCAAATTGAAAAAATATATATTAAGTTATATATGTTTTAAATTTTTTCAATTGCTAATCTATTAATTAATTCGGTTATATTTACTTAGTCGCATGACTTATAAAACAATGTGTTTTACTGAATCCGTTTTAAAAATAGGGGATATACGTCTGATTAAAAAAAGGGTTAAATATATTTTATTACAATCGTTATTGCTTTAGAATAAAGTCTATCTTAATATTTTTCAACATTAGTTTGTTTTCATCTTGAAAATAATTATTAAAAAGTGCAAAATAAATGCGGTAAACTTTAAAATATTTAAACGCCATGCTACTTGTCAGAGCGGATGTGACGAAAATGTATACGTATAGGGATGTCATTGTTACAAAAAGTTAACATCGATACAATAACATCAATGTATTATATCGCAAAATAAACAACTGATTTCAATTTAATTTATTTTCCAAAAATGTGCATATTCCCTATTGCGTTGGAAATTCTGAAAGGAAACAATTTAAAAAAAATTGTTATTTATATTTTTGTTGAGTATTCATCAAATGATTGCATTCCATTCCATTTGAAGAAAACATCTGAGCCCATTGGCTGTTAGAATTTACGGGGAACGCCTATGATTGTTCTTCCATTATCATTTTTTACACACGATACAAAAATGCTGTGATGAAAACTAAAACATTTCCATTAAATTTCCTTATTTTTGATATAGTCATACCGAAGCTAAAATAACGCTCAAATTAAATATAAAGAAGGCGCTATAGAATTATTAGATGAACCATGCTTACTTTTCCTTAACGTGCAAAAATGTTAAAAATTACAATAATTGTTAAGATGTTATAATAAATGAGTTAAGTAATTTAAACCCTTTGGCATACCTGAAGCATACCCAACGGAATAATTTGTCAGTAGTTTTATAATCATTAATTAAAAATATTTTAATAACACCTGCCATCATCCTAAATGAAGCTATAACTATTTAATCGTTTAATACAAAAAGTAGTGTTAAGAGTTGTTGTTAAATTTTGAGACTATTAAATTGTTACCGAGTCTTCTTGCCATTAACACGAGGCAGGCAGTGCATATTATAATAAATACTTGATGCAATGTTTGCAGTATGCGTAGTGTGATGCCGCGTCCGAACGCTTAGTATCCCCCGCAAACGTATGATCGCGTCGCAAGCGCTTGCGCCAAATACCCTTTGATTTGTGATAAAAAAAAAACCTCTTAGATCGGATCGGCTACAAGGGCTTGCAAACGTACACAAACCAAGACAAACACCATCCAATACGTAAGAATTTGTTATGGTTCGTTTAGGTTTGGCAAGCGTGCAGACGCGGCATAATAGTTTGGCTTGATTCGCGAGTAGTGCATGGATGTAGCCTCAGAAACGCGTGAAACAAAGGATATGTACTTAAGCGTTTGTGAGCTTACAGCGGATGTACTAAGAGTACGCTTCCAGCCCTCTTGTCTGGTTGTCCGCGTCCAAATATGTTGATGTAGATGAGAAATATTTTTCCTATGTGAATATATCTTTGCACTGACATTATATTTTATGATATATTTTTTCTGTAAATATGTAAATCTTGTCTAATTGTGATTTATCAAATAGCAATATTGTTTTTAAGATTATTTTTATCGGTTACATGTGTTCGAAAACGCCTTTTTGTTGGAGATTGTATTGAAATATGATTGTGATGATTATAAATTTCATAGATATAAGCCGTTTAGAAAATACTAAAGTCTCTTGTTAATTAGCTGTTTTGTTTTATTCCGTGTGTGTATTATGTGACTCTGACTCATGATAATTGGAAGTGCTTATTTCTCGTCAAATCAATAAACCGACACTTCACTTGGCTTAGCGTAGTCGCCTTTATTTGTTCGAATACGGCAATCTGTTTAAGTTCTTTTTTTTTCATTTTAAAAGAAGAATTTGTTGTATACATAAAAATCTTTGATTTTAGTCGCATAATAAAATAAATTTGTAATTTGACAATCGTGTATAACTCAATTGTTTGTGATAGCATATATCTCAGTGCGAACTCTGCGACCCCATATTTGACAGAGTGCTTGAGGGCGAGTTCAAAGAGTAAATATTTTGAATCGATCGCGTTATATGAACGTTCGTTATTCATGATAGTTACCTGTAATAGGCTCATAGCTTCACAACTACATGATTACGCTAAAGTCAAATGAAGCGCCGACGATACATACATCCAAGTTTGTTTTAGTTAGGTTTGATTTTATCGATTACTAGTCTATCAAAAACACATATTGTTATATATAATTCGTTTCTTGATATACATACCTACAATATGTAAACTTGTGTCGGTGATGTTGATAAAATTTTTGGTCCCATCGAAATATATATCTTTTATCCGATTTCAGTTAACTTCATACTTCGTTAACTTCTTATTGATACATTTATTTTAGGTATTATTTTTAATGTTGATAGACACACGAATTTTAAAACGAACGTTGAACCCTCATATAATTACACCATGACACATTTTTATCACTGTTGCCATACATTTTATATAAAACGAAAGTATGACATTCTGTGAATATAATACGTACCTTCACGTTTCTATCCAAAATATGCGTACCTTATTTTATCTTTTATTATATTGCTTTCTTAATCAAAAAGACTGTCTACTGATAAGCTATTGATTTTATATTGTAATAAGTCACAAATATTTTATCCTCTTTTTTCTTTAGTTTTAAACTGTTTATTATTCAAACAACGAATGTTTCTGTGACTACTTATTTGAATTAAGGTTTTTTCTAATATTCATTAGATTATTTGTATGCTCAATATTTTAATAATTTTGCCTTATTGTTATAATTATAACAAAAATATGATACATATTTATTAATACATACAGAAAGAATCTCACCACAGCTGTTCTAAATCAAGGAACATTTTAAAAGGTTGTCTTATTTTAAACCAAACTTTGCAATGAGAATGTGCATAGCGAGATCGAATTCGTTAGTACTAAAAAGTTGTGTGAGCAAAATCTATACTGTATTACCTGTGCCTTTCGAAACTAAATTGATTTTAGCAGGCTTTCTTGTGGCTGGTGACGTTGATTCTTTTTAATACTAATATTGTTAAATCTACATATATTATGCTTTCACGTTTATTTATATATAGCTTTTAGTAAGACGTAATTATTTTTAACAGAACGTTAGGAAATGCCCCAATAACAGACATACTCAATGATAATGTAATTTGATATAAGTTATTTGGTAATAATGTCAATAAATATGTGCAATGTGACTTTGCCTAGGAGTATCAACACTAAAAATAGAATTGTGTGTAGATAGAACGCGCGAGTTCCGTTTTGTAAATATTATTATATAGCTTAGTGACTTTTAGAAAGTACTGTGACTATTGACTTTTGTAATGGCTATCAGCTAATTTAGTTTACGAAGTGCCTGTCAATTATGATTTCAATTTCATAAATTGATTTGATCCTAACTGGTGCCTGTTTCATTTCATTTATAAGTATTACAGTATATAGGGCTTGAAACCTGTTAAGACAAAACCTGATGTATTATATATTAAAAAAAACAATTGTAGAAAAATATGTCTGTATTAAGCTTATAGTAAATTAAACGATACCACCATTTGTGAAATTACATACCAGATTAGACCATATTAATGTCTGGAGAACCATTTTAAATAAGGTTTCAAGCCCTGCTTGTAATAAATGTTGGGTTTGGACTTTGAAAATTTTACCCATATATGAAATTCTTAGGGAAACAAATTCTATTAAACAATCCTCTATTTTAAACCAAATTGTAAAATTTTTGTGAAAGTGATATAACTAAGTATTTTTCATATACATACTTGATTCTTTTAACAAGCTAGTTTTTTTAAGAAATTTCTGCTATACAAATGTTAGAGTAGAGCAGATGTGGTTTTTATACATGATATTACTTTGATATTTCTACAGTTTAGAAATAATTGCTTGCCGTGTATACTAGATCTATAGTTGTATTTCTAAGGACCAATACATACCTATGCTATGCTGTTTACAAGTTGTCATTTTATAATTCTGTATGTTATTTGACTGTGAGGTTTCCTATATGTTAATCATTAATGAATCTTGTAATATATAATGTGTATATTGTTCAATTTAATTTTAGGATTCTTGTAATGTGTCGAGATATGAAATGTAACCAAAACATTACACCTGTATACAAATTATAAAAAAAATAAATAATTGCTGTGAAAATCATATTTTATTTTCATAGTACAACATTCTAAAAATTAAATAAAAACACTACTGCCATGGTACTAGGCCTATAGGACATTTCGTCCAATCATGATGTCCAGAAGACTGTTTCCATATGCCAATACTGGTAGACATTGGTTTTTCTATAGAAGTAGATAGAATACCTGTTGATGAATCACATTTGTTATTACCTAGTGATTTGTTCACTTCCTCTACTGTTAAGTCTTCTATGGTATAAATTTTTGTTGATACTGTTCCTGCCTGAAAATTGTTTGGTGATGATATCAATTTTGATAAGTTGCATATATTATCTGTCACAATGTTAGGTAATTTAGGTTCCACTAAATTTAGGAGATCCTTTATAAAGAATTGTAAATATTCATTATATGTTGTTATAATTGGTTGCAAAAATTGAATGTTCTTCAGTTGAGATGGAACTGATTTTTGCATGTCCAACAAAAGACCATTTACTTTTTGATTAGGAAACCAATGATGATAAAGAGACCTTAATTCTTCATTTGTTTTAGTCTGAACATCTGTTGAGCCCAATCTGTAAAGAAATCAGTTATCAAAATGTGGTCAAATAATATTAATAGAAAAGACAAGTGTCTTAATCAACATCATCAATAGGGGTTCTTTTAAGAAAAAAAAAACAAAAAGTATATAGTTGAAATGTGCACTGCAAAAAGTGTATACTACATAGTTATTAAAACTGGAAAATTTAATATTTGTATTTTTATCTACAATGAACAAACTAAGGAAAATACTAAGACAATAAATATATTATCACTAGAGTTGTTCCTGTTCCTGTAAGAACAACTACAATAGAATATGGCTGTGTTATGCTAAATTAAGATGCACATATATAGATGGCAAAAGAAGGCTCCCAAAACTTATTTTCTTTGCACCTTGCTAATAAATGACTGATGAAGCTAAAATTGTGACTGAAAAATCTTGAAAATTTCTTTCACCTCCTTCGGCATGTTAAATTCTGATTGATTATTACTGTCTTTCATGATATTTGTGCTAAGATTAAGATGATAGATGGTGATCAAGCAATCTAGAAATCTATTAAAATTTTACTAAACCTATATTTCCATGACAATGCTTACCTTTTCAATTTTTCTATGAAACACTTTGATTTTTCTAAAGCTTTTAAGATTTCTGAACACCATAATGCTGCTAATAAACATTTGTGTTCATCATTATCACTCTTATTTGTAATCTCAATTAATTCTAATAAAAAATCCAATAACATATCATTTGAATGTAAAAAAGTCAGTAGCAATTCAAAACATTTCACATAACTTGGTGATAGCCTCTTCTTGTGTTCAAAATCATCATTGCCCATAAAAGTTGAAAGTTCCATAGAAAGAAATAAGGAATCTTGTCCAAGTAAAGCTTGATTAGCAAGTACAATGACATCCTTATTTCTGAGTAAGCTCTTAGATCTCATGTTCAAAATATCAACCAAAGATTGGACTGATACCGTTTTCAAATTTGTAAAATCATATTGATCTCCAAATAATTCTTTTGCATCATTGACTAGAGTTTCTCTCATACTTGCATCAGGAATTTCTGACAAACTCTTGAATTTGCATTTGGAATGAGAACAAAAGCTAAGGGACGTACAGAATTGAATAACAGATGCAATTTTGTTTGTTTCCGTTGTAAATGAATGTGATCTATCACCGGTTATAAAATCTTGGATACATTCTTTATATTTAATCCAATAATTTTTCCCAAGCCAATCTAAACCTATTTGAGTTGCTTCCCTTAGTAATTCTATGGAAGGCAAATTATTACTATGAGCAGTATCGTGTCGTAAATCTATAATCCAATCTGGTACACCCAAGTTCCTTGCAGCTTGATACAAACTGCTACCTTTAGCGGTTTCAGTGTCGAGCATATGGTTTACAAACCGCATAACAGCAGATGAATATGCCAGTCGGAGTAACTGGTCATTGGCAATATTACTTTCAGTTTCATCTTGTATTGACACTTGTAATAGTGATAATGTCGATTCTATACCAGATGGCAAAGAAGGGCATCTTGCTTTCCAAATTAACATTAAATGAAGTGCTTCTTCTTTATTGAAAGTAATATACAAATTTTCATAAACTTGAAGCCACTCTTGACTATTGAACCACGGAACAATATGATAATATTTACTCATTTTGAAAACACATACAAGTTATAACCTTAAAAAAACACGCAGCCATAACAAAACAAACCTCGCCTATTTTGTTTTTTTTTTTTAAAGATTTTACCGGCCTTGGCTTCCATGGCCTTCAGTACAAGCCTTCAGCATTATTTTAATGTGTGCACCAAATTATCAAGAAAATCATTTTGACACAGCATTCTACAATATGTTCGGTGTACAATTTCATTTGGAATTCTGTTGATGAATTCCGTCCTTTGTGGAAAATATATTTAGCCCACAATTCACATCTGAAAACAAATACAACGAAATTAAGAATGTTATATCCTTATAGTACAAGAGATAGAGCTACATTTTCCCAAGAATTTTATAACAAACTAATTTAATTTATAGTTCGTAATCGATAAACATCCTTAATCACCTTCACCAACAGCATCACTTTTATCAGAAATAACATAAAATTCTTTCATACAGATTAGCATGACATACCTAATACTGAAGCTCTTTGACTCAAGTCATATTTTTTACAACTAAATACAAGTATTTATGTAAATTCTAACTCTACTGCTAATAAAATACCTAACACTAGCATTACATAATGGGAATATTCTCTTGTTAAAATGTAGCGGAACTTCACGTACTATTCATTAGTTTGGAAATCTATAAACAGAAGATTAAAGCAAGTACCGTATAAGATTCCTTTTAGCCGGCTTCGGAAAACGAAAGAGCTTTACATTATGCTGGGTTGGCGAACGTCCACACTTAAAACATTTTCTTCTGTTTTCTTGATCAGCCATATTTTCAACAACCACAACAACAGAAAAGAGTCACTATCTCAAATTTCACAAATAACTATGAATCCACTTTCTAAGCACATTAAAAGGAGGAACAAAAGCTCATCTCAACGTTATAATGATAAGAAAATGCAGGAAATAAGTAATTGTGATGAAATCGCATGGAACAAGCGGGAACAACAACAAAACAAATTGCCATTATCGACACTAATCAGTTACAAAAATAACTACTACTAATTTTAACAATGATGCCTTCCAATTAATAAAATTAACACGATTGCAACTCAAAAAAAATAAAAGTCAACTGTATTATTTACTTGACTTAATAAAATGTATTTCTGAATATCCTACCCCGCCTATAGTCTTCAAATACAGACCAAGAAAAGGTAATACATACTACTCTTTGTACTACGTATTCTTCAGACAAAGACACTTCGAAGAACTAACTTCGACTAAACAGAATGAGGAAGTATTACAGAAAAAACATTTAGTTCCCGAAATCAAGGTATTTCTTTGATTTCTCCATGACAACCCTTTCGGTTTTCTTTCATGTATAAAAGTAAAATAATTTTCAAAACTTAATAAACAACTCATATTCTATTTATACTTTTTTGTGTTTATATATCTAAGTTTCGAACTTTGCAGATTTCAGTTTTTTAATATCTTTGGTCCATTAATTTCTTGCAAAAATCAACTTTAGGTAGAGTCGCCTTCTAGTGGGGTACTTTTGTTTTTCTTAAAATACTTCCTCATTTTACCAAAATGCTGGATACCTTGTAGCTCTATAGTTGTGACGTCACATGGTTTTGTAAACAAACATGTTGTTATTGGCTTCTTAAATTTACTGCACTTTTATCATCTTCAAATAGTTGTAAGATAAGAGTTACATCAATGTTTACATATTCCGTAATAAAGCAGAACAAAAATCGAGATTTGCAGTAAAAAACCTTCCGACGACAAGTGTTTACTATTGGTAAATATATACGATTTTCCTTTACATAACTCTGTTTCATAGTATTATTTTAATAAAAATGACTTTTCCATTATTTCGTCATTAATTTATATTAAAAAAATTACTTCTAAACTTATTCAACTTGCTTCAAACTTATTTTTTTCGTTTGTCTACGAACCGAAAGATGTCATATCATGGCGGCTACTGATTCGCACAATAAAAACACAGACTAAAGATTTGAATATGAAAAATTAATATGTCATACCTGATATTAGAAAACTTATCTCTATTGGTAGCGATATATGGAAATAAAAACCCAAGTATCCCAACCAGTGCAAATCGGTGGAGATATGTGGAGATATTCCATATATCCCTACCGGTAGCTATAATTGGAAAAAATCCTATAATCCCTATCAATGCGAATATATCCGTAGCGAAATATGGAATAGAAGACGATTTTTGTTATTGTTAGTTTCAGAGGGCTGTGACGTCATATCGATATCATAATAGAGTTAGCGTTATAGCGGGATTTTGAACATGAATTTTATTTTTAGATTTTAAATAAATAATTGAGATACTTTCACGCGCACTATCCATAAATGAAACAACCCTTCGGGCCTTTTACAGGTTCCTTATTCAAATAAAACTGAGGTATTGACCGTTTAAAAATTGTTCCATTTATTAATATATCACATATTATATTCTATAACTAAAAATATTTTTAAAAATCGTCTACATCCGTATTATATATTTTTAGATATTTTCGTAATGACTAAAATACCATATTAGAAAGACGGATATGGTAATAAAAATCGGTATTATAAGAATTATATCTTTTATTAGAAAAATCGATTCCAAAGCAATATTGTTCACATTCACATGCAGTTAAAACGCTACATTTTTATAAGAACTTTGAGTTTCAAATGATAATTTTTTGGAATAACATTTTTGAGATAGAAATAAATTATTGTGCTAACGTCAAATGCGTAATATTCATATTTTTCACAGAAGTTTCAAAGAGATCATCTTTGGCACTGACGACGTCGATGAGACCACTCGGATCGCGAGTCGCCGTTCTATTGACTCTCCGTCGTCGGGATCGATGGAACCGAATGTCTAATCCGCGGATAGCGCGATCGGCGATGTGGCGTTTTGACTGCGGGCGAAGTCGACCGTCGGGGGCGAAGCCGGCGCACACCACGGGAGCGGCGGCGAAGCGGCCGATTCTGCGATAATCAAAATCGACTTCGGTCCACTCGGACCGAGATCGACCACGTTCACATTCCCGCCAAGCGGAGCGGAGGCCGGGCTCGATCGGGCGCGGCTCTCGTCGAAGAACGGGTATCGGTCGGCATAGCGAGGGCGGGCCGCTCATAAGTCGACCGTGTCGAGGTTCTGCGTGGGCGCGCGCGGCTCCGGCTCCGGCGGCGGCGTGGAGGGGCGCGCGTGGAACTTGCCCGGCAGCGAGGCGAGCGCGGAGAGCGCGGCGTCCGCGTGCGGGATGCGGCGCATGATCTTGCCGGAGGTGATGAGGCGGCCGAAGCCCTCCTGGTGGGCGAACGCGTACCCGGAGCGCACGGAGCGGCGCGCGCGGCGGGCGGAGGGCGTGCGCGGCGCGGAGGCGGGCCCGCGCCACCGCTGGCGCGCGCGCAGCCGCTCGCCGAGCGTGGGCCGCGCGCGGGACATGCCCAGCCGCCACGACACCACCGGCACCATCAGGATCATCATCTAGTCACAACGCACCATAACACCGGATTAAAAAAAAACAGCCATTCGTAGTTTTGTATTTGACTCATTTTAATTTGTTACTTGACAGTTATAACTATGAATCATGTTGAAAATAATAATTTATATGTAAACAATAGTTCTTGAGTGTTTATTGTTTTGAATTGGAAGTATATATATTTTTTTTATTTTTGCTAAATAAATCACAATTTATTTACGAGAACCGAAACGCGAGCGGCCATGACGGAGCATTATGTGACGTCACGTTTCAATTAGTTAAACGTTAACGTCTTTATTGAGAGTGCAACTAGTACTCATGTTTATGGAAATGTGTCGTCACGCTTCTAAACGTCACGTGATTATTTTTTTCCTTTATTTAATAAGTATCAGAACAAAAAAAAAATGTTATTATGGTTTGATCATATGTACAATGATCATGAGGATTTCGAAATATTTTTCACAAAATAGTGAAGTAGCCAATTGTTCAAATATCATGCGGATTCAGATGATTTTCAAAATACGATTTATACCCGCTGAATAATTTATACACATATAAAATAAACATATGCGAATTCCGCGTTATTGTAAGAGACGACTTTGTGTAAATGGATTATACTTCTTATGAAAAATGCTTAAAAATCCACTTTGCCCTGGCACTGAGATGGGGCAAAGTGGATTTTTCATTAGGAATATTTTCCAGTACAGCATTGTGAATGCGAAATTGATCAGATATATATTAGATTATACATACAGTGAGTACGGCCGTGAACCAAAACGTGGCCTGTGTGAGGGCGACCGTGAGAGAGCCCACGTACGTGCCGCCGATCACGTAGTTATAAAAGTAGTCTAACACGAAATACGACACCAAAGAGCCCCATATCGTAATGTGATTAAACACTGTCCAATATGTTGTGTCCAGGGCGATCTAAAACAATGAATTGATTTGAAATATTACAAATATATAACACCATAAAATATGCAACGAAAGACAACTTACTTGTGTTGTATTGTCTATTATTAAAATAGTAGCGACCACACTTCCTAATAACATATGGTCTGATAATATTTTTCCATCAGGGGCTAGACCATCTTTGTATGTACCTGTAAAAAAGTACACATAGTTGTAAAATAAGTCGTACATCGTTCATCAATTAATAGCGCAAATTCACAATGAGAATGAGATAATTAGAGTTTCCTAGTGTTTTTTGTTTTCTGTATTAAATAAATAGTATAAATATAAGCAAAGTTCTTTATACAAGTAAAAATAAAAATTAAGTAATTTTTCTTATAAGAATAAATTTATTTAAACCTGTTGTTATGTCAACGCCTGTAATTTTATTTACTGCAATTGCTCAAACGTAATCTAACCGTTGCTTTTTTTTATAAAACTTAAATACTGGATAATTTATTGAAACATTTAACGTTCGTAATGTAAATACCTTTACTAAATATATATATAAGTGTATAATTGGATTTATTTACTATCGCGGTTTAACTAAATACAAAAGCTAAGTATTTGAGTGTCACTGACCGTATGGTATCAAGAACAGGACGAGTGATGTGAAACACCCGTGTAGTGTGGACTTAATGAACTCAGTCTTGTTGAACAGCTGGCTGGTGTGTCCGGGCGCGTACAGTTTGGGGAACTGTAGCGAGGTGGTGTCGGACACGTCCTGCTCGAACACGCCGAGAGCTAGCACCGGCAGCGATGTGTAGAACAGGTTGTACACAGAAATGAACATCTCGTCAAACACCGTCTGTCGAAGGAATTTTCAATAATCGCTTTAAATAAGCTCGACAACGTAGTGAACTTTTTGAGATCAAAAGTACCTAGAACCGAGGCCAGCGGTAGAATAGTTTTTGCAGTTGTTCTCGCTAAATATACATTATGTCGTCATTAGTATATGGCGTCAAGTGACCCAAGGGGTAAGATGATATAACAGTTACTATCACAAGCTCCTCCGTGCTTTAGAAGGCACGTAAAATCATCAATCTGCGAAGGCAATCGTAGAATGATGACGATTATGAGAGGATCTCTTGTACAAAAGAATATGTAACGTCATTTGAAATCAAAAAGATGACCAAAAATAACAGAAAAAAGTTGAAAGTAATCAAGAATATATAATATAATTCTTCTTATAATTTCATTTTAAAGAACCAAAAGATTTTCTGTTCTTAATTTACAAGTATTTACATTAATAGTTACATTTAAATTCATAGTCAGTAAACCGTGTTTGCATAAGCGACGAACTATTTTCGGATTAATAAATAGTTTCGACAGATTTTTTGACTAATAAATTTCTAAGTATAACAACGTACCTGCGCACTGAATCCACAAAAGAACGCGAACCAAAAATGGCAAACGGTGAACGCGAAGTTCTTGTAGAAGAAGTATCTGAGGAACTTGCACATTCTATAGTACGACCAGCGTCCGTGCACTAACAGTAGTCGCTGTAGAAAGCGGAACTGCGCTATAGAGTAGTCCGACGCCAATACTGCCTGCATACCCTCCTGCCCGCTTATACCCACGCCTATGTGGGCAGCTGCCGACAAATATTATATTGAAGGTAACTTATATAATTCGTATGGTACTCACTGTGGTTTTTTATATTTTATGTCACATAATATGAAGTTGAACACTCTTTCAAATTGAAGTTGAACAATTGAATGAAAAATGCTTAAAAATCTACTTTGTCCCTGACACTCTGGGATTGGACCTGAACCCATGACCTTTCGCAATCCGGGTGACTGCTCTTACTACTGAGCTACCCAGGACTTAACAGGGCTTATGAATTTTTCAAACACTTGTTACTTTTTCGCTACTACAGAGTAGCGATGGACGTTATTCGCATATAGACAGTTATTGAACTAGTGATTTGCCTGAACCGCTATCACTGGTAATTCAGAGATACAATAACTATCTATTTTCCACAACGCTTTAAAGTAAAACTGAATTCACTCTTAAGTAAATCACATCAAGGTACGGGTGATGTTTGAGCAACTCGCATGACAATATCCGCAATTACGAAGAATCGTAAATAGCATTGTACGGTATTCTGTTGCGCTATGATTAGACAATGAAATGTGATTAAAAGTTTGGTGCGTATTTTAATCATTGGTAAGAAGAATCAATTTATGTTAGGACTTTTGACCTTTCCTAATTTTCGAAATGTTGACAAGACAGATATCTACAAGAAACTTCCATTTTCTTGTAGATATCTGTCTTGGTGCGCCCCGTATTGTCTTAAATACTTGAAACGTGAATCTGTTCTATTCAATATGCCTGATGAAAAATTTACCGAAAAATACATTCATTGTTTCTGGCCGTCTAATAGTACCGTCAAGGTAATCGTTACTCGTCATATTTTAAATAAGTTATTTAATTATATTACAATTAAATAAGAATCATAAAATGTTTACTATTATTACCTTTGATCATAGAGACATCGTTGGCTCCGTCGCCGATAGCCAACGTGACCGCTTTCCGACTTTTCTTTATTAATTCCACTACCATCGCCTTTTGTAATGGCGTCACTCGACAGCATATTACTGATCGACATTGTAAAACTACATCTAGGAACCTGTGAAAACAATTCGTTTAATTACATGAAAATGTTCTTGATTTTTTACCACACACATCTGATGTTAAATCACGTTTAAATAAATTTTACATTGTAATAAACATTGATATTTAGATTTTGATCAAGTCAAGATTTTAAATCTGTATATCACGTGACCTGACACAACCGGTCATAGTGTAATAAACGCAGTTGAAATGAGAGCGCTGAGAAGTATGATTACCAGAATTACCAGAACTTTGGGATTACATAAATTATATCTTTTTCTTTCAAATAAATTGCATGTTCGCATTGTATGCTCACTTCAGGGGTGCGTGGACCCTGTTCTCCCTACTAGATTCCATCCGGCCTGTCGCTACTAATATTAAATATGGTTACGTGGGTATATAATTGGCTACTTGACAGTTATAACAATAAATTATAAAATATTATGTTGGAAACGGCAACTTAAATGTAAACTATAATTGTAAGGCATTTTATGTTTTAAAATAAATTGGAAATATTATTGCAAAAATAACTAGCGAATTATAATCCATGGATTACAAGAGCGGCCATGTCGGACAATCTCTTGACATCATATTTCAGTAAACTAAACGTCAACATTATTGTTGCCAGTGCAACCTGTAGGGCAATTCTGTTAACGTTAACGTTATTATGGAATATGAATAGCGCTTCCACTACAACAACCCTTTATGACACAGTTAACATTGATTTATGAGAAAGTGCGCCCTAATCAAATTGGACGTAGTAGTATAATGGGAAAATTCAAATAGTTGCGATTCTATTGATGCAATTATTACGCAAAAATTAACAGAATTGAGGCCCTTTACTCATGTTTATTGAAACGTTACGCCTTAAAATGTCACGTGACTGAATGTTTTCACGGGACAATTTAAATTAAGAATAAAAATATGTTTTCCCTTTATTTAATAAATTTTTGGATAATCATATATGAAAGTTTCAAAATACTATTCCCAAAACAGTAAAGTAGTCAATTAAATAAAAAAAAATATTGTATGCATTTTGTAGAAAATAAATAAAATGTCACTCACTTCTCTTCTAGTTTAGGATGAAGGCAGTGTACGAGCGAGTGTCCGTTTACGACTATCGCGAACCCGTTGGAGTCGTCGTTGCTTGGCTCGTGCGACTCCGCCGAGTATGGGCCGCTGCCGGACATGTACTCGTTGCTGAAATACACTCCGATATCAACTCTAGCATACGTTTATGTGCTACATACGACTGTATGTGATGGTTTAAAAGTGACAAAAATAAACAGACAAAATTAAATTCAGTGCACAAATTTTCATGTTTTTTATCTATTTTTTTTAAGCTACCAACATCGATGATAAAGGGTAATAGGTGGTGATGAAAAATACCTACAGTTTTCAATATACTACTATTACAATAAACATGATAATTTTATTGAATATTAAAATAATATATGTAATAGAAATTTCAATAAAACAAACATCGTAAATATAATAAAGCCAGGGATTTTTTTTGTACTTCTTGTATTCTTATCATGTAGACATATAGAGGTACACACATTCTTAGCAGATTTAGCAAAACTTAACGTAATTTTCTTACAAATGTGCTCATGTCACCTTTCAGTAATTCTATACATAGTTACATATTTTGAATGTAATATTTTTTACGAGACACATTCCATGTTCTTTGGAATTTGAATTAACAACGAAAACCTTTCAATTTGAAAGTTCCATTTCCAGCTCTATAGAACTATTTATTGGTTGCAGAAATGAATTAACTCGTTTAATATTTTGAGAAAATTGAACATGTACTTAAACATTGGGAAATTGAGGGTGAACTGACATGTTAAATTAAAGATAAACATCTATGGATTGTGTTACGTAAAAATATTCCAATCAAATACGCTGCCCCAAATTTGTGAGACAGTGAAGCGAGCACCTTTGTATGAACTACTTTTTACTAGAACCAATTAAACTTAAGATATTTGATACAGAAAACTGTAACTATTTTAAAAGTCTAGAAAATAATAACTTGGCTTATACGAAGAGTCAAAGTAAATTAAAAATCTTATATTAATTTGAGTTTACTTTAACGCTGTTGTCATAAAAAAAGAAGTATCAAATTATATTTCTACATATTTAACATTCACGCCAGATCCAAAGGACATCCAATTATTCATTTCACTGATAAAATTAATATTATCTTAAGTTAATCTAGATGAAATACAATCCCACACGTTGTGTTAACACAGAAAAGAATGTGTATATAGTATGTATGTGTGTGAGAAAGAGAGAGACAGATATAGCATTTGACATATAGAGAGTTAAACAGTAGTATAGGGGTTAGTAATTCGAAATAATCTGTAGCCTTTCGGACACACCATGCTGAAATATCTATCTGTGATGTGATTTTCTGTACTTTATGTGTCAAATAAACGATTCATTCATTCATTTATTGTAATGATAACCAATTAGGAATTTGCGCCTTTTACTCCTATCAACACATAAAACAGATCCACGAACGAGTACAATTGACAAACAATTAAACCCTGCACAAAGACGTGACGATATTATAGATCAAATATACAATATAATGTAAAATGCACATGATGCAATAAGCATAATAGCCATAACTACTCATCTAAATATTTATGAGTAATCACTACATAGTATAAGACAAAGTCGCGTTTTCTGTCCATATATCCCTATGTATGCTTAAATCTTTAAAACTACGCAACGGATTTTGATGCAGTTTTTTTTTTCATACATAGGGTGATTCAAAAAGAAGGTTTTTATGTATAATACAAGACCACGCGGGCGAAGTCTCGGAAAGCTAGTAATATTATAATCAAGGAACGAGTATTGTTTAAATTCAATAATTTTATTTAATATGAAAGTTAAACATTGTTATAACTTTGTTGTTTATAAAAGCGTATCTACTTTGTAAATATATAATGTGAGAACCGGCAAGACACACGGCAAGAGTTGTTTTTCAGTTTCATTGCATACAGAGATGGACAATTGAACAAAAAAGATGGCATTTAAATATGAAGTTACTGTTTTCATATGTTCTGTGATTCGGTACTCTATAATCAACCGTTTATTTATTTATCTTAACACAATTACACATCCTTTTTCATGAAACATATACTTAGTCCCACAAACCACATTATCTTATTCAAAATCGAATGAAATCACATACGAACATTGCGATTGTTATGATGATAGTTACTACACAAACAAGTGCACAGAAAAAATGGCAATTTGTTGTTTAATCCCACTAGAGTTTTCTGTTTAATCATTTTCTTTGAATCGATACAAACTATTAAGTATAATTTTGTGTATATAAGTTAACTTGTTTATTTAAGAAAACTATGAAATTTGATATATCTAAATAAATATAATTAAATTGGTCTAAACTGTCATAGTAAGATGTTTTTTCTCTGTTTATTTTATACAGATAAGTCGAATAGAAAATTTACGTCATTAGTCTCAAAATTCCAGTCATATCTATATTAACGTTTACATTTGAGGTTGCTAAACTGATCGGATTAAGTACAATATCCATATTAATAATATCCTTTGAGTTTACCGGGGTAAGTCAACACTAGCGGGAATAAACCTTTGGGTGATGTGATCGTGGCGGACAGAGGGTACATGGGCGGGGTGAGGGTACGTTGAGGGTAGAGGTCTACCTGGGTGAGGATTGCGCCCACCTAAATGTGACGACGGAGACGGCGGGCGCGTTCAGTTTCACATTGGCCGCGCGTCCGGGCGACGGACGTGATACCGCCGCGCCACCGTTCGCCGTTTCAGTATCCCTCTTTGCTTCCGATGTGCCTTAATATAAACAACAAAAATATATATACAATAGACAAACAGTCTTAGTGTAAAACGATAACTAACTTTTATATACTTTACCATATGTATAAACTATTATCCGACCAAAAGACGTCAAACCCGTTTATGCCCTCTTTTTCTCTAAGACAGCCAAGTGGTGTCTCAAGATTGGAAAGTTCCGTTACATTGGTCAGTCTTTTTTTGGCTATATGAGTGGTGGAGATTTTATTAAGTATGTCGACAGAGTAAAAATAAGAAGCTCTCTCTAGTCCGTCAGTCAGATAAAAGAAAAATATTAGATCCGTATTTTTTACCTTTAATTTAACAAGAAATAGCTTAGTTAACTGGTTAATGCCAGTAACAGTTTTGGAGAAAATGTACAAAAGTGTGACGTCAAGTGACATATTAACTCAATGTATCGACGTAATTTAATGGTTACGCAAAAGTGTTTAATATTTTTCTACAATATACAATCAAACAAAAGCATTTAGTCGTCATCCCTATAATTTGTTGTCATTGCAATAATGCTCCATATTGTACGTCAACACTGACATGGCAATTGAAATTCTGCGTACGAAATACATATTTGTACGACTTCTATTACACCACTATAGCAATTGCCAGTCTTTCCCATTCTTAGATCGGGATCTGTTACTACATGTATGTAAAATATTTATGATTTACTTACCATGAGGCAGAAAGGTGTTGACTACCCGTATTGAGTCCCGACATTTAGCTAGTTGTCTGTCGACGTCGTCGTGTGACGAGCCGTCGATCACAAACACCTCAGCCATATCGTCAGTAAGCAACTGACATGAGTATCCTATATTTATTGCCGTCTCTGAAAACATGCATTATATATATCAGAAATAAGAAATGATAGTATTATTAAAGTAAATTAAAATGCTCTTTAATTAATTTGAATACTAAATAACGCCATCGATCTGAAAGTAACACTCGGTATTCACCTTGTTTATCACCCGTTAACACCCAAATTTTAATACCAGCCATACTGAGATTCGCTATTGTTTCGGGTACACCATCCTGCAATTTATCTTCTATAGCAGTGACACCTGTAAAAAAAAAAACGGAAAATCTACAAATACTTCCATAAAAGAAACCTAAATTAAATAAAAACACATTGAGTTAAATTTTAATTTTAATGGAAGAACGATCATATTATTTATTCCATAAATTATCTCAAAATGACGTCATGTTTCTTTTTTTGTCCACCTTCTAATAGGTAACTGAGTATAGCAACCCGGCTCAAAAGAAAACTCTGTGTAGAAACTAAAGTTTTATAATAATTAGTGATTATAACTTTCGCCCGTCCGCCTCTTGTACCAATTTAATGGACAATAAAGTTTGTTAAATAAATAAAATTATAACTTTCAACTTTATTTATTTTTATAATAAAATCAATTTTTTCAAGGTGAATTTGATTTCGATATATCAGTGTATTGGTTAAGGGTTCTGCTTGCAAGATTTATAGTATTGGAATGTGGCTAATAGAAAGCGTCACCGGGAAGACGATATAACTGGGTGATAAATAGAATGAAGTGTAAAGTACCAATACATAGAAAAGAAAGGCAAATCTGAAATCGTAGGAAGGGGCCGTACGTGATGTGTCTATGTACAAGTAATGCACCCGCTGGCAACGGTATTTCTAACGTTTCCTCTATCTATACTATTTTAAAGAGAAAAGATTTGTTTAACTGTTTGCATTGTGTAGGCTCCGAAAATATATTATTAAAGATAAATTTAATGTAAATACAAATACATAAAAACAAAATATGCCACAAATAGGTGTACCAAATTCATAGTTGATAGTTAGAATAGTTAGTTGTATATATGGTATTTACCCATTAGTAGTAGATCGGTCTCGATCTCCTCATAGATGGCGTCTAGTTGTTCGTCACGGTCGCGTAACGCAAGCGCCGCGCGCTGGTGGCGATTTTTCCACTCAGCGAACCCGCGCTCGTCCAGCGGCCGCCACGCCAGCGCCAGCGTACGCAGACCCTCGCCCGCGAACTTCTGTTACCGGAACACATACCATAGTAACTGGTCAAAAGAGCCTCGAGGGCGCGATAATTTATCCACATAGACAAATGCAACTTCTTCACAAAAACGACACGCATGAAGGGTTCTGTACCGAAAACGAGCAAAAAAATCACGTTTGTTGCATGAGAGCCCCCTTAAATAATTATTTTATGCTGGTTTTTAGTATTTGTTGTTTAAGCGGCAACAGAAATACATCATCTGTGAAAATTTCAACTGTCTAACTGGTTCATGCAGACAACGAAGTCTAAGGTAGGGAAGCATAAATATTGGATTCTGTATCACTTCTAAACTATATTGAATATAAATAATTAAATATATGTTTATGGACAACTATATCTATCAGTATTATACTTACATTTAAATGCTCCTGTGTTTTTGATTTAACTTCCGCTTGATTTGATTTTAATCTGTCATATATTACATTATCAGCACCTTTTGTATATAACCTAATTTCACCATCCTTCCTCAATATCACGGACATTCTTTTCCTAACATTATTAAAATCTAATATACATAACAAATCATATTCCTGAAAAAAACAAGAAGCATATTTGAATATGGCTAAATTATAAAAATATATATATTTACACACCATTTCGTTCCACAGAAATTGACTTACTTCTGTGTTACCCATAACTTCTATTGTAATACTATTAGGCGAGCGTTCTCTGAACACAAAACCAAAATTTCTGGCCGCTGATACCAGTGCAGCCTCATCAGGCGACTGCGCCTAAAACAGATTACCAAACGTTAAACAAATTACCGAAATATCTATCTTAAGTAACAATTAATAAATACATTTATTATAATGGTGGCGCTAAAGACAAAACCTAGAAAAACTCTTTTGAATAAACAAAAATATAAATCTACATAATATTACTGATTACCGAGCATGACATTATAAGCGATATTTTAACATGGCAAATGTTTCAATAACGTGGATTATTTAGAACACCACAGTTTTAAATTAGTTCAATACATTTTGAACTAAAGTTAATATTATTGTAGCATAAATGTGGCGTAGTGGATAAGCGCCGCGGCCCGCGATCTTAGTCGTTAAGCAACTTTCGCTAGGGTCGGTCACGGGATGGGTGACCGAACAATTATTATCTCGAGTTACTCCGTGCTTCGGAAGGCACGTTAAGCCGTTGGTCCCGGCTCTATTTGCAGTCGTTAATACCCTCCAATCCGCATTGGGCCAACGTGGAGGGTCATGGCCCATCCTCCTTCCTAATAAGGAAGGCCTGAGCCCCTGCAGTGGGGACGTAAAAGGGCTGATGATGATGAGGATGATAAATGTAGCATAAATAACAATATAATTTACATTAAGTATACATAGTATGGATCTGTCCGGACACTAAATAAAAATTTGATATTATTACAGAAACAAAATACCATTGATAATTTCTTTAAGGTATCATATAACAACGAATACCATAATAACCATACTGAAACTTAATAGCATTAAAACACTAAATCACGACGTCATATTTAATTATGTAGACGTACAGTATTAAAACTAGACACATCTTTACCTATTATGACCACAGATTATTACAAAAATAATTCGTTAAAATAGGGTATTGATTCGTCAGGCGAATGAAAAAAAAAAACGAAAAATTCTTCATTGAATCAACTTATTAAAATCACTTCAATTGTCCAACATTTAAACGGTCCAATATAAACGGTCAGTAAACTTGTCAACTTTCAATGACAAATAACGAAATCATTACCAAAATCAATACTAAATAATAACAAACTTAATCGTGTGTAACGAACACGTAAGTTTTTTTTTTTTAGAAAAGAAGAATTCATCCTCTAACTTCACGGTAGATCGTTACCTGGTATTCAAGGCGGCCGTTCTTCTGCTCCGGCATAACGGTGTGGCAGAGGGCCAATAGCCGGAAGAAGTCGTGCACCTCGCGGTCACCGCGCTTTACCGCTTCCAGTAGCGTAGAGTCGAAAAATTTAAACTCCGGCTCATACTCTGGGTTAAACGAGAAATCCAGCGGCTCTGTACTCTGTAGTAAACGAGTAAATACTCTTTAGTGTACGCTATATAATACGTTTTAACGCAAGTAACAGTTCTACGTTAAAACATTGAAAGAATTCACACGACAAAAAAGTTGATGTAACGACATTATTGAGCGTTTTAAAAATAGTCCTATCATTAACTTTTTAATATGTATCAAATATTTGACAGATTTATTGAAGAATGTAAATGTTTTAACATAGAATAGTTTGAATAAAACAATATTATGTTAAAAGTGTTAGAAGCGTACTAGAACATGAAACAACACAAGATGCAAAGCGAGGCATGCAGAAGAGACTTGTTAAATACATATATCACATACACAATAAATGGAAACAATGTTAGTGAGTTACACAGTACATTAGGTAGAGTATTTTCTTTATTAAAATATATATATACTCGTATATAGTATACAAAACTCGTCAATATAAATTTGGGATACATGTCCACCAACGGAGTTGTGTTAGCATGTATAGGAAAAATATTAATAGCATTATACCTTTACATTATAGTAGTTATATTTAATATAATATTTAATAAAAGTATACAGAGAATAGAAAAAAAATACATTTTTATTAGAAAATAGATCGTGTGTACGGGAAACATTCGTGACTTTGTTACATTTGGTTAGCCTTAAAACCAATATTACATGAAATCTTTTGTATTAAAATACAGACTGCTCTTTTATGGATATCGATAATACAAACATTCAAGGCAATGTTAATCTAAAACTTGTTTCTGTTTTCAAATTCAGATTTTTTTAACACTTGGTATGGTAATCATATTTTTTGGATTTACCACTTGACTATATTTATTCGATTGCTTAAATTAGCAAAAAATAGATATTTAAAGTGAATTTAACTAAATACATTTAAGTTTTCTTTGATTTATCTCTCGCCATATCAAAAAATGACTATTAATTTTATTTTAATATAATAATTCAAAAAATCCGACGAAGTGCCAACAAATTATGAAAGAGTCTTAATTTTCGAATAAATATAGAATTTATTTTTCTTCTGAAGAATAATATCTCATACAGTAAAGTTTCAGATAACTGCGCAGTCTTAAAATCCATGGTTTTAAATATAGATTATAATATACGAGATTTTTAGAATGTGGTTTAAAATAAAGAATTAACGAAGCTAAATTTGAAATAAGCTTGAAAATGTAAAATAATCACAAATATTACAATCATATAAAATACCCTTTATACAATAAAACCATGGATTCTATAATTTGCCTTAAGAGGAAGATCTTCTCTACTGGATGTGTAAAATTATTTTGTGATATAAAAACAAATATTATACTTGTAACTATAGTCGGGTAGAAATAATAAATAAAGCAAATATTTTTAAACAATAGACGAGAATTTGAATAAAGTTCGATAACAAATAATAATAGCATTCTAAACTATTTAAAGTTCTTACTCCATTTAAAATTTTGTTTATCTTTTATCAATATTTACTTAAGTTATTACTTTTACTCCAGTGATGACTTCTACTCGACTATATTTGCCTACTGATTTGGAAAGCTAATAATAATTAAATTACTTATGTTTTAGCGAGCCCAATCAATTTCTATCGGAAACTCTTTGTCATTTTACCTTAAAACAACCCACTCTCATTAGTATAAATATATTAAACACTTTAATTATTGAAAAAAGAAAATGTGATAACCACATCCAATAGAGTTGCTTTCGATTTAATTGATAATTAGACGGTGCGTTTTTCACCCTCACGAATACACAGACGAACATCGCTACGTGATATTAAGGATTCGTTGCACCAATGATTAAATGGAATAGGTAGTGATACTACACGGCGTTTGTTCTTCTGAGTGCGAAGGGCGGTATCGAGCATTTACAAATTACTGTTACACGGAATTGCTAAAGATAAAACGTAGTCACCACCTCATATCATAACTGTGAACATTTCTTTGATCAAAAATAAGGTATTCTACTCCGTTTGAAATAGTACCTGTAACCGGTTATTGTAATTTAAAAAGCCGTTTTCTTAACTTAAATCAAAATTTAAACTTTATACCCACGAAAACGGTTTCCGTCCTATTCATGACATCATTGATGCATAAAGTAGAATATTAAAAGATGTCAATAAAATAAGAACAATGCCATCTACCAATCGATTACAAAATAAAAAGATACAAATAAGCTAAGAACAGCGCCATCTGGGAATTTGATTTATAATTAATGTCGGGACGTATTCCAAGCCACGTGACAGAAAAAAACGACTTTTAAGTTTAAGATAATCTTGCGATTTTAAGACTCAAAATCAAAATTTGTGCAATTTCGTGACTTATTTTTCACTATTTTTTTTTTTTTCAATATTTATTATTAAAATGCAAATGAATATTCTTGTACCGTTTTCATATAATATTGATATTATACGGGATTAATAATTTATCACGAGTGTATGGTTTATAATTATAATTGCGAATATTAAATAAAATGCTGACTCGAGAAATGTACGATGTTTAGGCTACGTTTTATCCATTCAAAAGCGGCTCTTGCCCTTCTACACACAAACCTCCACAAACATGGCGCGTTCAATTTAAAATTACTAAAAGGATGATCTGAAATTCAAGCGGACACTGAAGTGCGGCCGAGAAACGCATATATTTAGATCGCCCAATGTTTTTAAATCGTGAAATCTTATAAATACGTTTCAAATGTAGTCAGTCCTGTTAACTGACCAGTTCATGTTTTAGTATATTTAAAAAAAATCGAAGTCTAGTTGAAGTAATTATTTGAGTAATAACATTAGCAAATACTTTTCACCAATAAACAAGAATTTGAATGAAATATGAACTGTCAAAAGTCGGAATACTATTATTAACAATACTATTTAGTTATTGACAATTCTTACTTCAATCAAATTCTCGTTTATAAATATTTGCTGAAGTTATCACTAACACTCAAGTAATTACTTCTACTCGGCAATAGATATGAGTGTTAGACCGGTTTTTCTATATATTGGAGTTAAGATTTAATCTTTGTTTTTTCCTTGTTTTCAGTATAAAGAGTAAGCGAATGCACGTTTAGGTGGATGGTTTGTGTGTGAGAGGGTTGTGTTCGGGTCGAGTCGCGTGCTAGCCCATACGTGTGAGTCGTTGCGCGGGCGGCGCGCGCCCGGCGTGCTGCGGCCCTGCTCGTGCTCGAGGTCTAGCAGGCGTGCGCGCACCGCTCCACTGCTGCCCCGCGACCCGCCGCCCCCGCCACCCCCTCCGGCCCTGCTGCCGCTGCGCTGCGTTACACACACCCCTACAACTCTTGTATCGCCCTGCCCGAACGACCGGCATAACGGCGCCTACTTTTCTACCTACACCTAGTCCACACCGCTCTACTAGAATTGCTCTACCCTATATGCTTAAGCAGGCAGTGCAGTGCTTATTTTCGAAGCCTGAGACTTGGAAAATTTCAAGTCGTCTTGCTAAAGCATATTGAAGCTTATTTTTTTTTTACAAAAGTCCGTCTTCTACAGTTACGTTAAGTTATATAAGCCCATAAATTTCACTTGTTATTGTAATATTAAAAGGTTATCACTGTTAATTAGTTTTATAAATTAGGTATTTCATCGAACAGCGATAACATAATTTAATCACAAGCTTTTTATATGAATTACTAAGAAAAAAAATATCGATTATGAAATATATCATTATGTTAACGGTAATATTAAAAAGAGCTTGGACTTATTTCGTAGGTAGTAGCTTCGTTAAAAATTACAATTTGATTCTGGTGGGAGAATAAAAAATTCAACACATGCTATATGTACAGTGTTCTGTGAGTAGTGTAGGTACGTGATGATCTATCGTCGTGTGCATGAATAATATCGAAAACAGATGAGATAATTATAAAACCTTATTAACCTTTTATCCATGCACTATGTGGGAAAACGAAACACATGTAATTCCAAACGATTCACAACAATCCCAAAGCATGGGCAAACGGTACAAACACTTTAACATTTTTTTCAAAATTACATATAAGTACGAAAAAAATCTTTATAAAACTCATGCAAAACAAATTCATGAGTCGCCAAAACGTGCTCACGTCATATTTAAATCGGCAATGATGATATTATTCGAAATAAATAATGCAATCTACATGCATCCAGGTGATTCTGATATAATCTATGGCGATGTGCTCGACTACTTTTACGTAATTCCAAAAAGTATCTAATCTGTGTCTTCAAAATATTTCGAATATAAACGCATTGTGCATCTGAATTAGATACGGGAGCGCGTCTCTTACCTCATTTAGCTCGATGGTCTCGCCAGTGGTCTCATCGACGACATCTCCGTAACATACTCCGGCAATAGAGCACTTGTTAAACGTCATTATATTTTGCGTTAAAGTGCCCGTCTTATCGGAAAAAATGTATTGAATTTGGCCTGAAATGTGTTGTGACGTTAGCCCCTTTCATGCAAAAGGAATATAATGCATACACATATGAATCCTAGTGTACGTACCTAGCTCCTCGTTCAACGTTGTTGTTCTCGCTTTAGCCGCTGTTCCAGTTTTCTCGTAGTACATCTTCTCGTCCCAGTTTATAAGGAAACTCTGTGCAAATCTTATTACCTTTAAAAAAAAAGACCATCAAAATCCTCTCTACCAATCTACACCATAAATACTGACGTCACATTTATATATCATACGAATATAGAGTATGTTTTTATCGTTTCAATTATATGTTGTTTTATGCCATGTGACAAAAATTATAGAATGTAGCATTAATTGGCTGAAAAATAACATTAAAACAGTTACATTTAAAATTTAAAGTATACATAGTAAGAAACATAAACGAAAATATTTATTATTGTAAAAGTTTCTACTATAAATCGGTTACTAATTGCGGTAAATTACAGTCTTGATGACATATGATAAACTTGAAAGTAGAATAAGTATTAAATGAAATTTGTAAACACATATGTATGTTTCAAGTGTTATCAGACTTTGAAAATTGTATGCCATCGACAATTGAAACACAGCAACCATTTAAAATTTATGAAATGTTAACTACATGCTTCAATTATTATTTATTAAGTTTAAAAATACAAAATAAGTATGATGATTTTGTTGATTTATTAATCATTCATACATTTATTCAATAATTTAAGAATGGCAAATAATTCTTATGGGCGATCAATTTAGGGCTACATTATTTTAGTCCCATTCAGTCTAAATAACAATTCATTAGGGTCGGTGGATATCTAACGGAAAATGCATCGCTTTATTGTCGGTCGTGGAATGTCAAATAAAATTTAAAAACGACGTTCAACCATTCACACTAGACGGCTGATCCGTCGCGTACTAGCATAATTGATGTGTCAGACTTATACTGACAATTTAATGTTGAATATATTTCAAAATTTTATAGCAAGTGAACTGTTGGATAATTGCTTCCATTGAAAGGTAGGTACTGAATTGACAGACTTTAGGCCGGTTTCTGAATTCAGAAAAGTAGAAAATCTCAACTGATTATTCTCAATAACTTATTTTTTTTGTTTCACGTGGCACGAAGTGCAGTTTTATCAAATAGTGACCATTAAAAAAAATAGTAACGAAAACTTGTTTAAGTGACGTTTAAGATGATTTAAGTACGGTTTGAGACGTGGTTAACTTTAAATTCTTAATTCAGAAACCCAGTGTATGTATGTTATTTAAATTAACATTTAGTTTATTTTTAGTGATCTCATTTATATCCTCCTTGGGCTATATCGAAGTCGACAGTGCTGTCATTTTAATTTATTTTATTTACAGTAAAATTACTAATTAAATGTGTTTGTATTACTGTTCCCAAAAGGTTATTTTTATTTTCGATTATTTGAATAATTATTTATCAAACTGCTTTCTCATATTGGACGTTTTTCATAATGACCGGGCATTATGTATAATATACATTCTAATGTCATAATCTTTTTACAGCAAAAGAAATAAGTTGTGACACTCTTACATAATGTATAAAATAATGTATAAGATAATGTATAAAACTGGTTATTTATAATAATGATATAAAACAGAAACGTTATCTGAGCGATTTTAAAATTGTCTTATTATTAGTAATATTACATTTAAAACTTAAAGTTTTGTATAGCAAACAAGATTTTTCCTTATAGAAGTATTTTAATTTTAATAGACAGGATAAAATATACATATTTGTTTTCTTAATTCCGTTCGAGTAACTGACTCATTATTTGGGTGACGCACAGTGAGCTTAGTTCTGATAACAGAATAACAAATACATTAAGCATTCCCAATTAAAACATTTGACTCATTTCGTTACATAATGAAATCTTACACTAGTTATTGTTATCAGTAGATAATTCGCAATATCTAATAAGTTGATAGGATATATGCATCAGCAGATTTGATTAACTTAGAGAATTATAATTTATCTTTCAAAACTATATGGTGAAGTAAGAGTAGTGTCAATTCTTGTCCTTGCCGCTTCAGTTCAATTAAATTTTGACGTCACGAGTATAGTATATTTATATCTTTATCTAATCGAGATAATTAATGTCCATATCTAAATAAATTATTTTAATATCGTACACCGTCTCGAGTTTTGTAAATAAAATGTTGTTGTAATGTTGTGCGTAAGTATAGACATATGCACCCGGTTTCTGAATTGAGAATTTATGTTAAGCACGTCTCAAACCGTACTTAAGCCATCTTCAACGTCACTTAAACAGGTTTTCGTTTCTGATTTAATTTTTTTTAACGATCAGTTGATAGCGCTTTGATAAAACTAAGACTTTTTTCCAAGTAAAACGTAAAAAACTTATTGAGAATAAATATTTGAAATTTTGTGCTTTTCTCAATACATAAACCGGCCGATGGTGCACTGTATTTGATAAAATCACAACAATTGTTTAAGACACAAAATACGATTCGGTGATCTAAATCTCTTCGCATTCTGACCTTAAAGTATTTATATAGAAAGAAAATAGAAAATTGTTTATATATACCGCGTGGCACTTAGAGAACCGTTTAATGGGATAAAAAAGTAGCCTGTAGTTTTTGCGTGAAAAACGAACAAACCTATATAACCTATATATATATACATCCATCTTCCCAAAATTTTATATTTATAATATTAGGAGGATTAATTGTCTATAAATCATACATATTTGCATAATCAATTATTTGCATAATAATCATACAATTGTTTACCATATGCACTTCTATGCAACTATATATAAGTAGACATAAATATCTTTAGTACTAAGATAAAGTAAGCCACCTCTATCAACTTATGGCTAAATGAACAAAGTTCACTAAGGAAAGAGATTTCGGGCTAGTGCATTGTAAATAAATTTTAATTTATTATAATAAACTATATTATAACAAAATATTATTAAACTATACCTATTATATCAAAATGAGGAAAAGACACGAGTCCTAAATTAAAGAAGTGTTCAGCTTGAGGAAATATTTCTTTATTTGTAAAATGCAAACGCCACAACAAACAAGTTTATGGTTAACCCATAATCAGGTTACTTGAATCATATTTAAAATAAGCTTTTTATTTTAATTCACATATATTCGTTATATACAAGGTTGTGTATTGTGTATGAACACTTTTCATTCAAACACTATGTGGTTATACTTAAGTATCAAAGCCTTAATTATCAGCTTTTAAAAGCGACTAAAATAGTAATCAGCCAGCGCTGTTTCTTAGCAACTACCTATATGACTTGGCTTGCTTTTGAATCGCATGTAGTAACGTTTCAGTAATATATATGACTCGTACAAGAGCAACGAAATTTGAGCTTTACAGTGTGTTATTTACAGTGGAATTTTCACTATTTCAATGAAATGAGTATGTCCCATAAACCATGTGTCGTGAATCTTTCAAACACATATTAATCATTGTACCGAAAGCAACACGATATAAATTTCTCACTTCATTACATTGCTGTGAGTGTATTTCGCACATAATAATGTAGTAGGCCCTAATGCCCTCTTTACAAGAGTAACAATGATAATAATACCAATACTTTAAGTTAGGTATAAGGATGCTATCCTACTAATATTATTATGTATGTATTATAAACGCAAAATTGTGTCAAAGATGATATGTGTTTGTTACTCCTTACGCAAAAATTACTGAACGGCTTTTGATGAAATTTGGTATAGATATATACCTATATTAAATAAATGAACATATAGGCTACTTTATAACCTACTAAAGAGTTCCCTAGGGATAATGTTATTAAAAGTGTCATATACATCATGCGTGCGAAGCCGCTAGCGGAAAGCTTGTATATGATGATATAAACTACTATTACTGGTGATAAATGTTTAAAAAGTGATTTGTTCTATTTAAGCATTTAAAGCGATAAAGTGTAATTTAATGATCATTATTTTAATGATCATATACAGCTTTAGCTGGTTTTAAACTGCTTTTCTAATCCTAAGTTACGTCGTGTGTCGAATGACGCAGTTATAATGTTGATATGCTATTAGATATCTTCTTTCATTTGCAAGAACTTTCTCATACTGCTGTAGTAAAATATATGTACATAGTTTAATTATATGTTTTTATATTGTCTTCATGTCATATTACAAGGAAGTTACTGCGAATATTTACGATAACGGTTTTCCAATAGGAAAACTGTTTATTTACTAACTCACTAAGTAACAATAATCTCTTAAACCAATTAACTATATCAATGTGCAATATGTTAATTACGTTGTTTGTATATATTATCACCGTTATAGTATGTTAAGGGGCCGTCCATAAATCGGCGTAAGGCTCGAAATGGGGGGAGGGGGTTCGTCAAAAGTGCAAAATATCACAAGGGGAAAGGAGGAATGTAGTAATATATCACGTGTATATATATTTTCCTGAAACGCGTGATTACTAAAACAAAAAGCGGCATCAAAAATTATGATTTTATGTACCTACGTTAGTCTTAAATCTCACCATGTGCCACCAAGGGGACGGGGGGAATAAATTAGCGTTGAAAATAATTAACAAATACTCACTTCGACGGAAACGTAAAGCGATATAGGCACAACAGTGTTCATCACGATGGCGTATGAGAAGAAGACTAGGAACGCAATGACGACCGCGCCAGATGCCGGCTCGGCTGGCACAAGCGTGTCCCATGGCAAGTACGCCTGAAAGTAGCGGCCCACCAGCCATTCCCATACGCCACACGCCACCGTGCAGAACACGCACATCGACAGCAGGAAGAATACTATCTGTTGAACAAAATTTTATACTATAAAACGAGTTTAAAGTGTCCAGACACTGTACCTTAGCCTGCAAGTACCTGTTTTTCTCCTATATCGAACAATTAATCACTTAAGACCTACTTATTTATTTATTTAAATAAATAAATAAATATTTAAGCAGCCTATTGATCAGCAGCTAAGAATTTAAGCGAATATTCCCAATTCACAAATTAATTTGTAGTTTTGAAATGCAAAAATAACACTGATAATGCTACCGATTTTTTAGAATGGGATTCATGCCTTTACTTTTGTTCGAAAAGTTTTTGAAAATCAATATTGTTACTCTTACAATGATGTTTAAATCATTAAAACAGCTATTTAAATATCTAATAACATATTCAAATATCTTTGATTTTTTCCACCCATAGTATACATAGTCATTAGATTGCTGGTTTGGATGAACTTACCCCTATAATAAGAAAATTAAGTAGCCTATCTATGCTGGTGCGCTTGAACTTAGTCTTGCCGGAGTTCTGCATTAGTTTAGTGTCTTTCCCCGCGAAGACCACCACTCCATAACACCACGATGTGTTGCGCAGCACGCAGCCACGCAGAAGAATCTTATCGTTGTCCAGGGAAAAGTGTTGATCGCGCCAGCTTAATGTTCCTGAGAGCGTCATAAGAAAATTACTTATTATCATTACGTTTATGCCGGTCTCTGCTTTTATTAATTTACTAGATCCCGAACCAACAATGAGCGAATACGCGAATCACAAAAGTTTTTAATTTGGCAATAAATCTTTCGTTGAGTTTCACGTAAGAATGCGAGTAGCACTACTGCAACGTTGCCGCCTAGTGAGACCTACTAAAATCCCAGAGACCGTTAGGTTTCAACATCAGGATATACTCGCAGTTCACTCAGAAACAGGCTCAGAAGTGACCCCGCGTGTGACGGGTTCGGTGCTTAGATGTTGGTAGAAAAAGAAACGGCTGACTAGGCTTCAAAAGTAGCTTCGATCAACATACAACTAGTAAATACCATTCCATATAACCGTAGACCATACCTCACTATCTAAAATTTTTTAATAAAAATTGTTCTAAAACAATATGTAATTTAGATTAAACATAGTAATATTAATTACCTTTAAATGAGTTAAGTTTATTATAAAGTTGTCTCTTGGACTTATTTTTAATATCAGCCGTTTCTTTTTTGCATATAAAGTGTAATCTTACGTCAACAAAACCTTCATTTACTAAATTAAGTGATTCTGTTTTGTTTGAATTCGTTACTTTCAGGGAACGCACTTTTATTAATATGTGACTTTAATACTGCTATAGAAATTAATTTTTATCATAAGTACATCTTTTATCAATTCCTTATAACGCTTTGTTTTCATGAACACATGAAAAACATATTTCAATGCATTCACTAGATCACCCATATCTTTTATATCTATTAATTTATAATAAAAAAAATACATTTCTCACATTTCAGTTTAGGTTTGCGGCGTGTGATCTGGGTTGAGAATTTATTTGTCTCATTATTGGATCCGATGACAATGGTATATTCAAAACTATTAACATTCAATCACCGATTTAAATCAAATTCAAGTAACGCAACTTTTGCTTTAAATATTTTTGTTGTATGTAGATACTAAAAATACATATATAAGACCCATACCGATACAAACCTATATGTTCACGCACGCGGCTTTGTAGTCGAGATCATGAATCACTACACCAAGATGGTTTTCAATGATTGTTCAAACTTTTTGTAATAAAAATGTAATATTATACTACTCCTGTAATATTATGTATGTGCTGTCTTAGAACATCGAACATTTGACCTTCTATTTTTGAATGACTGCCATTTTGGTCTAACAATTCTGTGGGACTGAATAAACAGCGGGGATGCAATCCCTAGCGAAGACCTAGAAACTTTGCGAGGTTTGATTTTGAAAATGATCAACTAAAACACCAAACAGTGCTGCCGTAATATAAATCTTATCGGTCCCACTATAATAATCTGAGAATATTACACCTAAGAGTTCTTCCACTGTTTACATATTAATACTTAAAAGTGCAAATCCATCGGCATACTCCACTATCATATAAAACAATCAATTTATGCGATCAACACAAAAAAATACATGCTTGAGAGGCACCGTATAATCGTTTTGACATTCCAATTGACAAACATCAGGCTGTTGATTTCACAAGCGTATTGCGAGATATACAAGAATGTCGCGCAAAATACCGCGACAGGTGAACGAACCGATGCGCCGCTAGTACCTTCGAACTTATTAAGTAGGTTATTAGGTGTCTCGCAGACGATCTCGCCATCGAATGCACCCAGTTGCGCGTCGTCCTGGCCCATCGCTGCTGTTTCTAGAAGGCACTGACGACATTTTAAATTTGTTTCCCTGCAACAAATACAGAACAATAGAATAGTGGAAATATTCATAATTTGGGAGCAATAAAAACATATAAAAAGAATGTTAAATCATTTATATGCATCTAAACCTGTGGAGTTAATTTTAGAAGGAAATACATATATGTATATATTGTAAAACGGCTTTGTATAATTTGCCAATTTTCAATTTTTAAATACCGCTAATACACTGAAAGATATAATTTCCTTATGTGCGACTTAATCCAAAACTATATGGACGGACGATTTTACAAAAAAAAAGTTGAATGATAGTTATAGTTAAATGACACATTATAAAAAAGAAGACTTAATAAACAAGATAATTCTTATCACTAATGTTGCTCTCATATGATTATGTTTTCATCCGATTACTTTATAGTTTAATCCCGCAAATTAATTAATGTTCGTATTACGTGTTTATCGACAATAGAGTATATGTATATGTATTTTTATCTTATTTGATAAGGTTAAATAAATCTTATTTGCAAGAAATAAAATATTTCAGCGATTTACTGAAACAAACGTTTATAATCTCGATTAGAGAGGGATAGAAATATATTTTACTCGTGATCGTGACGTCAACATTTAGTCAACCGGTCTTTAATGTCAGCTTATTGTTATTAAAAGGGAACAATAAATATTTAACTAACATCAGCCCTCTTACGTCCTTACGGCAGGCCATCCTTATGAGTGGTTAAGGAGAATGGGCTATTAAATAACCCTCCATGCTGGCCTAATGCAAATTGGCGACTGCACAAGCAGCCGGGACCAACGGCTTAACGTCCGAAGCACGGAGTAGTTCGGGATAATATTTTTTGGTTACCCAACCCGTGACCAAACCTTGCAAAATTTTCTTAACACCAATGTTCCCGGGCAGCGGCGATTATCCCCTACGCCGCCGAGCTACTAAATATTTAACCATGCAATATAAATGTATTATTTAAAAATAACATGTTCTATGTATATGAAAATATCTTAGGTTTAATGATGATTTATTTTCACGCGCACTACTCATTAAATAAAACAGCTTTAAACATTGGTTTAAATGGTTTTAGTGCGTTTATATTTGATCTCATGACAATTCGGACTCTATACAGGTTCCGATGAAATCAAATATAAACACGTTCAAATCGTTTAAAGTTATTTTATTTAATCTTAGGGTAAGTTTTTAAAGAATCAGTACACAAATTATTATATATTGTAGCATAAATAGAACGTAGGCAGGTATATAATTTTTATAAAGTTCCTAATTATTTTATAATTTAACATATATCTGCCGCCCTACGCGCAACTTTAAACGTTACGTAATTTCATTAATTACTATACCTTTGAAAGGGACTGCGATAAATTTTAAAATAAGACAATTAGCCCACCGGTCGATAGTGAGATATGCCCATACTTATAATAATGCACTCTCACTCGTTTCTCGAATCTCTCGAGCTCGTCTTGCTACGTGGGCTGTTCATAGAAATCTTTTTTCTTGCTTATCTCCGACGTTTGTAAGTTAACAAAAGAGAGAAAAAGAAAACGGGAATATGTAGAACTGACACGATATAATCGCACAAATTTAAATCGTTTATTTTTGCAATTTCTACCTAGATATCCAACAAAGTTGTGGGGTCGGTAATAATAATAATAATGTAATTGAAAAAAAAAATCGTATTCCTTTAAAATTACGATTTGCAATATTTATTGAAAATTAAGAAAAGTTAAATTCACTATCTGAATTATCAACTTGACGTGTAGGTACGAGTATATATGTTATGTTATTGGAACAATGGATTATTAATATTGTATCTTAGTCTATATGAGCATCTAAAACATGTTTATTATTTTTTTAAGTGTAATTAATATATTTATGTTTGTGTATTTTTATTCAGGTAGACATCGGGTAGATTTCAAAGATTCTCTTTTTATTCATTATTACGTGTATTTAATCGTCTACGTCTACGATATATGATACAAATATACGATCGGAACAAAACATGGGGGAAATCCCCTTAATATATCTGGACCTGAAAAGCATTAGGTCGGATGTATAAAAACTGTATAAAAACAGAAATAGCTAAATGCAATCAAAATATTTGAAAAAGTCGTCTGATCCGACTTTATGCATGACTGTTGCTCATGAGTAAAAAGGCACAAACATACAAGAGTTAATTTGCCGGAAAGAGAAAAAAGAGTGTAGCAACGTTATGGCGATAAGTGATTTTAGCTGGTTCTGCACATCCGACCTAATGCTTTTCAGGTCCAGATATAAATATTGGAATAGATTGCTGACACGTGACCACTGCACAATCAGTTATATTCATCACCATTCATACATACTTTTATCAATCGACCGACTTTCAAGAAGCAATATGAATAGTAAGATATCCGAAAAAAAAAATATGGCATTAGAAATCATAAAGATTGGATTTAATTTATTAACCAACTATGTTCGTATTAACTATGTTTCGTAATGTCATTCATTACAAAGAAGTTTATTAGGTTTAATTTATTTAGCTTTATATTAAACGAGTCTCCAGGTGTATATCGATATAATACGAAAAGACCCAAATAGCATAGTCCGCAAAAAGGATTTAGCAGAAAGGATTTACGATATCTGGCGATAATTAATATATATATATATATATATATTGCCTATTACATCGATAATTCCAAAAATAAATTAAAATTCTTATTGGGACATTATTTTTGTCAAAGAGATTATTACTGTATTTAAATATTGAACGATCACCCATAATACCACAAAATAGACAAGGGTCGCCAATAAATATTAAACTATTTAATCAATTTCAAATTCACAACATTTTGTTGTATCGATATTTTTCTAGGTTATAAAAATACTAAAGAAATAAGTGTAGCATGTCCTGGTAAGCAAAAAGTTACGGGGTCGAATCCTATTTTAACACCTGGGACAGTGGAAATTTTAAGTATTGTACTTATGCTATAATAATCAGTGATATTTTCTCCGTTGTTTGTAAGCGGGACTCACCCATCGAGTTCCGCGGTCTCTATGTAACAAAGTCCATTTGGCTCGGAGGTGCTAAGCAACAGGATGTCCGCGGCGACGAACTGGTCGTTCTCCAACCTGATGACGTCTCCCACCTGAACAGACGCCCACTTCTCCTCCACAAGCTTGCCATTACGCAAGGTCTTCGCGCGACGGTGGTTCACTTGGGAGTCGTTTTGGTGACGTTGCTATAACAATGATATACAATATACTTATTCAGTATTCTTGCAAAATAGGGTGCCTATTTGTGAGTGAGAAATGTCGTATTATACGAAGAAGAAACAAACGAAGGAAGGTCACAGCTAACTAAAAATTTTCAGACGCCAGACATACGAGATAAACTCAAAAATTTCACGAGGAACGATTGATGATTTTTGTAACAATTTAGTGTATAATATTATAAAGCTGAAGGGTTTGTTTGTTTGAACGCGCTAATATCAGGAACTACTGGTTCCAACTGAAAAATTATTTTTGTGTTGAATAGACCTTTTATCGAGGCTTAAGGCTATATAACATCACGCTGCAACTATTAGGAGCGAAGAAATAATGGAAAACGAGGACGAAGTCGCTGGCGGCCACTAGTTTAGTATGTGTAGTAAGATTAAGACTAATCTACCTAAAGCTGTTTAACTACGGATATCGCGAATTTGTTACATTGTTTGTTAATAGTTAGTAGATTTGTAAGGTCATATCTTAAATGTCACGAATATAGAGAATATATCAGTAGTGAGGTAGTAACGCGTTCATATGGGCACAAAGGATTTGATTGTTGAACTTTAACGGCTCACCATTAATTATAACGGCGCCCTTGATACACAATACAGGCTTATTTGCAGTCCACAACAAATTCCATGCTATCATGAATGAAGTCACTGTATATACTCACTGTGATAATAATAATAGTTGTAATAAAACCTCTATTGTATACCTTTATGTGTTAGTATAAAGCATTTCATATTCAAAAGTACTGTAATAATACTATAACCGGATACTGTAAAATCACGTAATAAAAATACACCTGTTATACAATAAAATTCCAGACAGTTACATCACAGAAATTAATTCATAGCACTCACATACCTACCAACTATGCATGCATGAGCATTTACGAACGTGATCATAGATGGATGAGGCTGATTCGTTCCACGTGCAATGTTATTAATACTGACTTAATCCTAAGGATTATTAATACTGACTTCTAACGGCTAACCAACAAGTTTGAGAATAAGAATGGGCTGATAAACTCTGATACATGGTTGTGACGAACGTCAGCCAGGTAGTATATATGTGGTATCTTATCGATGTTAGCGTCTTGTCAACAAGAAGCTGTTACAAAGCAATATCAAAAGAGAGGAACATCGGATAGCTGGATATCACATGTTTAATAGTATCGATATCATTGTATATAATATTATCGATATGCCCCTGGGGGCGTTTGAGTTTACTGGGAATAGCTCTGTATTTTAGAATAAGTTACACGTGAGCACTTACAAAGTCGTCGTAGGCGTCTTTGACAGCTGTTAACGCCAGCACACCAATAAGCGGAATGGCGGTGGTGATGGGCGTCAGCGATGAGATAGCCGGGATCAGCTGCAGCACCAACAAGCACAGGAAATAGAAGTTCGCTAGCCGCTGGAACTGCTCGAGCAAGTTCAGCGGCAGAAACGTTATGATCGAGTACTTCGATGTCTTGATGTAATTATTCTGTAACAAGTCGATGCATTGTATATAATATTAGGGGAACACAATAAAAAGTAAATAAATGTAGTACTGCAAGTTTATAATTCTTATTTCGGCAAATTCTATAAAACACTGCGGCATCGTAAATATTTATATTAAAGTATTTAAAAGACGTAAAAGAAGCTTATTAAATTTTCTTAATAACAACTCTGATAACGTATTAATTAAAATCCCGAGATATAATTATTTTTTTATTTTCATCAATTAAAATATTACAGCTAGTTATTAAAAAGAAATCCATGTTTAACGTTTCATTAAACCAACAAATTATATTAACTATTAAACTAAAAGAAATGGACAGTGCAATGATCAATAATTTTGATTTAGAAATTCCAAGATCACGATCATTAGTTAAATTTGTCTTCTACATACAATCAATTTATTTGTCTTATCATCGACCAACACAATTTTTCGCCTGATTGGACTACAGCAAACCGTATCGTGTTGTTTCCTTTTTGAAATTAGAATATATCATGTAACTAATTAGGTATCAGAGAAAAAAAATCGAATAACAAAGTCTTAAGAATGATGAGTTAAAAGAAGTTAATGATGAAATAAACGAAGACATTGAATTTATATTGTTAGGACAATGAAACTTTAAAGTTAAATACTTACCGCATAACGGAACTGTGCATTGTACTCTCTGTTGTTGGCTTTGATTCTCCGTTCATTCTCTGTAACAAACAAGAACACATTTATAACAATAAGTCAGGTCTTCAATTAGTTGTCTCCACTTAATGCTTACTTAATCTATTGCATCAGGCACGAAAATATTTATTAAATTTAAGTTATATATATTTTCATATGAATAATAGGGTTCTCTTTTGTTTCTTCTGGTACGTGTGTATTCTGTTGTTGGAAACTTATTCAAAAAGCACTAACCTAACCTAACAGCAGAGTTCGCCAACTAGATAACTGATGATATTCTCTAAAATGATCTTTAGGTTTGACCAATAACCGGGAAGACAGTGAAACACAATTATTTACTAATACTAATTTTCATTCACCCAATTAAAGAAATGATGAATTGCCTATACAGCGTGTCATCCCATATTTCAACCTTGTTTAAATTAATTTCGCGACAAATGTCCATCACAAATTTCCCATCATCTAATTACTCTTCCAAAACCCATCATTCATTGATATGTTTTTCTTCTCATTGTTATTAGTATTACTCTACTAATCATTAATTTTGTATTTATAATTCGACCTAGTTGTATTCTAGTGATTACTAGGAATGTAATAACAACTAAAATAACAACAAACAGGTAAAGGACCATTTACTGCAATTTTGTTAAAGATTTAAAGAAACGAAGAGAAAAAAACGCTTGATAACATTAGTTAAATTAACTATAATTTTCTTGTTGTCTATTACTTTTATAATGCTTGTGCGTCGTGGTATATCCAGAATAGCCTCTTTGATTATAGAAAAAATATTCTTGAATAATCCTAGTTAGAAGATTTTTGAGAGCAAGATAATTTATGATCTGATAATTTGATTTAATAAATGACAGACATATAAGGAAACGTTTGTTTTAAATGTCTCGAAATCGAGGCAAAAAGTCAAATACTAAAAGGGATTATACATTACAGAACTACAAAATTAATTATTCTAATGATTCTAACTTATAAAATAAAACATAATAATAATATTTACAGTTGCAAGTGCTCTATTGCACTTTGAAACAGACTGAATAGCATTTATAATATCCATGCAATGAGGAAGTTATAATTAAAATAAGCTTCTGATTTTGTACATAGTACATATGAAAACAAACATTCATAATTTTCGTCTTTATTAGTGTAGTAAAGAAAAAAAAGCAGGTATCAAAATGTACAAGTATTCTTATTTCTTTACACATTTCAGCATGTTTTTCTATATAAAGAAGAAAGATTTCAGTGATTATTCTAAGTACCCTAAGTTTATTAACGTCGTTTGCTATAATATGAAATCTTACTTAGACCATCCATATCGCTCGATAATTAAGCCACTGATGAAGCACAAAGAAATTCCATGTTGCGATTTGTATGAACTAACAACGTATAACATAATAAAAGCACATCCTAAAAGTAGTTTGTTTAAAATCAGATACTGATTCGATTTTAACTTCAAATATAGATATTCTTTTTTTTGCTAAATTAAATTGGAATCAATTAAATCAAGTAAATTAGATATCATTGTGGTATTGCGCTGTAGATACATAAACACATTTGTAGTTGCAGGCTAAGCGGTAATTTCGCGTCATTGTGTGGATTTGTAAGATGTCCACACTGTTACCCAGCAATGAGGAAGTATTTTAAACACCTAACTAGTTGGCGACTCTAGCAAAAGTTGATTTTTGCAGAAAACGAATGGACCAAAGATAGTCATTTCCGTTCCTTTTAAAAAACTGAAATTTGCAAAGTTCGAACTTAGATATCAATAATAACTCATCAGTGGCGAAGGGTTATTTCAAGCCAATTATCAACAGTTTATCTTTTATAAATCTTACTTGACCGCTTCACCATTAATTAATCAAAAGCCAATTTTTCTATTTGCTTATTGTAGTTTGATCTCGTTAATCTAGATAAGAATACTAAGAATTGATGGTTGGCTCCTGCACTGAATACTAAGCCTGGCAAGACATATTTTAATTTTTCTTCGTAATATAACTCGATTCGCATAATATAAACCGTTTCCCATTAGACATTATAGTAAGACCATGTTTCATTAAATTTGATACTGAACTTAGTATTAAACTAATTTAAATATGCGAAATAGTCACTAAAAAGTGATAAGAAGATTTCGCTCTAAGATCTATAATACCTTTGGTTGAAGTTCAATTTAAATTCCATATTATGAACTTATCAATGGAGGAAATGACACAATATCTAACGGAAGATGCGCCGATCCCGGAATGTCATACATAACTGACAAATAAACATAAATGATATGTCTCAGTAATAAAATCCATAATAAAAAAAATCTATGTTAATCAATCAAAACTTTAACACTGCAAGTTTGTGGTGTTATCTATCTATCATCACTAACTTTAACCCAATGCTTTAACACAATTCGTTAATTTCGTAATTCAAAATTGTTTGGTTGAATTTATGTTCATCGTGTAATGTTCTCCTTACGTGAAGTTGCCAAAATAGTGGTTGACGCAACGTAGCCATTAGTATATTCTCATTGCATTAAAATGTAGGAAGATATTCAAACTTGCATACTCTATGAATGAACCGTCCCTGACACGCTTTAAGGATCTTCCGTCTGATTGCACCGACCCTAAAGCACATTTTAACTTCTTATAATTTCTGCACTACACTTTCATAACCTAATTAGTAAAACTAATAAAAATAAGATAATGTTAAAAATATTGTAAAGTTTAACTACCTATGAAATGTAAAAAGGAAGAGCGTGGTCTCCTGAAACAGGTATGATAAATACTTAATAGGGGACTTCAATGATATATTGTAAATTGTAATCTAAGCTGAATAATATATTTTTTTTATTTTATTTTTTTTATTGACGAAAAAAACTTTTTTTTTATGGATTTTGGTAAAAATCCTACATTTTTAATGTCATTTTTGTTTATACTAAAAATTCCTAAAAGCCCCATCTAATCTGAGACATTTTTTTATATGAGAACAGTATTTTTTATCTTTTTAAAAACACTTTACCTCATATATGTGCTAGTTTTAAATTATCAAAATCTCTTTAGCAAACATGGCAAACCGTTTTCTATATTATACAATAACAATAACATTTTAGATACCAATTAAGAGCGCTAAAAGATTATTCTTAATTTTTGTTGGGACAAACTTATAAGTCAAAGACCAACTCCGCCTATTCATTCGAAAATTGCTCGGGTTCTGTAACTAATAAAGATATACGTTCTGTCACCGGCGCCTTAGGGACGCCGATCGATCTCCAGCTTACGAGAGCAATTGCTATACTTACATAGAACTTCGGTAGCTGATACGTATAATAATACTAATATACTTTTACTATACTACTTTCCAAAATATTACAATTGAAATTTTCTTCTACTTTTAATTGTGTTTTCTTTTTGCTAGTAAAATGTTTGTTAGTGGTAGTTGTCGCCCAAGACTTCTGGAATTTTTTTTATTGGATAAGTATCCACGAACTCAGTGATTATGTGATTAGCGAATCAGCCAGTTTCTGGTAACATACAGTTCATATCAGTTGCTGTAATTTTTAGAATCCCAAGGACTCCGTTCTAAGAGTATCAAATTATAATAATAATTACTTATTAATATTTCATAACGATTAATATATATAAAGATTTGCGTCGTCAGAAATATAAAAGTTCAACAAGAGAAATTTTTGATCCTAATATGTTGTTGCCAAGAAGTCTTTTCTCGTTGAGTGCAGAATACCGAATATGTATTAATAATTTAAATGAACTACGTCACGTATCAAAGTGTATGAACTTTTTTTGTTATAATTTCGGGTTAGGTATTGACAGGGATTGGTATACAATTTCGAGTGCGTAAAGGGGTAGTAATAAAGTGGTGCTAGACGTTACATACGTAAATACATACAGGTGCCAGTGAAACCTTCGTTCTGTTCTAACAAGATTATTCCATAGAATAAATAGTAGTTTTTACACGGATTGCAACTCACCATCTTGTTATAATTATCTCGGCTAAAAGTAAATAGAATGGAACAATTTCCGCTTTAATTCAATTTATCGAAATGTAACATGGGCGGGTAATCAATAACAACAGTGCGGGGTCATAAGCGATTCGCAAAGCGCTGAAGCGAGCGCCGTCTCGTCGCGGCCGTTGACCGGGTGGGGGCGCGCCAACTTCGACCTTGGCCATATATGATGCATCTCCCTTTCAAAATCCTCGTGATGATATTATGTTTTGAATAGTACCGGGAACAAACAACATTTCTCATATTTTGGGTTCACCAGCAGATTTAACAAGGAGCACACTTTCGCACGCACTGTGACGCAAAAAAGCACGTAATAGACTTCTCGAGAACCACAAAGAGGTTCGTGAAGAATCAATATGTACCGACCGCACGATACGAAGGTACGGAAACGATGATTATGCCTGGCGCGGCGGTGCGGTTGGGCGGGTTCGCGTCGCACCAGCTTGCCGAGTAGCTCGAGGAGCGAGAGACGTAGGGGGCGCGGCGGCGCCCTAGCCTCGCCGCCCTCGACGCCAAGCACCTCGAGCTCCACCGCTTCGGAGCGAGCGCACATCCGCGCCGCTACCGCCGCCGCCGCCCCATGCCGAGAGCCGCTTCGTGCGGCCACTCCGCTTGCTGAACTTCGCTGCGAACACTGCACACGCGACACGCGCCAGCACGCGCGTTCCGACCCTCACCGGGGCCGATACTCGTGTGCCGTACACACAAGCGCCGCTAGACATGCGCGCGCACTATTCAATCTCTACAGCAGTGTTGCCGTTGTAAAATGTTCGAGATTCTACGGGAAAAAATCGGTCCGATGATCATCAATTCCACTCACTTATAAGTTACGTTTCGATTCAAAACGATCATATCCGAATAGCTAGTGTATCCTTATTCTTGTTCATCTGTTATAATATTTATTAGTCCATACAACAGATAAAATCAAGTTAATATATTTATATGTTCGAGTGGTACCTTTAATGTTTACCGATTTCTTCGCGAATCGTGGAACGATTTTAAAAATTT